TAAATTAATTTCAACGTAATGCTTCAGATGACTTAGGTTACAAGGGCACTGAGAGCACAGCGATAATCTTACTAGTACTCGCACATGGGTACCAGTTGAGACTCAAATAGAGTTTTCTTTCAGCTCATTGATAGGCGAATATTTGCTTCAAAGGTATCTCATGATGGTAAATTAGAAGAAAATACAAATCATACAGTAACACCTAGAAGGAAACATTTCCAAAGAATGATTGGTTAACATAGCAAACCCTTAACTACTTCTACGAGAGCGATCGAGTGAACCACTCCATTCTATAGAAATCAATAACACAGTCAATACCTCCACTGATTTTTAGAATTTGCTGGAAAAAGGTTCAAAGACAGATCAAACTCCGAGTGCAGACTACATAGATTGTAAGACGAGAAAACCTAACTGATACTATGAAGTGTTACTTGTATCGAATGCCAGAGGATATTCAGAACTTTTAATTTGTGAAAATGATTTGAATGAGCAACTGTTTATGCTTTGAACGGTTCTTGAACCAATGAAGGTATTGACTAGGCTGTATGTTGGTGGAAACTCATAGGTGTTATCCGGCCACTGTAACACGCGGAAGCTTCTGCTTGCTTCCTTTCGGACCTGGGCCATACGCTTCTCCTTGTCCACCCGAGAGATCATTCTCTACAGGATGAAACCTCTGGTGACGTATCACTTGGCTCGGACACCCAGTCGTCGTGACACACACAACTTACAGGACTCCCGACCTCACAAAACAAACACAAAAAAAACAAAACAAAGATAATGAACACATTTTTTTGTTCAGGAAGGTACTTCTGGTGATAATGAAACTCCTATTAACGTATCACTTGGATCAGACATCCAGTCGTTGTGATAACTCATAAGAATGGAGTTGAAAATTCCGTTTTGTTAAGACGAAACGCTGGCGTATATTACCGAAAATTATGATTTTCGAAAACTTAAATGAAAATCCTCATTTCCTCTCTCTTGTACGAAGCGCAGAACAACCATTTGCTCGTAAAGCCACAAACTTCTACTTGGTGGATATACTGATCCTTGATGTTTTTTTTTGAAAATAATGTTTTAGTTGTAGCTATTGAAACGCTCACAGTTACTCTATAGTTACATGTTATATTTCCCTAAGCGAACGTAAAACACAACTGTTTTTCCAAAAAACTATTTTAAACGGTTCATGAATGGCGCATTGTTTTTCCCCAATGATCCTCTCGAAGATGTATTGTATCTGAAGGTAGCGTTTGTCAAATTGCGCTCTCCGTTTACTATACCCAATCTGAAAACAAACGTGTTACCTAGTTGAGGAAGAAGTATTACCTAGTTAAAGTATGATCAGAAACGCTAGGAATTATGGGCTGGAGGAGTATAGCTGATATGCGAACTGATTCATAACAAATAAAAAGGAGTGAAGATAACTGTAATTATCTAATTCGAAAAACACATACACAAAGAAAAACTTTTTTTTCCTCTGTCATTTTCCAGGGTTCATGAAGTTGAAATAGACCATTTGCTTGTTTCAAAACACTCATAATGGCTTCAATCCCTTTGTAGAACATCAAATCATCATAATGCTTTGTTGTTTTGTCTGCAATTATTATAAATAAAAGAAAAGAAATTATGTGAAAACCTCGAATAACGTTCAATTCTTCTATCAGTTCGTTAGCTGAAGCGAGTAATCTTTCGTCCAAGTCATTACTATTTGGGTAAATTTGGTTTACATTCAACTTCGGTACTGTCGATCTACTCAAAAGATTCCCAAGATTATTGACTAAATCACTATTTATAACGTTTAAAGCTTTTACTTCAGTAAAGTCTGGAAGAAAATAATTGAAAACACTTAGACGAATAGAACCCACTGGAATCTTCATGAGGCACACCTTGTTTGAGCAAGAAATATCTTACACCTTCGGCTGTGAAACGTTGTTTCAAATCTATGGGATTCACAACATTGCCAAGACTTTTCGACATCTACAATGGGATGACTGAAGTATGAAAACGAGAACATACTTTAGTATTATCAACCAGCCAATGACCATGAATAAATAATCTTCTTGGTAGAGGTAGTCCAGCACCAAGGAGAAACGCTGGCCAATACAATGCATGAAACCTGAAAAGCTGCATGAATCAAAATAAGTTAACAGTAAGGACTTGATGATATCTTTCCCCAATAACTGACAAGATGGTGGCCATAGTGTCGATTTTTGTGGATAACCTATAACAGTTAAGTAATTGACTAGAGCATCCAACCAAACATAAATCTAAAAAAACAATCGTTAGTCTTCTGGTTATGTTTAGAATTCACCGTTTGTTGGTCATCGCTAGGAACGTCAATTCCCCAAGGCAAACGTTTCCGGCAACGAGATACGGATAGATCATCCTCCATTTCTAAAAACTTTAACACTTGCGGCAAGTAATGTTTCGGCCGGATAACATCTGAAAATCAGATCAATTATGTTTTCGTGATCATATGAGGAAAACCTGAGTTAACAATCCAGTCTCTAACTTCATTTTTGAACTTGGAGAGCTTGAACATATAATTCTCCTCTTCAATCAGCTCCACTATAGTTTTCGTACCTTTCACTACCTGTAAAGTTATATTAACTCAAATTTCATTCGGTTGCAACCATTGTTTTTTTCCCTTCCAATATTATTTCTTCTACATCTTTGTCTTTATAAAAGCATTCGTCAACAACACTGTACCAGCCTTTGTAGATGTCTTTGTATATGAGATCGTTGTCATAGAGGACTTTCTGCAGAGATGATTCTATAAGCAAAGAACTTCGATAGATCTACCCATAAATGATGCACAGCTTGTTTATGTGCAACATCAGTAGTTCGGATATAATGAGTAGCTTCGACCCCGAACTCTACAGCCACTTCTCTAAACTTTTGCGAGACTGAATCGCAGAACAGTTTCACATCCTGCCCTGACTTCTCTGCTGCCCTCAGTATCTGGAAGAGATCTTGATATAATCTTAAGAAAGTATGAATTACTTTGATGCCATGTTCATCCGTTCCAGTGGAAAACAAATGAGTATCATTTGGATACTTGAGTTTCATCCATCTGTGGTAAGCGTCAGATATAACCGAAGTGTATAGATGACCAACGTGCGGAACTGATTAACAAAAATATGTTTTAAAATCTTTTATTCAAATACCTGCATTCGCATAATATATAGGAGTTGTAATGAATGACGAGAGGTGACGAACTGAGCTAATGGCAGTGAGATAGTTCATCTACTTGGTGACAAAACCCCCTTTATTAAAACTCAAAAAGAATTCAGATACATTACGTAGAAAGAACTCTTGGCACAAACAGAACAAGAACAGAATGGAAAAACCCGTCGTTTATTTGAGCTATTTCTATCCTAAATCTTGATTGCTTCTATCAGAAACTATTTTAACTCTTTCTCAATCAATTCAAAATCTTCCTGTGTTGGCTTCTGCCCACTTTCTGTCATTCTCTTGATCAACATGTCTTTCTTGATTTGTATTTCCAATTGACGCATTCTCTCGATAGGATCATAATATGACTGAAAATAAAATTACATTTTTTCAAGGTTTTCTAGGGATAAACTTCATCTGCATGTGGCTTCCGAGCAGTCACTAACTCATAAGGGGTTTTGACTGTCTCTGAGCTGTAGTTAATCTGAAACATTCATAATTTTCATGTTAACTCATCAGCTTCTTACTTTGACGTCCACGAATCCAGCTGGTTCCAAACACGTCATATATCGCATTGGATCCCATTGAGATTCGTCGAGTATCCCCCACTCCGTGAACTTTTTCAGCCTTCGTAGCACTGTTTTCGTTTCAGTTATGACTTTAGATTACCTAGATAAGCTCATCCCGCAAACCAGTGATCCTCCCGGCTTCAAAACTCGGAGTAACTCAGTACATATTCGGGGTAAACGTTGTTGAAGAATGAAGTAGAACACATCAACATGGTAAATGTGATCGAAGAAATCTGTAGGATAAGGCAAGTTCCTGAGGTCGATTGCCTTCAAAAAATTTAATTGTTAAATATTAGTGCTCAAAAACCTGATCCAGTCGTAATTTCTCTTGCTCTGCTATCTCTAAGATGAACTTCTTTCGACAATATTCCTCCATGTATACCGATCTTTCAATCCCAAAAACCTTACAACAAACACTCATAATTCCCAACTATTTCAAACCATGCCACTTCCGCTTCCGATTTTCTCCAAAGCATAACTCAATCCATTTCCACGACCATAACCAAGTTCTAATAGCTTGTCATCTGAAAAGGAACTGTACAAATGAAGAAAAACAGAAATGACCGTTCTGAATGTTCAAACTCTCTATGAGAGCTTTGTTGAGAGCTTTGTTCTTATTTGCTTGATGGTTCGTCAACACAAATCCTGTCAATGATTTTACAGGTAAAGCATACTGAAAAAAGAAAGAATGAGGAAGCCCTTCCAAGGAAAACCTGATTGGCCAAATCGTTCCGTGCTAATTGAAAAAAGTTTTTGAATACTTTGGCCATAATTCTAGAAAAAAGCCGCTGATCTTGTGAGCAAGAGCTTGCTTCAAATATTCCGGAAAGTTGCAATCCCAATGCAAAATAAAGAAATTGAGATAATAAATAGTTTATTTATGAAAAAATCAACAATATCACATATAAAACCATTCATGGGTTTCCTTGTTAGCCATAATTTATGAGAAAGTGAGAGCGAAATTGAAAAGGTAATAAGCTGAAGGAGAACCCATGTGAGAACCCAAATATGCTATTACGCCGTATACTGCTTGGCTTGGCTTCCAGAAGACCATGGACACCTGTAAAGAAGTTAGTTGAAAACTCAAGAAAAGCAAACAGAAGGGAGTGAAAGTGACAGGGAGAAGCTTTATTAAAGAAAGTTAGAAAATAGAAGAAAAATAAATAATCTTTATTAAAAAAAAAAGTAAATCACAGCTTCTCCCATGATCACAATATCACTAACAAGTATCACAAATGAGCAGTAGAATCACAACCATTTAAGACGGAAGTATTTCAACAGAATCGAAATAACTTGTAGGGTTACAGAAGGTATTCTGAATCGCTACACAAATAGTATAAATATGATAAGCACCGCAAATTTCACGCAGAAAAAAATTTAGAGACGCACACAGTAGACACAGGGAGGGCTTAGATTTTGTCTTACTGGGGCGTTTGGGCCAATTCCCAACAAGTACGAGCAAGTGTTAATAAATAAAAAAAAATAATTACAATTTGAAGTCGTTGTGGTAGTAGAAAGTCTTCCAGAACTTCGACCTGTTTCTTCGATATTTACAATACACGAATATCCCGGCCAATCCTATTACAGACAACCAAATGAGATAGAAATGTGCTCGGCTTGACTGAGCAGCATTTTTGTATCCATCTAAAAAGCATCATCACTATGCATACAATGATCAGTTTAGGGCTCACCATATCCTTCAATATCTCTCCATTGACGCTGAGGACTCGCATCCAACTCTTTTCTCAAACGATTCTCAGCAGCTTCAAGCCTGTCAACCTTAAAAAATGAACTTTAATGCGGATGATTGTTGTTTTCCAAACCTTTTCAGCATGAATTGCGAATTTTGGATTCAGATGACGACTTCCAACAGCTTCCAGCTTTCCATCCTTATATGATTTCACATTATATCCTGATTCAGGCTACACACAAACACACCAACATAAGACAAAACAACAAAATAACTTACTTGGATTTTATCTTGTTTAATGTCCAAATAGTATTTGTTTACGAAATCAAACACTTTCGATTCATCATAATTACCAGCAGCGTCAAAGCACTCAGGACAGACAGCCTGAAAGAGATTTATAAGAACCTCCAGCTCTAAACTGATCAACCTTCGGGGGGAATTGTTGTTTGGGGTGCTTAGGATCGTCGCTAGCTGAACCGGAAAGTCGTTTATTCACAAAGTTGTGAACTTTCCATAGCCACATGACAGTGTCTTCTAAAACTCCGCGTTTAATTATACCAAATATTATGTTTTACCTGCACGAGTTACAAGATGAAGTTGATGATTTTCAGCTTCTTTGGCGAAGTTTTGAGCACATTCTGAACAACTCAAAAACCTCGTGATAAACTGCTTGAAAGGTTCAAGTATTTCAATAACAGGACGGAAATTAGTGTCTAGAGAGCAAAAATAATACAAAAAAATAGGTCAAAGAGTCTATACTTTGTTTCTCAGATTTATAAGCTTCAGCTGAAATTGCATGAGCTAGAGTCCATAATCCACATGTATATCCTCGTAAGTTTGGTTTTGATCCTGTACATGCAACCCATTTAACCTCCTTAGGGAGAGGATTTCCCAAATCAGACTTCAAAAATATGATTACATTTGGTTTACAACAACAAATAACCTGTAGCTCATCAATTTTGACAGTCCACTCATCGGCAGTTACTTGATTCTTCAACTGAAGCCATTCATCAAGGCGATATAACAGTCTTCTCATTGGAGTTGTACCAGGAGCATACTGAATATGTTCGTTTTGTTGATCGAAGATTGCAACAAACCTTCTTGAGTGTATGGGTCCACTGTTTCAAACCAGCAAGATCTTCTCCGCCAATTTCATTCCTTCTAGGAATTTCCTGAGAAACATGTAGCTGATAAAAGAAATGAACTGATGATTAACTTACTTTGTAAAGCATGTAACTTAGTGTACTCTGGAGATCCAATAGTTGAACTTGGTATTGACTTAGATCTACAGCTGCTGAATTTGGAGAAACAGCTTGAGATTCCCTTAGAACAGGCTGGAAAAATCGCATTATGTTTCACTTCCAATGGCAGGCTCATACTTGTACTTCAACCGGAGCAGGGAAGGCTCCACCAACTTCTGTTACAAGTTCATTAATTTTCTCTTGAATTTCAACCCAGTTAACATTCTCACTAAAAAAGTTACGCATAGGTAAAAGTGGGGGGGGGGGGGGTTTTTGGTGAACTCACGGGCTCTCCCACACAGGCTTCGGGTTATTTTTCGTGTATAAAACAAATCGGTTATTAGCATTGTCAGCGAAAGATTGAACGGCCAGAGGATGTTGAGGTCGTGCGAGCTTTAGCAGAGCATTTCTGTCCTTATGGAAGTTGATAATATTCTACAAGAGGCTACATAGATACATTTCTGTGTGATAACTCACAGCCCACGCCATGGTTGAAGGGTTTTCTTGGAAAGTAAGTCCTATGAAGCTGGCATCGCCTGCTTTGGCCCACATGTCATCCAAGGTTTCAGAACTGAAAAAAAAATAGTAAGAATGAGAAATAAAAAATTATTCACTTTTCAATGGCATTAAACGAAGGCCAATCGGGAGGACTTTGCCTCTCCCAATCGGCTTGAACAAGAGCCGCAACATCCAACTCCATCTGCGCTAACTCATGTTTGTTACCCGAATACGGAATTCCGTCATTCTTATCAACTGCTTGATATTTAAAATACTAAATGTATGAATTATAAAAGATGAAAAGCAAAACAAAACCTTAATAGTAGGGAAGGCTGCTATAGAATGTTCACGACAAAGTGGCATGTTCTTATCATCAGCACAGTTTACAACAGTAACTTGAACAACAGAAGACCAAGTAGATAAATGCCTTAAATGGGAAACAATGAGAAAAAAAAAGAAAAAAAAACTGGAACCTCGCAAATTTTTTCCATGTTGGGGCATACCCTATACAAGCTCCACACCAACTTGAGTAAAATTCTACGAAATGTCCTTTTTTCTGAAAAATGTTTGAGCTGAGGGACCAACAGATGAGTAGGAAACATACACTTGCATAGACATTCTCATTAAAAGTATCTGTATATAACTCTAATATGGGATCAGATGCATCATAAAGAGAATCTGATTGGACAACACTAATTATTGAGACCACAAAAATACTTAAAACAACATGACGGTCCAGCATATCGGGCAAATGTGGACAAACGTCCACAACTGAGACCTGTAATTTGAAAAATCGAAGAAAAACCTTTTGGAAGCAAGAATATATGATAGAAGTTCGAAAGACGTATATAAAACAATATTCCAAAAAGTAAGTGAGATAGCAAATTGAAGGAAATGGAAAGGGATAGATTAAGGAAGACGATCGATAGATATTCACGACCCGAACCTGTGTGACCTGGATATTATGTGAGAGGGGGAAGAGAATCTCAATGAACTTGTTGCGTATAAAAATTATAAGAAAAAAGTCTAATCAGAAATGAAAAAATCTTTCTTCGATATGAATCAGCTTGATTATAGCCAGTGGCTATTAGTTGAAAGCCCAAAACAGATCTGACGCAGGATAGCCACGCATACACAGAGAGGATGAAAAGAGAGAAAAAAGAAAAAGACCGTGAGAGAGAAGATTGCAGAAGTCGTGGAAGGGAGAGAAAGGACATGTGTGAAGAAGAAAGACAATTGGTGCAAGTCGTGGTCAGTAGGGAGGTCACTGTCAACATAAAAGCTGAGATAGAGAAAACGGAATGACATGTGTGCACGACGTGATTTTGAAGCTTTTCCCTCCTTGCATGAGTTGCTAAATAGGATTCTTGAAGCTGTTAGAGAAAAAACAGAACGGAAGAACCCACATCGGAAAAGGATAAGCGATATGACAGAGGATGAAGTTAAGACGCAAAAGAAGAAATAGACACTGTAAACAACAAAAACCAGTACCACACAGTATGTAGATAGAATCTAGTGATCAAACACTTGGATATAGATTAAATTGAGCAAAAGAAAAGTCTTCATCATTATACAGGGTAAAACTAAAATTACATAATATTACATGTCACTATCACTGCTTTCCGAGAGATTGAGATCCTCTTTCTTGGCTGCTGAGGCTGGAGGTTTTTTGGCTGCTGAGGCTGAAGTTTTTCTGGCTACAGGTTTGGTTTTGGGAACAGCTTTGGTATTTCCTTTCTTAGTTTCTGATGTTTTTCTTTGTCTCGTCGATCTCAAGGGCTTCGCACGAGTATGGCTACCGACTGACAACCCGCCGGCGACATCTCCTTGAAGCTGCAACTCCGGTAATACAACACCACCTGAAACATTTTTCAGTTTTACGGAAGACATTGAATCGTATTACTTGTTCGGCTCTTCAACTTATCCAAAGCTGTGATAGCGCGTTTAGATAGAGAGATGCGCTGTTCGTCGGCCGACTGAGTTAATGGACAGGCATACGAAGTGATATGTCGCTGATACGATGTTTGACGAAGGATAAAAGCATTCCATTTTTCTAAAGATTGCAAAGCATTCTAGAAACAATAACCGAACAGTTGAAACTTGTGATATATAGCTTCAAACCTTGGAAAATTTATCATCATCCCAGCCAACTCTTTCGTAGAGAAGTTGTTTAACGCCATCGATATCCACACCCCTCCAACGAAAAACTTCAGTTGATGAATCAACACTGGGATGAAGATAAGCCTTGACAATGACCTTATCAGACATCTAGAACAGAAGCTGAGAATCACAATAAAACCGAAAAAAACCTGTAGATGAGTCAAGTCGTTGTTTTCCATGATTATTTTACGAATTTTGCGGAGCAGAGTGTTATCAGTTCTCTTCTCCTCCTCTGAAAACTTCAACCATTCATCCACAGAACACAAAACGGCCATAATCTACAATAGAGGGTATTTCTTCCAAAGAGAAAGATAACTTTTACATTTTTCTCTTTTTCAGAATCGAAGGATGATGTTTTCGTGAATTCTGCAATGAGCTCAACCGCAGATACGACTCCCACACCATGAAATCCAACAGAATAATCTCCTCCGGAAATGACGGCAATCATGATGAATTGTTCTTGTGAGAGACCTTAAGAAGCGTTCCAATCTTTTTTTTTTTAATTTTCGACATGCCGGTATCATTATTAACTTTTTCAGAATTATAGTGCTGAACGTTTTTCCCCGTAGAAAATAAATGCCGATAGACGTTCTGCACGCCGAATGCCCAGACGTCACTGTCATCAGATACAACACCCTAAACAATAATTATTCAACAAAAAATAATGAAATAGCAGAAAAAACATAACAAAGAGGAAAAAAACAATTTATATTCGAAAATAAAACTCACTTGCACCAGACCTAATCGCTCAAGTTCGACGCATTGTGCTTCAGCTTCCCCGGGAGCTTCTACCCAAGGAAAGCCACATTTGGTAAGGAACTCCTGATAATACGTAGTTAAAAACAGCGCTCATTTCTTATTTTTTTAACGGCGTCATATAACGTGACGTGGCAAAAAAGTTCATTAACATAAGGAAAAGTTGTTTGATCAACTGCGCTAGTGAAGTGCGGTTGTGTTAATTCAAGATTTTAAGAAATCGCACCTGAATATCTGCGTACGCCCCAGAGTCTCGATCTCGATCTCTTGGTTCATCGTATAAGCTAGGTCTATCTATAGGAACAACATTATCACCTTCTAACTGCAAGAGAGAAGAAATAAAATTGAGGTCGCAACGAAACGCACAGAAGGGTTCCATTCCGCATCATCCAAATCTTCTTTCTTCTCTTCTGACTTTGATGAACTAGCTACAGCTTGGCTCATTACAGGAATTCCGTTAGGTACATCAATGAACTCGTCGTCATCATAAGAGGAATCGCTTGACCAGTTGTCAACACGGATGGCTTCTTCAATATGGGAACTTCATTGAATTATTCAAAATACTAAAACGCACGTGCATTTTGTTTCCCAATTCTTTGCTTCATCAATTTTTCAATCATGCTTGTTTTGCTGAAATAATATTCAGCGCTATGTTCATCTTGTTCAGGATGCTGAAATGGGGAAGAATAGAAAAAATCAAATGAAACAGATTACTTCATTCGAAGTTGTAGATGGAATCTCACAAATGTCGCTCAAGCAGTTTCCTTGAAGTCCTACTTCCGAAATTCTTTCAGTTTCATGTGGCTCATCAACAAGCTAAGAGGAAATTTCAAATACTAGAGGGGATACACACCTGAACATCACTATCATAAGTAATGACATGAGCATTTCCTTGGTGATCATTGACGGCTATCTTAACCTGAGATCCGTGCTGGTCGTCTAGCTCATTTTTTGATAACTTCAGGATACAATTGCAAACGAATTAGGAAACTTTATACCTTTTTTATGGTTCTGCTTAAGTTGCCTCTTTGAAGTACACGTTGCAATTGAAATTTGCAGAAATCATCAGTTTCTTTAGGTATCTTGAGAGGATTATTTTTATGGAAATTCAGTCAAGAACATACCATATCAGGGTGTAATCTGCTCACTCTTAAATGCTCTTTCACATCAATTAGATGATTGAGCAAGTCACTTTTAGTTTTTGGACGAACCTCTTTTTCAACGACAATCTCTGCATCATCGTCACTGACATCATAGACAGGAATACTGAAGATGTAAGGGTCAAGCAGATACTGAGCGATTTACATACTGTGAAGTTGAAGGAATATTGAACATCTCCATATCATCTTTGAACTTCTTATTTGGACTTGTTAACTTTTTCATGGCTTTATCTACATTTTCACCATCAATTTGTCCTGAATTGAAATCAAATTGAACGAAATGATCTGTGAATAACCTCTTGCAACTTCCTCTAAATGTCTTTTCTTGTTTTTGGTGAAAAGCATATCTTGGTTCAACCGTTCAGCCCGTCTTGCATTCTCAAATAGACAACGTACATTGCGATGAAGTTATCTTTCTTATAACTTACTAATACTCTTCGTTTCAAATCAGGTACCCCAGGTCCGTCAAACACAAAAACAGGACGAATTTTGTAAAACAATAATTTAGCTATGCGATTCATTAAAAGAGCTAAATGGGGGTTTTTCGTTTCAGACGAATAACCTAGCTGTGCCTGATAGATCCATATAGAAACGTCTGAAGTATTGAGTTTTGACATGCTTTTATTCAATTTATATGAACGATCTAACCTACAGCTAATTTCTTGCCTTCTAATGATTCCAAGGTCACTGGAGTGCATGATGGCTCTAGTAATGGCCATAAGCCCGTTACTCCCATATCTTTCTAATTAATATATGTATATTTGAATATGTACAACTATACAATAAAGTTTTATTTTAGCCAAGTTTTTGAAGTAGACAGCATATAAGAAGAGGTACCATTGTGACGCAAAGTTAGTGTTGGCGTAAATAAGGTTTTCATTATCAAGTTGCCTAAGTTGAAAACAGAATTAAGCAATGGGTCATAATTTTCGGAATATTCAAGTATTTTCCTAATCCAGTCTGAGATCAGCGTATAAGATGCTAGAGATAGAAGTTCTTTCCATTTAAGTGCGATCTTTGATACCATATATAGAAATACTGGCCTTCGAACCATTGCGCAATCGGACTAAAACAGCTTGAAGCTGTTGATTGCAAAATAGAATTTGGTTGGAAAATAGTCATTGGTAGGGGATGTGTATGTGTGTGTGTCTGTGGAAGACATGGCATGTTCCATTATGTTACTGGTTCGGATAGCAATAGACCCAATGACAAATCAGCAAAAAATTCGTGGAGTTGTCGGAAAGCGGTGCTGATGGATAGGGTGGGAAATCCCAAAATCATGTTGATTCTCATGCTAAAAGAATGATTACATATGAGGAAGAGGAAAGAAAGGAAACAATGATTGGTATGTAAATGAATATTTTTTGTGTTTGTTGTGAATAAGGAAATTGTAATAAGAGACTTTTTAAGTTCTTTGTACCCTGAGAGCTTTCGGCTTAAGCTTTTGACTACCATCGAGTTCTGTGTTTTATTGGAAAATCTGTGTGATAGAAGAAATGAATGAGAAGTTGAGACATTTGAAGAGGAACTGAGTAAAGGGAGAGGAAATGGATGCTGAATACATGGCTTGTGGACATTCCTCCAATAACCACTTTAAGCCCTGAGGACAGAGTGTCAGTACCCTGAGGGAGAATGAGAGAGGGGAAATAAACAAAAATGGAAAATTTTATTGACGATATGTTCCTTTTGCTACTTTGGATATAAAAGGTTTTAAATTGTTGAGAATTAAGCGTAAAAAAACATTTTAATTCCATTTAATGTTTTCTATAAATGGGTGATGAGAAGAGGAGGAGAAAAAACAAAACAAAGTGTGAAAGTTGAATCTAAATTTCTGAAGAATTCACCTTCCTATGTCTCTCTCTCTCTGTCTGTCCCTCTCTCTCTCTCTCTCCCTCTCTCTTCTCAACATCTTTTTGCTCAAGTAATTTGCTTTAATAGTTTCCTTTGTATCTTTCTCTTCATAGAAACATGGTTTAATCTATCTGGACAATACACTCGTAGTTCTCTTTATCTCTCCCTTTCTCTTCCAATTTCTCTCTCTTAAACCTTCCACATGGTTTTGTTACGCTATCTGAAGATTCTGAATATGGTTTAGTACATTTCAATGAACAAAATTTGAATTAATCAGTCTTATAAAAATGTCTTTTTACATTTCAATGTCTCTCCATATTAGCGCGGTTTTGACCATAAAAAGGCTCATGCTCTGGATCTGTTGTCTTCTTCTTTTGGTCGAAAAAAAGATGAGAGAAAACGAGAGAGAGAGAGAGAAGAGAGGAAATAGGGAATAGAAGAAGTAAAAGAAGAATGAGCAGAAGAAGCATATAGATTATGTTCTGATGAGAGGGTCTACTAAAGAGATAGAGAGAGAGAGAAAAAGTAGAGAGAGAGATAGGAAGAGGGAAAAGACGGAAGAGTGAGATCGATACCTCGTCGTTCGTTTGGTTCGTTGCAATGAGAGCAGCAGAACCCGAAATGGCTTCTTATCCATTCTAAATGCGTCTTTGTGTGTAAGCACACTGGTATTTTCACGTGAATCTTATTAATTTACCATATTCCAGATGAATTAATTATTTGAATTTTGAGATCGAAAAAGGGGATAAATAAGAGAGAAGGAGAGAGAGAGAGAGAATATGTGTTCGCTTGAGACTCACCTATCCTTAACATAAGGAAGTAATCTCTCTTATTGTTTATTCTCATGTTTTCTATCAATGAATAGATTTTTGTATTCTTAGGGTTAGTTGTTTGTCTCTCTTTCTCTCTTTCAGTCCACTGCTTCATATTTCTCCAATCGTCTCTTTATCTCTGGTTATCCCAGTATAGATCTCTCATCATGTTCTTGTTTTGACCTCTTGAGCTCTTTCAAATTTCAAAAATTGAAAAAATAAAAGTTTTTTTCCCTCCAAATTGATCCAAATTACTTCATTTTCTATTTTTCATCTGAATAATCCATATTTTCGTATGCATACCAATCTTGACAAATGACTTCTTCACACGTAATTTTCCATTTTCCTAAGTTTTTCAGGTTCACAAACACAATTTCTTGGTAAGTACGAGGAATTATGCTTATACATACATCACTCATTCTTTTATAATTTACCACAGTGTTTTAGTTAACGAAATGCTTTTTCAAACTATTTATTCAATTAAAAATTCATTAAAACGTTGCTTGCCGCTGTTCTTCTAATCCGCAAAACTTATTTTTTCGCTTCATCCCCCCCCTCTCCCCTCCTTTTTTGGAAAACTGCTGATGCTTTCTCTTTAACTGCTTGTTGTCTTGGAATTTCTTGAAATTTCTTAGATTATTAGTGTTTTCTATCATTGCCTTTTAAAGAAAATGAATTTCGAAAAACGTAGTGAAAAGTCACAAAGATGATGATGACAACGATGAAGGAGAAGAAGAAGACAAAATGATCTTTTCGGACATCAGACTGAAGAAGTTTTGGCCGATGAACTTCCCCATTCAACTTCACCATTGATGTCTCTTGCAGAAGAATCAATTGTAATTTGAGAGTTTAAGAGAATCTCCCTTCTCGGCTCCTCCATCGCTCTTCCTTCCATTTTCAAACTCATTCTTGATAATCAAATTTTTATCTTTAAATCTTGACATTCAAAACAGTTTGTTGGAGTTAAATAAAAAACTGCTTTGTTTCTGCGATGAGCACAAGAAGTTTTCCATCCTTCTTCCCTTCCTCCCTCCCACTCTCGGCCTCATCCCCTTCTTCACTCTCTTGCGTACCCGTTTTTTTTAAAAATATTGCTTGAGGGCAAAGAGCGTTGTGTTATCCCCTATGATTTGCATATTCTCTTGCTCCTCTTCTGCAGGAAAAAGAATTGCTCACCTCACAGAGACAATAGGAATGTGTCAAAAGGGCTTGTTTTCCTTGTTCTTCTTCCTTTTTTCGGTCAAGCTTCTCATCTAAATGCTCATGCAACTACATACCATTTATTATAACAAACGTATTTACAATTCCATTCCCATTTTTTTCTATTTTTTTAACAAAATGAGAAGAAAAATAAAATTTTGTCGGAAAGTTTTGACCTCAAAAAGCTGGCATCTATCAAGTGCTTTAATTGATGTTTTGCTTTCAACACTTTCTGCCCTCAGGGAACTTTTCCAATGGACAATGTGTCTGACCGTTTTTCTTCTTCCTCCTCTCTCCCACCCATCGCTTTTTTTTGTTGAATTGTTGAAACAGCTTATCAAACTTTTGAGAATAAGTTTGAATTCTTTCATCTTCTTCTCTTTACATCTCCGCCCCACTTCCATATTCTAAAAACAGTTCGACGATAGAGCATTTTATAAGAAGAGACAGTGAGTAGAGAGTAAAAAAAGACACACAAATGGCAGATTCTCTCGTTTTCCATTTGCTGTCCTTATAATCCATCGATGAAGCCAACAAATGAGATTACCCTCTGATGAGCACGACATTCTCATTTGTACTGAGTGTGTTTCTCCTTCTTCACACCCATTTTAAACAATTTTTTTCTGGTTCCCCTTTCCTTCCAGACATTTTTGTTTATAAAAAAATTAAATTTTGTTTCAACTTGACTGCACTTTCATCGAGTGCTTTCAGAGAAACATAAGGAACATGATGAGGGAAAGAAATAGCTTATCAACAACCATTTCCGAACTACAGAACACTCATTTGTCTAATAAGGCTTAACTACTTTAACATGCTTTTCCATCGTTATCTAGTTGGACAAAACAGAATTCATGTAATTATCCTTATTAGCAAACTAATCGTTATGGAACAGATGGGTGTGAAGAATTCGTTGACATCTGAAAATTAATAAATTTCAAATCGAAATGAATGTTTTCAGCTCAAACGCAAAATGCTTTTTAGCTTCTGTTGTTTCGAAGGCCTTCTTATCGGTTAAACTGTTTGTTCATTCAACCATTTGTCTGTTTTGTTAAGTTTCGAGTTTCATTCAAAATCAGGTCAGACCCTTTTCATTGTGAAGTTTTTTTTTCATATTTCAATACTCGAATCTTCTTCGTTTGTCCATGAATTTGATTGATAGAGAGGGAATGGACTAAGCCAGTCATTACCTTTTTTGGATGAATGAGTTCGTTTCAATTTTTCATGCTTTACTTTCCATAATCTATCATACTCTCTTTGTTTTGAGCAGCTGACCAACAACTATGAGACATATCGTGAGAGAGACTAGAGAAAGCATTACATTAAGAGATGGAAGGCGAGGAAGCGTACGAAAAGAAAAAAGGAAAAGCCGAAACGGGAAGGAACAGCATTGCCTGTATGTTCATGTTTGTTCAGCCGTTTGGTCAGTTCATCCATCGACAGAACCAGGCCAAAAGACATTCACCACAATTGAAAAGACAACATCATTGTGAGAAGTTGCTCCTTTTATGGCCATAAACAAGGTGGACAATACGAAGAGAGAATGAGAGAAACAGAAAGATCCATAGTGAGTAGGTGCTAAAGAGGAAATGAAGAGGAACGAAAGGTGAGAATAGGATTATAACGACAGATCGACGTGTTCAGCTTCTGTTCCAACCAGTTGCATTTTGAAAAATGACGTTTTCATTCAAATTAACAGCATTTCCTTAATTTCTTTAAATTACTCTCAAGTAGTTTCTCTCTATTTCCTTTCTGTAAATGAGTATAAACTACATCGTACTTCTCATTATTGATTTCATGCGTTACCCTGGTAATTCTCAAAAAACACTATTATTTTTGTTCATTCAAAACTTCTTCTGTTCTTCCCCCCCCCCCCCTTTACTTCCTCTCTCTCTCTCTCTCTCTCTCTCTCTCTCTCTCTCTCTCTTTGCTCCTTTTTTTAAACAAAATATTACCTTGAAGTCTGGTTTTCATCCTTTTTTTGTTCTCGTATTCAAATATAGTTTCGAAGAAATACAAATTCTTCCTAAATCTCTTTTTCCACTTAAGCAACAAAGAGTTCTCACCATTTCAAGATTTTTATGAATCTTTCCAAATATTTTTTTTCATTCATTGATCATGTTCTCATTGGATATTTCATGAGAAAAAAATTTCGATAGCACTTTTCTCGTAATTTGAAATTAAAAAAAAAAAAGAATTTGAATGCAACCGCTTTTAGTGAGATCAAAATGCAACCGCTCTCTGTTGTCTGAATTGTTCGAATGAAAGTAGAGCGCTTATGTATTTCACGTGAATGTTCACGTATGAATTCACGTGAATGATATATTGCTATCGGATGAAACGCTCGCATTCTCATAGCATAAAGATACTTGAAGTAGTTTATTTATATGAAACGCACACAAACAATTTGACAAGATGGTATGTATGAATGTCAAAGCTCTTCAGTTTCAAGAAGAGAAGTTGAAGGGATGTATATTTATCATTCATGGTTTCTCTACTCCTTTTTTTCTGAGCTTTTGCTTATGAATGGAAATGAATGGTTGGTCAAAAGCTTGAGAGTTAAAGCTCGAAATCTTATTGAGATTCTATAAAGCATCACCGCCAAGCTGTAGCTTACTAACAAGCATATTCAATCTGACTGTTTACTTCTCTTTAACTATACAACCAATTATACTTCTTCATTTGTTTTCTCTTTACTTCGTCTCATTTGATTTCGTGTTACTGTTTATATCTCAGTTAGCTTGTCGTTTTTAGAGATAGCTCTGTGCCATATCAGTCACACCACGTTTTAGTTGCAGCTTTTTACATTGAAGCTTGCAATCGTGGCGGGACTAAACTCTATTTCGAATCCCTTTTTCGAAATGGATCCCAATCATACAGCTTCATCATGTTATGATAGTATGACGGCCAGTACATCAGATGATCCAACTATTGAACGAAAAATGTCAGAAGAAGCGTATATAGATGCTCCATCATTCCTATATGATGTTGATACAGATTTTAATGATTTAAAAGTATTTATTAATATCTTATATAACTATATAATATATATTTTAGAATGCTTTAAAGAGTACACAGTTTTTACAAGATTCTGGCTATCAATCAGTCATGGATCGTTTACATAATCCATTGTCTACCTCATTAGTTTGTACAGATGACATCAGTCTCAATGGTGAAGACAGTTTAGATGATCAATGGGGTGGGTAAATTAATATGCAAATTTCCGTATATTTTTATAATTAATAACTCATTTTACTATATTCAGATGGCTTCTTGACTGTTGGAGTTGATCGATGTAAAATAAAGGATATGTCAGATATATTAGCTTCACGTTATGCCTTTCTATCCGGTAATTCTATTTTGATTTTGTTGATTTGCTGCATCTCACCAGCTATTAAAACTCACACAAACACCTTTTGCAATTTAAATTTAAAAAACCAACTGCTGAAAGAATAAAATGTGATTTGATGATGACAAGCAATATGTGACGGATAGAGTGAGATGAGAGTGATAAAATAAGAAAAAAAAAGTTTTTTTTCATTTTCTTTCAGCTAAACTAAATGGTCCATCAAATAGCAAAATGAAAACTTTGTTCTGAACATGTGTGATAGATTGAAGAGTTTGACTGAGAAAAAAAACCTGAAGTTGACTGAAAATGACCACTTACATAACTAACGGAGACCCTCAACAGAGAAATGGCGATAGAAATTTTTATAACAAAAAGCATATTTGAAGGTGCCCGAACGAACGAAGGACTTACGATAGTAACATTTCCGGATTCAAGAGCTCAATTATCATTTGATGATTATCAATTATTAATTACTTACTTGTTACAAGTTCCTGCGTAAGCTGATAATTAATTATAATTATTCTATTGATAATCCAGATTGGAAGAGAGTCATAAAGGATTTGTATTAATTATTGACCGACGAAACGATAAATGGACATCTGTACGAACTGCTTTGATGAATGTCTCAGTGAGTTTGTTGTTTGAAGTTACTTTGAAACTTCCGTCCTCATCATTTCATTCCTCTGAGAAATCATGTTTGTTTTGTTTCCGGTCAATATTGACCAGAAATGGATATGTTTCCTATATTTTTTTATTTCATAAAACAGATGATTGCCTTCTTTCTTCTTATTCTTCCTATTTTGAGAAGAGGCAGATTCAGAGAGAAGAGGGAGATGAACAATAAGGTGAAATCACACCATTTTCATCCATTTTGAAATCGAGCACAGGCTAGTTTTTCGTTTTCTGAGCTCTATGTCTCTCTAGTCGAGCCATATGAAGCTCTCTGATTTTAAATGAACAAAAAAAGAACTTGCTGACTAAAGAGAAAGAGAGATGCAACTGCGACCTCACACCAATAAAGAGACAGCAAGACAACATCTGAATTCTGAACAAACATTAGTCCGAAGGTAGGATTTGAGCACGGGAGAAAAAAAAGAAGGGTTTTCTTCGTTCTCTCTCTCTGTCTCTTGCTGTTTGTGGAACATTTAGTTGTCTTTCCCTCTATCTGATGAGTTTTTGTTCGAATTCTCTGCTATGCTTCTCCATACAAGCCCAATTCCTTCTGTGGGCTAGCAGGAGCCGGAATTCAATTTTATTCTTACTTCCCTCCTCTCTCTCTCCATCTCCCTCATGTCATATTTGAATCTTTCGCTTGTGTTCGAATTTTTTTTCTGGGTTCTTTCCACAACATACATTGAAAGAGAGAAAAAAACGACGTTTGATGGCACAATGAACATTAATGATGAGCGATCGAGCAACTTGGATGGAATTTTGGATGAAAAATGAAGATTTTACAGTTCAAAAGTTCTTTTTTTGAACCTTCAAGAGTATCTTCTTTGCGCCAATTCCAACATCTTCCTCGAAGCTTCTTCTCATTCTTTTTTTGTCTTTTCACCATGAAAAATCTTGTTTTGTCTTCTCCATAACCACTAACATTTAACTTCTTTGAAGGCTTTTTTTCCTGGATACATTCGTGTGGTTCTTTTATTAAAACCTGAAGGTGTCCTACAACGAGCCCTCGAAGTCGGCTATCGAGGAATAGCGGAGAATTGCGCATTCAAGGTTTGTTTTCTTCTGCTTACTTCAATAAGTTTCTTATTCTAATGTTTTTTAGGTGATTCTGTGCGAATCATCGTTAGATCTTCGACGATTTCTTCGGGCTGAACAGTTGACGATGGATGTTGGAGGACTAATTAAATACAATCATCTTGAATGGGTTCAGCATCGAATGGTTCTTTGTGCCAGACAATCCTTTTTTATATTCAAATTCTTCTTTTAAGGATATCGAACGAATGAAATCTTCAGCAACTGTTATCGCTCAATCCTTAGCAGATTTTGGAAGAACATTACGAGAGACAGAGCTACCCAATGATGCTGAAACGACCGCAAGAATTCTTCAAATACAAACTTCCGAACGAGATGCTATTAAGGTGAACGTCTACTTTGTTTTTCTTGCAAATTCGTTTTTGTCATTCTTTTATCTTAATTTAATGCTCTCTTCCCCCCCCCCCCTACCGCTTTGTTCTTCATCTTGTTATTGCTTCGATTCTCGACAATCGTATGCGTATTTTGATCTTACCCTCAAGGCTTTTCCTACCTTCTATGGAATAAACCTCTTCCTACTTTTAATTTTCTATTTCTGATCAGAACAGCCGTCTACTGTTCATAAACTCCTCTTCTCATCCATGAGTTCTTTGTCGCCTTCATTTATGACTTCATTTACCTCTTTTCCTGAACATTCTTTGCTTCCTCTCTCTTCTGTGTTTTTCCCGTTTCTCTCTTTACGATTCTTCTCCTCCCTCCTTACAATCCTTCTGTGATCTTTCTATTCTCTCCTTCTCTTCGCCTTCGTACCGGTTTCCCGTTGATTCCTTCAGCAAATTTATCGATAACCTCATTATAATCCAGGCTGCATCTGAGGGAATTAAGCTGAAATTTTGTTTATTTTTTGAAAAAAACAAATAAAAATGACCATTTCCTTAATATGAAAATCAAAGCGAAACACTTCATGTTCTTGTAGTGTCGTCGTTCAACATCTGCAGTCAGCTATTCCTGCTTTCAATGACATTTTTTCCATTTTTCTATTCTTCTTCTATCTAATCCAATATAATTTAAGGAAGATTTTCGGATATCAGCTCGTAAAGGCTTGGCTCTTCTACGAACTGTTCGTCAATTGGAGCAAAAACCAAAAGCTGAACAACTCAGTCCAACCCGTCTTCACAACGTTACATCAATTGAACGGATGTTGGTTCAATTAGGTAATTTATATTTCATTTTAAAAACAATAAAAATGTTTTTTCTCTTGTTACAGAAGAAACGGAAAAGTCTTTTGACACATTCTGGGCGAAGCATGAAAAGCGTCTGATGAATTGCCTTCAATTGCGTCAATTTGAGGATTCTTTTCGAAAGGTTTTTTTTTCAACCTATTTTCATGATTATCTCTCTCTCTCTGTCTAAGCTGACAGCTGCTTAGATGGGTCAGATTTTTCTTTTCTTTTTTTCATCAATTTTGCCATTGTCTTAAAATTTTTACTTTGTTTTCTTTATGAAATTGCTATTTTCTCTAGTTATTCTATCATTTCTTGAAGCTTTCAATGACAAGTCGTCGTTAGAGTCTTCCACTCTCTCTCTTCCCTTCTCTCTCTCTCTCCCTCGCAGATCACCTTCATCCTATCTTTTCTTAACATTCCTCCATTATAATTCTCTTCTGCAACCTGTTAGGAGTTTCAAATTTTTTTCACATCAAACGTTCTTTGCATTTTTTCTGTGCTGATTGGTGTTCTATTTTGTTTTTTAAAATTTGATTTTGAATTGCATCAAGCTTGAAGTTCTACCAATTTCGTATATCATATTGATATCCCGTACATCATATGGCTACTTCTTAACCATTTCGTAATTGGCAAAGCGTTCAGAGCGGTCGTTCTATTGTTTTATGGTGAAGATCAGTCGTATCGTAAACGAAAATTATTTGAATAAGTGTAGTTAGCTGTTCTCAGCTAAGTATATCCTCTTGTTTTTCATATTTCCCTCACCTTCATCTCGCTCTCTCTCTTAAGAGAGAGAATAAGATCTGCTTATTCGCAGCTCAAAATCTTCACACACTCAACAGGTTAACAAGATGAAGACATCATCCTATCTCTTACTCTGCCAATATCTCTCTCAATATATCTTTTATTTCATTGGAGTAACTTTCAAACCAACATCGTCTCATTGCTATCTCAAAGAAGAAACTGTTTTCTCATATCCCCTCCTTCTTTGCTCATTGTTCACCATCTGTAATCTGTTTGTGCTTCTGCTGATGCTCAACTACAATCTTTACACGTTTTTACTTCAAACCCATCTTATTCATCTCTATCCTTTACTCTCTTCTATTCCTTCTTCTCATTTTTTCATCATCAATGACCATTTATGTTCAATTTTCATTTAACGTACTTTTGTGAATATCCTATTTTGCCTTTTTTCAACCTTTAGCAGACATTTTTCCTTCTAAAACTAACTGTAACATCTTCCAGTCCAAATTAGGTCACACAACGGAACTTTTGGTCAGATCTCCTTTTTTTCATTCTTTACCCCCTCTCGTTCTTTCCCTCTCTATTACTCCTTCTATTTCTCTCACCTTTTTCCCTTTCAACCCTCTTTTAACACACATCAACGGCTTTCAATTAAAGTTTCACTTTGAAATAACACTCCTTTAACTTACATCTTCATTCTCATCACTAAGCAACTTTCTCTTTAATAGTCTTCGGAACTGTCAATCTCAAAAGCTAGTTCTAAGCTTCAATAGGATCCTCAACTGTCTAAAACAATCGTTTTACTCAAATGTTTTAGCTTTGGTCTTTTACAAAATCCATTTTGATGTTCACAAATCGCTTAAACCTTTATCAAATCTCTGTCTGAAATCTTCTGAGAACCATCTTTGGTCAGTTGCAGCTTTTGATAAATTTCGACCAACTGACACATTTTTTGAGACATTTTTATGTCTGAAAATGAATAATTCTTTTCATATATAGAATAAAGAAGAAGTCTTCATCTATTTTTATATTTCAGTTACAATCATCGTTTGCCCGTCATATGCTGTATTTGGAAGAACATCGAGAAGTAGGTGACGGAGCAGAAGGAGCTGAGCTTTTAGCCAAACAACATCAGGAATATTCATCTCAAGCCATGGTATAGTTTTTTAATTCTTTTCTTCTTCTACCTCTTCTCTTTCTTGCTATTATCATGAAAAATAAAAATATATTGATCAATAAATAATTTTTAGGATGATGTCAAAACAGCTCGTTCACTTAAAGAAACAGGCGAAGAGCTGATTTCTTCAAACGACGTTGAGGTTTTTACTTTTTATTTTACGAACACTTATGTAGCTTTACAAACTTTTAGTTGAGTGCTAGCCTTTTACCTAAATGCGAAGAACTTGAACGAATGGCTGATGCTTTGACAGGAGCTTTGGAGAGAAGAGCCAAAGTTCTGGAAATGAGTCGAACAATGCATTCGCAAATCCAAATGGTTAGTTCATTTATGAAAATTGAAAATGAATGAAAATATTAATTTTATTATCACATTTGAAGGTTATTATTTAATATTTATATATGATGCTCATCATGCATGATGAGAGAGAGATTTACAAAAAGATATGCTTCATTGCTATTACTTATGCTTTAAGCTGTTCATGTCCTTGAGAGTACGATAAGCTTAACGACAGTCAACAATGCCCATTTAAAAGGCTATTAATGTGCATTTAGTAATTAATAATTAATCAAATTTTGTAATTATTGAAATCAATGAGCTTTTACAAGGCCGCTCATGTTTCATGCAACTCTCACTGTTGTATCCACTTACTTACACAGTCTACAACTTTCTTCTGTTCAGGCAAACTTGTGGTGCAAAAAAGGAGTTGAAATCCTAACATCATTGCCGAACGAAATGTCACCCACTCTAGCAGCTAATGGTTTGCTCAAGATGGATGAGTTCCTTGACGAAGGCTCTAAACTACAGGTTTGAATCTCATATATTATCCAAATAAAGAAATATTTAAGCTGGACGCTTTATCTCAATCACCTTCGATAAACAGCATGATCTTATTGACAACAACAGAAACATCGTCTTTATTGGCTCAGGTATGTTCATTAGATACATATTGACTGACCCCTCCTCACGTATTCTAATTTGACTACGTGAAAAGCCAATACACTCAAGCGTTCTTTTCATTCATATTGTCCGCATTCGCATAACTCGGTTGCTTTTCAAAGGCTGTTTGTTGACCTATTCATTTCTTCCATAAGACTTTTAACAATTTTTTTGTTCTTATGGAAAGGAAGGGAGAAAGGAAAGAGGCTAAAAATTCCAAATTGTTCATCCTCTTCCCCTCTTTGTTTTGCATCAACGTTGGCTGGGATAGTAAACGAAGAGTTCGAAAATGAAATGCAAAGAGATCCTTTTAATATAATATCAAGAAATAACTGGGATCTCTAAAAGAAAAGGCAAATACAATCTATGAGAATTTGGATTTGGTTGAGATATTTATGCTCACGAGGCGTCTGTCAATCGTTGCTTCTCCCACCAAATCGTCTTTCGCTATCATTCCCTTTTCATTTTATTTTTCCATTTCTTTTTTTCTTATTCAACAATTAAAATGAATTTATTTTCATTTTTATTCATAATAATAAATCATATGAACTTATGACTTATATAGATTTGACCAACAGACCTACCTCCTTAGAGAGACAGCCCAATAGAAGGCCAATGAGCTTTTCCTTCCTCTCCCACAACAACTTGCATTCTTTTTTTTTCTTCTTACAACCTACGGAATTCTTCATTCTTATTCAGCTTCGAAATGATATACTATACTCTTCTATTCTATTCGCTTCTTCTTTTTTTCCAATTGATAGTACAGAGGACAAGACACCCACCGGACATTGCCGATCAGCAACAGCTGTGCTTTCCTCCTTTGTGAAAAGAAAAGAATAAAAAACAGCTTTCCGATTGCTCAATTCATCTGATATTTGAAGTTGGCAATCAGACTCTGTCCAACCTCCCACTCCTATCTCTCTCTCTCTTACTGTTTTTTTCAAATTCTCTTTTTAGTCTCTATCTATCAATCCTTCTATTCTCTATCGTTACATCCAAAACAGCTTTCTCTTGAATCTGCAACGCATACCTTCCACATAAGGTATTCCCATCATATAATAAGTTTTGCAAAATTTTTTTTGTATCCTTTCGAGCCAAATCAGCGCCATCTTCATGGCAAAAGGGTCATCAGATGCCTTATAGACGATGATATCGTTCATCATCGATGTTCTCGTCGTCAACGTCGTCGAGTTAACCTCGTCTGACCCAATTCTTAACTTTTAAACTTTCCTTATAACAAAGAATATTTTCTCAGATTTCTGGGTTTTCCATGTAGAAAAGTGATTCTGAACTTATCATTTCTGTTCTTATCACATAAAATCTTTCTAGCTAAAGTCTCACTTTCTCTCTCTCTTTCTCTCTCTTCATCACTTCTGATGTTCTAAAACTTCTTTCTTCTATTCTACCTTCTACATTCTTTTGGGTTTCATTTTACCATCTATGGTCTGTTTAATTCATTCAATACCTTCTGAATATCGTATGCATCGTTAACTTCTACTCTCTTACCATCATTTCCGGATAAGGACATTCTTCTTCTGATTTACAAAATATTTCTTCTGTAAGCCTCATATTTTTAATTTTCTTTTCAATGTCACTCAGAAATTGCCAAAGCCGGTTATGCAAATTTTCATTCCTTACAGCCAAGGCTGTCAAAAGTTTTTCTTTTTTTCTCATGCCCTCTCTCTATAGCCATTGTCTCTGATTAAGCTGTTCCCTTCCTTTTGATCTGTAAGTTTAATTGGAAAAATTGAGCTTCTTCTCTGTATTTTCAATTTTTTGTGTTTGCTTTTATCTCATCGCTTCCGGCCCCCTCCCATTCACTCTCCCTCTCTCCCTGTTTTGACGATATTGAAAAGATAAAAAAGAAAAAATCATATTACAGGTAGCCGAACGAATCGACGATATCCGTCGAATGTCTGTGGCTCGTCGAGATGTATTAGCAAAGGCTGCAGCTGAATCGAAGAAGCCGGTACAAGTAGTGACGCCGGAAAAAGTAAAAAGGATTGAAGATAGCGTTCCATCGGTTAGTTTCATTTTCGAGAAAAAAAAGACAAAAGATGAAGATTCATTTGAATTATTAAAAAAACCTGTGGACAAACTAAAATTATTACATCGGGATTGAGAAGTTTGTAGTTGCAAGGGACGAAAATGAGGGATAGAGAGAGAGAGAGAGAAAAGGGGAGGGGAAGAAGCGGTGAGGGGAGGAAACAACAGGTTTCTATTGGTTTATTTGTATATTCAAATAAATTCTTTTGAATCCTAATGAAAACTATCAGCAAATCAAATTTTATATAAAATTCTTTGTCTCCTTTGTCGTTAGCAATACGGCACATCATAATCATTAGCTTGAAACTTCCATAATGGGGAGCTTTACGCATAAGCCCATTCTGCTCCTAATTGACTCGTGATTTCTCGTCTTTATACTTTTATGTGTTTTCGAGAGACATACGAAAATGATTTTTTTTAATCAAAAACGTGCTCAAACGTAACTTTGCCTTGTTTTTTGACAAAAAAAATATTCAAAATTATGGGAAATATTTGAATTGAGCGCCCAAAAACCAGCTTGCTTAAAGCCGTTTATCCTATTACGGACAATGACCCTCAGGAGCTTTTCTCCAGCAACTCATTTTCATAACAATATCGTATTTTATGAACACAACTATTAGCTCACTCTGTATAACCCTTGAAATGAGAAGAGAGTTCTACTGAAGTTTTTTTTTCTGTCGTTGTACCTCAACTAACCGTCCTCTTCTATCTGTCGCCAGATTGTCCGCCGCCTCCATAACCAAATGGTGTCGTCGTAGCAAACGGCTGTCTGACGCATTCCAAAATATTCTGACAGACTGAATTTTTGTTTTCCAATTTTATGTTGAACTGCTTATCATCGTTTCTCAATGATGGAAGTTCCAATAATAACATTTATATTTCAAACATCTCATCACATAACATACGTCAAACATCTGCCACCTGAGTTTTCATGTTGCCGCCAGCCAGATGACAAATCTTCTATCATTTTAACGTCGTTCATTCATGTTAAACGAGCTTGAACTAACACTTCGTCGTCTTCGTCGTCGTCATCTTCTTCTTATTTCATCTTATATCGAAAAGAATGTGATTCACGTGCATGTGTATCACATTCATCCTCCTCTCCATACATTCAAATTACTTCATTGGGCTGCTCTGAATGTTGAGGAACTTTCTGCAATTTCTTTTATTTTTTGTTTTTGCAAACATGCAAATGCTGAATTCATGATCTCTTAGATAGCTTAATGCATTCACATGAAGTGATTTGAGACTCCACGTGAGCAGCACAATCAACGTCAGTTGCACTTAAATGAACAAAGCGGAAGATTTGAAAGAGTAGAAGCATATTTGGATGTTTCAATATGAATAAATCTCTTCCCCATCAAAATCACATTATGTTTACCACCACTACATTCCTCAAATTGACAGATTCTTCTAATCCAAACTGGTATGATGTGAAAAGTCTAAAAGCATGATGATGAATGGGAATCTGACTAAAGAATATCTTCCACTTTTGAATGGAAAAAAAAAATGTTTTATTCTACATTTCTCATTTGCATATTCTTCATCATATCTCGTTTGACTGAAACTGCTGTCGGCCTTACCGTATTTTTCCCTTTTTTTCTGTGATTTTATAATTTTGTCAATGGTGAGTAGTAGGACCAGCTGATAAAGACCATGTTTTAAACTATACAATTTCATCTTTTTCATATTTCCTATCTCACTCTCCCTTTGAAACGAAATGTTTTTGTTTGATGATGAACATGATGGTCATTTCCTTCAGTTTCAAAAAGATCAAGAGAGAGAGAGAGAGAGGAAAAACTTTTTCCATAATTTTTGTGACTTTCGTCATCTACCTTGGAGGAGGTGGTGAATAGTCGTTTTTGAAATTTTTTTTTTGTGAACTAACCTATTTGTGGTCTTAAAAATGTTTCATCGAAAGAATCTGTTTCATGTTTGGAAGAAAACAAAAAGATGAAACGAAGAGAGAAACGATCAAAGAGAGAATTAAGAATACATAGAGAGAACGAGGGGTATGGAAGGCTCGGGTTAATACCCCTCCGGCCATTTTCGTCACTTGAGATGAGCCGAAATTGCTCAAACGGGACTCATCACATTCCATATTCAGCCATCATCTTCTGCGTTTCAATTGACTTGTTCTTTAAAACATAAGCTATCCTGTTTCAAAAAAATATTCTCTTTAACCATCTAATTCCATTTGAATGTTAAAAAAGGAATTGAAACTTCATCGATTGTCGTTGAGCGATCAACTCTTCTTCAAACTTTCATCCGACGACAGCACCTTTTGCTCTCTTCATGTCGAATGTTGAGAGATCTGTCAGCCAACAATCTTCTTGAGTTTTGTGATTTTTGCTTTTCATCTTCATTCATTCTCTCTTTTTTTTTCATCTTCTGATTTTATTTATAACTAATGGAAGAGATTGAATGAGCAAAGTGTTTGAAACTCTCATATGGAATCTTCATGAGATTTTTACTTTTCTTCTTCCATTTCTTCCCACTTGCCTCTTCAACTCAACTTTTAATCTCTTGCTTTCTTATACATTTTCGATTAACTCTTTCTTTTCTCCTCCCTTTATAAACCTATCTCTCTCTCTCTCTCTCTCTATCTCTCTCTCTCAAAACAACATTAAGAGATGAAAAGAAGAGAAGCTCTTACAGTGTCTCTCACAACAAATGATATTTGATAACAAATACTGATTACAGCCTTAATTGTTCCTAACTTATAACAAAAAAAAGTTTTTTTCATCTCCGCTTCTCATCGCCCTCTCTATCTCTGTCTCTCTCATACTTGTCAAACAAACCCTCTCCTGCCAATTTACCTTCTTTAGCCATAAGGAAGGAAGAGTCAATCTACCTGTCCATCCAAGCCATGACACAATCCGTCAGATTTCTTTCTTCCATCACCTTCATTTTACTTTTAAACAACAATATGAAAATAACTAAGACGAAAAAGAATTTTGTTGAAAGAAACGGAAAGTAAATCTCTTCTTTCAACTAATCACATGACTAAACATAAGTAGAAATTCATATAAAATAGCCAAAGAGAGAGATGTGAGTTGAAGAGAGGGAAGGACGCAAAAGAAATTTTATGGGCCATCCTTGACCATTCTATGTTCTGACTTTCCTCCTTTTCTTCTCTTTTACCAACTTTTTTATTCTTTTCTTAACATTTCACGAAACTGTTCAACTTCCTTTCGCAGAAAACAACTTTAGAACCATTCAGTTCTCTATCATTCTTTCATTCTTGATCGTATCGTCTCACTCTCTCTCTTTCTCTAAATCTACCAAGAATCATATGCTAACCGTACTTTTTTCTATTTTACTCATTGTTTTTAATCAATAAATGGCCATATTGACATCATTGGGTCATTTCCTCCTCTTTCGTAGGTCATGTCCAGCTATTTTTTCTTTTTCATCTCCACTTAACGCCAGATTCTTCTTTATGTACCCATCAGGCTAAGAGAAAAGGATGCCAACGCCGTCTTTTCCCAATTTTTTGCTTTATTTCCTCATCTTAGCCGCTAGTCGCTTTGATTCAAAAATGTTAAACTGTTGTTTTACTAATGTTCATAAAATAGTTTTGCCTCTTGAACTATCCACAAGGCATTTGCCTTACCCAATCTACTAAGGCGAAACTCCCCCTGTTGACTGCGATGAGCCTATTCGTTCAGTTTCACTCCCATCTAACTCCCATCTCTCTTCTATTTTCACGAAAAGCTTATAATTTTTGTCAACTTTTTTGTTGTTTTAAAACGACAAAAATATGTTTTAAACGCTCCGAAGCAGGTAGTCTCGCCAGTCTCATCTGCTTTTCTCCTTTTTTCGCCTTTTTTTTCTGCTAAACAGCTTTTTCCTTTCCAGTCTGCTTTGTCTTCAGAGACATGAAGCCATTACAGATGGACCCTCATGAACGAAAAGTTCTTTCTCTCCTTTTTGGCTTATTTGAATGTTTTTTTTGGTTAGCATCTGAGTCCATTTTTGTACTTTCTTCCTATTCTTTTATAGTTCCAAATCTTAGCAATCAATAGTATAGCAATCACTTTCTTTTATTATTCCCATATGTCCTTTCTAGGATATGAAGACAGGGGAGGAGTAAGAGAAGAGGTGATGAGGAAAAAAAAATATTTTTTTTCTCCTCGCATGTCTTGATTTACATCTTTAACATGCACTAACTACATGTTATTAACTATTCATTATTATGTCTTTTATAATCTGAGGCCAAACCTATTACCACCTGTTGGACTATCGTGTAAACTCGTCACTAATCCTCCATCTCTGAGTAAGAGGACAAAAGTTAACAATATTTTTGGCCTTTTTTGAACATTCCTCTTCTTTTCATTGGGTTTCTATTCTGTCTACTGCCCTCCCCACCCTTTTACTCCTTATAAGCTTTTAATGCTCTTAGCCAATTCACTTATTTTGCTTTTGTTTCTTTTTCTTTTCTTACGCTCTCTTTCTTTTAATTTTTATATGAATGACGTCATTTATTTTATGTTAACAGAAAGATGAAGAGGTCCCTTCCTCGATTTTTGTCTTTTCGTCGTTCAAAACGACGACTTGTTCATTCGACGTCTGCTTCCTTAATATGTGAGCAGAACAACAACAACAATGATATTCTTCTGAATAATTTTGATATGGTAAGTCTCATTTTATTTTGTTGGACTTAAAAGGCTATGACTACGTTATATACATTCATTCGCGTGCTTAGCTTTTGTAATATTTCTTCCATATTTAGCAATATGGTCGGAGTGTAGGGAGAGAGAGAGTGAATCTCTTCTATTCATTCACCATTACCATATGGTTTCGATAGTTTGGAGTAAAAAGAAAAAAGTGAAGTGATCATTCAAATAATGAACTGTTCATTCTTTTGTATATTGCATGTGTCCTCATTATCATCTTCTTGTCCTCTCGGTTCCCTCATAGCAGACCGTATGTTGAGGACGAACCCCTCTATAGCTCAATTGAGCCGATTTGTGTGCCAATTGCTGGAAGAGTTCATCTGAAAATTGAGAATAAGCTTAATTTTAGCTAATTATCATATTATTGTTTGGACACATTGAAAGACTTTAAGATTAGAAATAAAAATATTAAAAGTCTTTTTGACTCATGTGATGACCGCTGATGGTCCATATGGCGCCTTTTATGGTCTCGTATCTTATGTTTGATTTAAGTTTATCACCTACTCTCTTTTGATTTTGCAAAGCTTTGAAGCTACATATATTGAGTTTACTTTTGATTCTGCGCAAAATAAGAAACATCATTGAGACTAGGATAGCTCTATGTAAAGTACAAGATAAGGAACTGCTATGGGGCTCCCCTAGTTTTTTGGTTTTCCCGTTTGCTTAGCTATACCTCTTCCTCTATCTCTACTTTTTTTCATTCTCTGATACAGAAGCTTGTAATTAAAACTGAACGGTCTCATTGCTTAAATTCGATGTTTGTCTTTGACTCTCGAAATCACCGGCTTGACATTGACGACAACAGTCGCCTTCTGACGTCAAAACCGTACAGTTTCACACTTTCACTGCAAACTTTCCATCTTTTTTTTTGAATAAGAAGAAATTAATGAGAAATTGGAATGAAAGTGGGTGAGAAGACATTTCTCTTTTTGGGAGGAGGGAAAATGAAAAAGCAATCAGCTTCTGGCCCTTTCATTCTCGTCTTGTCCGAAATGTTTCTTTGACGCCATGAAAACAATTGGTTTTATACTGTTCGCCAAGTCAGTGATGATTACAATCTGCTTTTGATGGAAGAAAAAAATTAAGAGAATAGTTGAACGTAAGACAGTTTTTGGGAAGCTTTTTGGGGGGAAGAAAAAACGTTTTTTTCTCACCTGACGACCTTGGAGTTGCAAAAATATGACGACGAGGAAGATTTGGTCGTCAATGTGGCGTTTAAAGAGCGTAAAAAGTGGACGATAAAATGGCTGAGAAGAGTAGCCGTTAATTAGTTTCTCAAGCAGTTTTTCATTCATTTTATTCGTTTTTTTTTCTTTTTTAGTTTAACATCTCCGGTACAATTTTAATTAGTTGAAGAGAGGGAAGCTTTTTAGATGAAGAATGGCCATGAGAAAGATGACCATTTCACTTTCCAATAATTTTATTTGTCGGCTTTCTCTTTACAAAAAATAACTTTCGCTTTCGTTATTATTTTCTCTGAATATCAGGATTTTTCATCTTTTCCATCATTCTGGATTACTTCGCGAAACGTTCAGCTTCGCAGAGAAGTTGATGTAACTTCTTCTTCTCTCCATCAATGCTACTGATGTTAGCTGATGGCGAAGAACTTTTAATCAAACTATCGATTATGAGAATATGATAGTTTGGGAGTTTTTAAGCACTTGGACTGATGAAGGTTTTAGTTTGGGAGATGGGTACTTATGAATGACTGGGGCTTTGTCACAGATGTCTTGATCCATCTGAAATTCATAAATTAGAAAACTGTCATCAACTGATTTTCAAGGACAGACTAGGGCTTCAGCATTTCATCTAGAGTGATGATGGGGATGGGGACTTTCTCACCTTCATTCTTTTTCTCTCTTTATCTCTCGCTTTCTCTTTCAAGATGTCCTTCTACTCTTCAATATGTTTGAAATTGTTTGGATTAGTTTGGCATTTCATGAAAGAAAGCAATAGCTAGATGATAAATTGATAAGTCTGATGATTAAACAACACAAACACAACATGATTTCCTTCGGTTCTCTTTTCACTTTCTCCTCCCTTTTTGGAAGAATTGTGATGTTGTTTGTATGTGTTTGAAAGAGATAATTAGATTTCTGAGAAACAAGTCGAGGATTGTCTTTGATCTTCGTACTTGTTAGAGTATTTTGATTTATTTCAAAAAGATTCTGTTTGACAGGTTGAAGGGTTACCTTGAAAATCCTCAAAAGTATCATTTTTGAGGTTTGAATATAAAAACAGTAATAGATGTTAAAGAGAGGATGAAATGTTTTTTTTAGTGAATCAAAGAGTGAGAGAGAGAGAGGGATGAAAACAGAGACAAACATGAGTAGGATTACATTTTGGAAAGACATAGTAGTTTGTTAACTGTTGCACTCGTTTTACTGATAGTGTTGAGAATATTGAAGTCCCGCCCAGCGTCCAGACATTCTTTGGGTCTATCGTGATAATGACATTACTCATTTTACTGATAAGATCATCCTGAAATTCAGAGATAATTCCATTTCTATAGTTGGAGAGCTTTCTCTCCTTTGATTTCCCTCACTCAATTATCTATCTTAAATGACTTCAACTATACAACTTTATCGTTCACGATGGATTGGTCATTTGATCAGTCAATATCGGCTTGTAAAATGCTTATTTTCTCCTAATTCTAAGGTAACTTTATCATCTATTTTTACTGTTTTTGTTATCTTTTCGGGAATATCCCCCTTTACTCCCAGTCGATTACGGTAGATTTCCCGTTTTTGTCATCTAAGCCTATCTCCTTTTTTTCATTGGATGATAAAGCTGATTATCTCCTTGGTCATGTGAATGACTATGTGAAGATTTTTTGATATTATTTCTTTTCTTCTTTACGTGAAATCATTTTTTTAAATTCGAATTTCTGTACTATTTGATCTGGGAGACTCTGACATCTTTCGTTGACAGTTGAAACAGAGCTGATTTAATCTTTTTGGAACTTTTTTTTGAGAAAGTTGATAGAAAGTGAGAGAAAAAAGAGACAGGAAATGAAAGAGCTGGAAAAGCTCTACACAGAGGCTGCTAAGCAGTTCGCATCTGCAAATGGCTTGTTGTCATCAGACTAACTGATTCTAGACCAATAAATAAAAAAAAACCTTTTTCATCATTGTGCTTTTCCATATTCATTTAATTTATTCCTTTTTCAGCGTGAATTAGAAGATGATAACACTGGAAGAATGATGTGCTCAGCTGATGTCCCATCTGTATCCTCTTCTCCACAATCTTCACACAGCATGTCAATTGAACGATTCGTTTTATCAGAATTGGTAAGTTTTGCTTTTCCATATGAATAATCATAGCTTGCGATGCATTGTTATCACGTCAAGTTGCGTACACTCGTTTTTCACGTAACGTAAATCTGTTACGTCACCAATGATTTGTAAAATTCGGCGTGCGAGAATCGGTTGCGAACTTCTTTGCTTTTAACGTAATGGGGTATTGTGCGGGTTCTTCTCCCTTTTTTTGTTAAGAAAATTGAATTTCGTGGCAAAAACAGGGACGAATAAGCTTAAAAAATTGTTATTTCAACGAATTGTCTTTCGTCGGATTGTTCTTGTCTTTGGGAGAAAAAAGTGTGTGTGTGTATTTGAATGATGTCTTTGCCAGATTAACTGTTTCGTCTGTAAGTGAAATTTCTTAAATAAAAAGACGCTCATAATCTGTACAATCGACAGAGTTCTTAACTGATTTCTATTTATTTTTTGTTAACAATATGACGCAAGCAATCATTTCGATTAAATTCAAAATGGAAATATATGATAGATGAAAATGGATATGATTATATCATAGATCTGGTTATTGATCAATCAAGTATTCATTTCGAAAAAAGCTTGTTGGTTAAGATGAAAATTGAAGATTTTTTTTTACATCTAATCGCCAGAAAGATGATTTTTGAAATACATCTTCCATATATGAGATGAACAGCTTTATGAACCATTATCATTACAGTTGACAACGGAAAAGAACTATGTGGCTGAGTTGGAGTCAATCATCGAGAACTATATGGATCCGTTCGATTCTCCGGAAAACCAAAGCATCTTAGCTCCAGCCATTCGTGCTCATCCAGAACTTGTCTTTGGTAATTTTTATCTTTTTTTTTAACAAATAGTTCAATGGCTCAAGCACAAAAGTGATAATCAGCACACTGCTTGAGCTAACGGCTTGTAAAAAGCGAAGTGGCATCCGATGAAAGGGTTTGAAGAGGTCGAGTAGAGAGAAAGATGTCCCTCACTCGATTTTTCTTTTTGTAATCTCTAATATTCTTTTGTTTGTCTCTCAACAATATGCGCCTCGAAGAAAAAGAAGGAAAGGGAACTGTAAAACGAAAATAAATTATATTTTTCGCATATAATTCCATTTATTGCAGGAAATCTTCGCGAATTACACCATTTTCATTCCCGATTCGTCTTGCCACAACTAAATGCCAATGAAAATTCACTTTCCGGAATATGCAGAACGTTTTTACAACAGAAACATAGGTAAGCGAAAGAACAGCACATTCATACAATTTCTTATTCTTCAGATATTTGGCTTTGTACCACATGTACTGCCAGAACAAGTCAACAACTGAACAAATTCGCAAAGAATATGTTGATAACTCTCCCTTTTTTGCCGTAAGTTTATAAAATCGTAAGAGTAGCTTTGAATGTGCGTTTGTAGGAATGCCAGCAAAAGGCAAATCATCTACTGCCACTCAGTGCTTACTTACTGAAACCTGTACAAAGAATAACAAAATATCAATTATTGCTCAGAGAACTTGAACGTCACTGTCGGCCAGAGGTTTGAAAATTCCTTCACTTAATTCTCTCATTCTGTTTCTATTCTCAGATAAGACCGGAAGTTTCATCAACGTTGACAACAATGCTCGACCTTTTAGCCCAGATTAATGCAGCCATTCATCAGTTGCACATTTCCGGCTTTAATGTAAGTTTTTCCCAGACAAACACAATCATTTTCTTTTTTCCTTACAGAGTGATCTGAGGTTATTAGGAGCGTTGAGGTTACAATCGGAATGTGACGTTTTCACTTACAACAGAAAGAAGAAAACTAAAGTCACCCGAGCACAACGTCGACATCTCTTCCTATTTGACGGTGGACTGCTTTTCTGCAAAAAACGAAGTCCGCCGAATAGCCAACCTTCTCAAATGGATCCTGAATACTTTGAGCACAAAATGTGCATTCCGGTATAAACAAACTAGATGTAATATTCAATCTCGTTTTGCTTACAGACGTCTTCACTTGGCTTCTCTGATACCTCTAAAACTGCCTCTAATCGATTTGAAGTTTGGGATGATGCTAAATCTGAAGCGTTTGCGATCGATACCCTAGAATCTGGTCATCGTGAGCGATGGGTTAACCGGCTCCAAGTTCGGTAAGAATATGATACAGTGTGCATTCAACATCTAACATCTCTTTGAAGGTTTTCTTCTGATTTGGATTATCATCGAATGGATATGGATAGGCAACGACCTAAAAGCTGGGCCAGCACAGCCAGCAATGACAGTTCGTTCAGTTCCTCAACACGCACTAGTGATGAAAGGTATGGTTCTGAAATATACAATATTGGAACTTGAGACATTTAGTTCGAATATGATGGATACTAATGGTAACACTCAAACAGCAACTCTATTTGAATCTCCGACAACGATGTCACCGTTACACAGTCCCACATCAACCTTAGACACATCGGTAAATTCGAAGTCTTTTCGAAATTATTCTTCAAATTTGTTACAGGGCGAGTCAGACCATGTAGTGCCGCACACCCCAATAGTCCCAATCTCAGAATCACTTTCATCAAACTTAGTGGAGTTGAATGAAGAAGAAATAGAGTTGGTTGAGGATGTTTAGAGGAATAGCCGATAAGAACCTCGAAAACTAGACAATTGTGATCTTTTTCTCCCTAATCAACATATCACCAAAAGTCTCTCTCTCTCTCCCTCTTTCTCTCTCCATCTTTGGAATTTTCTTTTTTCCTTTCTATAATCTAATAATTCTTTTTTTTTTTATATTCCAACAAAATCTATGTAACTATATATATATCTGTATAAATCTAAAGATTGGTCTTGAAACGACCACGGGGCATATGTCGCATCAATTTATTAATTATCCTAATAAGTATAGTTCCTTTTTTTGTTCTTTAAACACTTTGTTTTGTTTCTTCTTCAAGAGTTTCCTTTGTATATAACCGGTCAATTTGATGTTTCATTGAGTTTGGGATATTCTCATATTTTACAAATTCGATCATCACGTTTTCTTAAGCAACAAAAATTATTGAAATGACCCTTCCAAGCGGTGCTTTATAGTCTATTCTCATGTTATATATGAATTTACATGAATCTTTTATCAAACAATTGTTCTTTCTGTATTTAATAGTTCTGATTATTCAGGATGCAACTCTCAGCAAGTTCAAATAGGAATTCAAACTCCTCAAAATGTCTTTACCTACCGGATAATCTTTCTTTGTTCAATTTTTCACTCACTCTATATTCGAAACCCACGTGAGTTTCACGTGTCACATACGTGGCTATTCTCAACCTCAGCATTTATTCTTAATGACGTTAGGATGCGGTTGCTGCTCTGTTATCATCATAAACTATTATTTCCTTATGTGTTTGAAGAGTAAGTACATCAACGTCAATCCCGAGTTTGTTCATGCTGGAGAAGGAACGTTTCTAAGACACGAATACCAAATGATTCACAAATCTTGATGGCAAAGCGTCAATTACGGTGTTGCTAGTTTAAGGCACGTCTATCATAGCTATTGGTAATGCCAGACCAGGGGTAGGTCATCGACTCACAAGAAAGTCTAAAATGTCTGACTTAATATCCTTCTCCATACATGACAGAGTGGAACAAGGAACTGGAACATATGGATGCCATATTTGTCACCTTTGTGATTGCATGTACGTCAGCGGCCGTAATCACTCAAAACAACACTCCACCCAAATTTATGAATTGTTGGAGTTGTGCCAGGAACTCTTGATTCATGACTGGCTACTGAACCAATTGATTAACCAGATAACTATTATAGCCTCCAAATTAGAAAAAGAATCCATGATGAGCCGTACCGGTGGTTAATGTAAATTCTTTTTATCAGCTAAAGGTTATACTCAAGGCCAAAACAACCGCCTTGTTATGGTAAAATCGTTTTCAGACCGTTTAGACCGAATTGTGACAAACAAAGTGAAATAGGAATAGCCGTAGCTATTCATAGACTTTGGGACTGTGAAATATTTAAATACAAAGAAGGTTCTCGAAGTGGAGAAATACTATGACGTCGGTGAGGTGCTGGCTGTAAACTAGTCTACCTCCACCAACATCGTTTTGGATCTTCTGTTAAATCTATCATCCTGATTTCCTTTTTCAGTGAGGATTGTGATGAATAATCTGAGAAATGTTAAGAATCGGTGTTAGTCAACTTGTATCTCCTCTCTTTTTTTCTCGTAAGTTCATCGATCAGATCAGAGATGAAGAACAATAGCTGGAGAACATATAAGATGTTACTTTTCATGAGAAACGTACTTTAGTACTTGGGTGGACAATACAGGATCATATCGATGACTTTCGTAAAACCACACCGCAGATGTTTAAATTTCCAATTTTTGTCCAAATAATTGATTGCTCTTTCTTAAATCAGAAAGTGTAAAACTTCGGACTTTGAATCTTTCTCCTTTTTCCAAAATAATCTGCTAAAAACCCATTTTGCTTCTCTAACCCCGATTTCGAATTTCACGTGAACTTCACGTGAAATTCTCATTCAGTTTGGGTTTGCATTTTCATTTTTTTTCGGCCGAATCGGTTGTACACCTTATGTGCAAACTCAAAAACATCCTTTCAAATATTCTGACAACTTTTTTTCAGAAGGAATAAGTGTTGGAAAAATAAACTAAGCATAATCAAAGATAAAACAAGGAAAAGGTTGTATTTACAAACTTAAAAAGTACATTCAACTTTTAGACATAAGAAAACAATTGTAAAAATGCATTGTATATGTTAGAAATAACATAAGATCAGTTGTTTTCCCTCATTACTTGATCAGATATTCAAATTATGAAGAAAACCATGTGGTACTCAAAATCATACAAAGAGTTTCAGATATATATGATATGTATGTAGTAGGTAGTAATGATTTGAGACTAATCTTGGGTCTCGGGTTTACAGATATCCAAAAGATCGAAAACACAAAAATTAGTGATTGATCAGATAAGTTATGAAGTGAGTCAAAAGGTTAAGAACCACAGGAGCATTCGAAATCTTTGCCAATTATGCGAATGTTCATAAAATCGCACTTTATCTCCTCCGTCTCTCATATCGATATAGTGTCTCGCACTATCTTGTGTCTAACACCTCTCTAATTGCATAGTGTCTCGTGAGAAATCATTCTTCGCAGTGGATTACACAACATGATGGTCGACAGAGTGTGTATATAAAGGACGGAGAAAAGGAAATGTTGTCAGTGCTTTTTTCACATTATTGGATGTGCTCATCATGTCTTGTTTCAGACTATGTCTTTGTATTTTCATACATCACCTCATCTGTACAAAAATGTTTTTCTGAGAATGTGACTATCTTCCTAGCCTCTTCTCTAGTTTGCTCATAGTTTTGTTTGTTGCCGTCTACTTGTATGAATTCTGATGTCGCACTCTCATACGTTGGAGTAATCTGTAGATTGATGTGACAGATCAGACTATGCACGTCTTCATTTTTTACTCCAGAATTTCAAACATAACTGTGTTCTCACTATAATCACCCGATCACTATCTGTGTAGTATATCTAAGTATTTCAGTTAGTTATCCGCTATGTGTGGAATTTTCGCAGTTTGTCAACAAACATGCTCTACGAAAGAGAGATTCTCTCTGGAAAAAGCTCAAATGCTCTCAAAGTATATTTTTCTTTTTCCACGTTTAGAATTTTCTTTCTTTACAGAATTCAATCCCATAGAGGTCCAGATATGTCTGGGTTCTATCAGGATGAAAAAACTGGAGATATTCTTTGCCACGAACGCCTAGCTATTATGGATCTTGGAATCGCGCAGCCTTTGGCTGGGACATATCCATCCAACCAAGTTATTCACAATGGAGAGATCTACAACTTCAAGGAACTTAAGTCAACGGAATTGTCCGGAATGCCTTTCCGTACTAACTGTGATTCTGAGGTTATCCGATCGTTTTCCTTCAAAACTTGAAGTTTTTCTTTCAGGTAATAGTATTTCTATATGAGAAATACCGGTCCGGAAAAGCCTTCAACAAGCTCGACGGTGTATTTGCTACTGCTGTCTGTTGTGACGGGGAGTTTATCGTAGCGCGAGATCCAATTGGTGTCAAACCATTGTACTACGGGGTTGATCAAGACGGAAGATATATGTTCAGGTAAAGTATACCATCTATATTCACTGATTATATGTGAGCCTTTAGCAATGAAATGAAATGTATCGAAAAGGAATGTGGATCTAAGCAACTTGCGATTTTCCCACCTGGCCATTACTGGACTCCAAAAGAGGGATTTGTTAGATATTACGAGGTACAAAAACAATAGACTTGAAGATATATATTTCTCTTGATTATAGCCCGAGTGGTTCGACTATCAATTGTGCACTCGCGAACCGTCATTACAACTACTACACGACACGTTTGTAGAAGCTGTTCATAAACGGTTGATGTCTGATGCTCCTATTGGAACTTTACTGTCTGGCGGTCTCGACTCCAGTCTCGTCAGGTGGGTTGTTCATTTCGGTTAAAGTTCACAACTTTCCTATTACAGTTCCATTGCTGCCCGAGAGATGAAGAAACGTGGAACGAACATCCATAGTTTCTCCATTGGTCTAGATGAGAATTCGCCGGATTGTGTTGCTGCTCGCCAAGTTGCTGAGCACATCGGAACTGAACATTATGAATTCTTCTTCGATATTGAGGTAAGAATCACAAAGATTTCTATTTAAAATAATTTTTCAGGATGGAATTAAGAACATCAAGAACTTGATCTGGCATTTAGAGTCCTATGACATTACAACTATTCGAGCTTCAACTCCCATGTTCTTCCTATCACAGAAAATTCATGAGCAGGGAATAAAAGTGAGTTTTATTGTTGAAGAACTCTTTGATTTCAATCGAATTGTAGGTAGTCCTCTCTGGAGAAGGTGCGGATGAGATTTTCGGTGGTTATTTATATTTTCATAATGCTCCATCAGATGAGGAGTTCCAAAAGGTTAGTACAATTATTCACATTTATCTATTCTTGCACTTCAGGAAACCATTGATAGAGTTACTCACTTACATACTGCGGACTGCTTAAGAGCTGACAAGTCTACAATGGCTCACGCTCTAGAAGTTCGTGTACCATTCTTGGACAAAGCTTTCTTGCAAGCTGCTATCATGACCAAGCCTGAAGCCAAGCGTCCAAAACCTTTCCAAGGGCGGGACGTTGAAAAATACTTGCTTCGCAAAGCTTTTGAGCTTGATCAGGATCCCTACTTGCCTCAGAGCATCTTATGGCGTCAAAAAGAACAATTCTCAGATGGGGTTGGTTACAACTGGATTGACACCCTTATGGCTTTCTGCGCCTCTAAAGTCTCCGATGAGCAGGTTAACTTAAAAGAAACCATGCTTACTGAAAGCAGTTATTTAGTTCGCGAAGGCTGCAGAAAAATATCCTCATAACACTCCCGCTAGCAAAGAAGCATTTTATATGAGAGAAACTTTCCATGAGCATTTCCCTAGTGATTCTGCTGCTCAGACGGTTCGTAGATGGATTCCAAAATGGCAAAACAACCAAGATCCATCAGGTAATTATTCATTTCTTCACTTCGTTGTGTACAATGTTCACTTAATAGGAAGAGCATCCACTGTTCACGATTCCACCGTTGAGAAAGATTCACCAACCAAAGAAAATCCAATATTATCTCGAAAATCCCAGGAAAGCTCGTATCCTCAAGCATGATTCATGTAACCATATATAATTCAGTTGTTGTTGTTGTTTTCTGTAATTATTGCGAATAAAGCTATTAAGTTGATAACTTATAGTTAATGAGATGTAAACCTCGGAGCAAAAGATCACAAGAGCAAAAGATCTTATTAAGCATGTAGATTAAAGAGAACTGTTGTGTCTAGCAGTATAACCCAGTGCACAGACAAGTTAACTTGCTTGAAATAATTTATTCGTTCTTATGAACATAATATAATAATGTGTGATGTCCATTGTTTTAGTCAAATGTTTTATTCTGCTGAGCATTTCTTCGAATTTTTCGCAATTCCTGCTATTTGCTGTTCTACATGCGTTTTTGTAATTTCACTGGAACTCCATGGATGGGTTTCAATACTACCTCCGTGCAAGGAATATTATCTAAGAATGGTAATGTTGCAGTAAGCTTGAAATTCCTGATTACGGAGGCTACTACTGTTTTCTCTTCCATCATCGCAAATTTCTGTCCTTAACAGTGATTTTTAAGAATATGAACATGATCATCATCAAATCAAACCAATGCAATTTCTGGGACCAGCAGAAAATGGGATGTAATCGTAAGCATTTCGTTTCTCCAGATTTTCTGGCAGGAATCTGTCAGGATCAAACTTATAAGGATCAGGGAATGCCTTAAAGGGAAGTATTAAGCTAAGCCCACACTGTTGATATGAATACTTTTTCGTTGTAATGAAGAATCAAGGGAGACAGTACTAGTTGAACACCTTGAGGGAAGAAGTATTTCCCTAGAATTATTCGATGAGTAACATTCCCATCATTTGTTTAACCTGTTTTGAAATCTTTCATTAATTTACGCTGAACAATTGGAACAGGTGGGAACATTCTCAGTGACTCTTTGATTACCCTCTCCAAGTAGGACAATTGTTTGATGTTTTGTACTGTTATCTCTCCATGTGGCCCTTAACACACACGGAAATGAATCGGTCCTGTTACCGCTGTTCACTTACCCATAACTTCTAGTATTTCTTCATAGACTTTCTGTTGAATATCTTGATGGTGTGCTAATGTCCATAGAACGAACGCTATACCACTAGATGTTGTGTCGTGCCCTTAAAAAAGATAATGAATGCATCTACTTCAAAAGTTTTTAAACCTTCGAACATGAATGTATCAACTTCTTCACGGATATCTTCATCAGACAGTTGGTTTTGTCCTTTCATCTCTAACAACATATCTAAGAAGGCTTTCTTTCCTTCACGATGTTCGAAACCAAACTCCTCTATTTCTTCTTGTCGCTCTTTGATAACCTTGATAGTACAAACTATATTCTTCTTATCTATTGAAATTGTGAGTACTTGTAATGTGAATGATTTTAGAGTGTGGAGAAGATCATTCTTCTTTTTGGCATATCCTAAAGCATGCCATACGGGAGCAATCCACAACCACGGAGACAAAACGTACACCATGGCCATGGTTGTGATTTCCGTAACAGCCAAGACATATGGATGGTTGACATTTTTTTGAGCTTCATATGTTTTGCCCATGGCAGTACCTAGAGAAACATTCTGAACGGCAAAGTGGTATAACAAAAATACCGCAAATGATATCCAAAGCACATCGTTTAATATAGGGGAAGAGATCAATCTCTTCATGTGTATCGGCTACTTGGTCAAGACAATCGATTAAAATCTAAAACTGGAAATCTGAAGTATCAAGTTGTTTGGCTCACATCTGTTTCTATTCCAAATGTTTTCATGTAACTGTCCAACATAGTGAAATGAAAAGTAGGTGTTAACATGCGTCTGCGAGTCTTCCACTTTTCATTTGTACTGATCAGAAGCCCAGTACCTAACCATTCTTCCATAAAATCATAACTGTCTCCCTTAGTGATTTCTTCCAATGAATCAAGTATATCCTCAAATCGAAATTTCAAGAATTGTCTTCTCTAATGCAAACTTTGGAGGAAGCCCCGTCCACAGGAAAAACAAACAAATGCCTCATGTTCCAGAATCGCATGAATCCTTCTCCATTGTTCCGTACTTTATCGCTTTCTCTTATTAAAAATTTCACCCAACCTGAAAACAAAGACAAATAGAGAGTGAGTGAATGAGAGATCTACCTTCAGTTCCATTCAAAGCAAAATGATGGCTATTGCCAATTATTGGAATTAAGGCTGGCCCTTGTAAATTTCGAGCATAATATAGATGTCGAAATAGTCTATAAATCGCAGGAAAGGCCACAACTGCTAAGAAAGTTGCGAGAGCGATGAGAACCGCACTCATCTTCTAGTAGAATTTACAGTGAATTCGTCCACGTTAGAATGAATCAGGTAAGAACCAGAATGTGGAAAAGACGATTACACTTGAAAACACCAGCCTAGACTCTAGTTGTTATCAAGACAATTTCGTTGCTACGTAGTTTGGTAGGAACAGAGTGAGACTACAAGCAACGAACATCGCATTTATTGAAAATTTTCATGATAAGCACATCCGTGCACACATGGCAAGTAAAGTAAAACGTGGCATCATCGTAAATGTATAATAAATACAAACATATGTAATTATGATATTAATAAATATATATATGTATATACATGAGATATCAATTTAGAAATACTTCAGCAATATCAACTGGTCGATTCCGAGTCAATAACTATAATCTCTGGCCCCCCAAGAGGAGCATGAGGCAATGTGGATGTTATTGCGGGAGCTAAAGCGTGAATAGGAGCTATAGATATTGTGGGAGTGAGAGCTGGTGTTAATCGACTAGCTGCACTGGGCTCTAAAGTTGGAGTCGAAGCAACAGGAGCTGACGAAGTAGTAGGAGCTATAGATATTGTAGGAGTAAGAGCTGATGTCGATGTAGGAGCTACAGTAGGCTCAGTAATTATAGCAGACGCAGTAGGAGCTGACGAAGTAGAAGCTAAAGCAGGTACTATAGCAGGGACTGAGACAGCAGCGAAAGGGACAGGCAAGACAGGAGTCATAGCAGGAGCTAAAGTGGGATTTAAAGCAGGAGCTGAAGCAGTAGGATCTGAAGTTGCAGAAGCTGGAACAGTCAGCTCTGAAAAAGTAAGAACCGATGCAGCAGGAGCTGAAACAATGGGGGCCGTAAACGTGGTAGCCGAAGTAGAAGGAATAGCAGTGGGCAAAATTGGAGTAGAAGAAATGGTAATCGACGAAGCAGCAGCTGCGGCAGAGAGCATGTCAAACCTTGATGAAAGTCGAGCAGGCAATGGTTTCAAACATTCGAACTCTTCCTGAGTTGTATCTGCTATGTCTTTCAGACGCTCTTTCAAGATTCGGATAATGTTGTCGGTCACAACTTTTCTTTCAGAAAAATCACAAATATATGATGGCAAACACGGCCGACCAGAGACCCAATTGAAAAACTGAAAACATTTTCAGTCAGTTTACTGATACTGGTCAAACTGACTTTTAAGCTATACATCTTCTTATCAGCGAACGAGTGGACAAATTGGTCAGGCAAGAAGTCGTGGGGGTCTATGCATGTTGGTTTGGGTGCCAACCTGAAATCCCTTAATTATTTTACCCTAGAATTAGAAATGTTCTCATCAGACGAGGTGAAACAAATTTAAAATCATTCAATTCAACAGATAAAGTTTGAAAAATAAAAAACCAATCAAACTTGAGAAAACCAAGTGTCAGTTCGACTAAGAAAAACAGAAAACAAACGATTCGAAACAGTGAAGTTTAAGAAAACTAACCAGGTTATAGCAGCGTAGGGCTGTAGATCTGGATCAACAACAATACCTCGGATTTGAGCGAAATAAGGTTTCCGAGTGATTTTATCTTTGATATTAATTATGTCTCCTTTTGTGTACTTATAATGCTGAAAAGACATTACATTTCAAAATTTGGGTGTGAGCATACCCTATATAAAACAGACGATTTACATCTGAAAGTTGCTTTTGACCAAATATACGGCTCCGGATCGAAAGGTCGGAGGAACTGCACATCACTAACAAGAGGATTGGTGCTGAAATTGACTTTGCAAAAGATTCTGAGCAAGTCCGTACCTGCACTCTTTGGACGAAGAATCTTCTCGTGGAGGGGAATTTTTGAAACGGTCAAATCTGTAACTTGGCAACAATTCCGCAGCAGTTGCAGCCTGATCTTGAGGCGCGTTCTAAATATATGTAATAAATTAAAGAAATAAACTTCAAAAACAACCCTCAATCCTCCACTTCGTCGTCTCCGATCAATGGAGTGTTCTGCACGAACTCTGAGAAGATAAAAAACATAGAGAAAATTGAAAAGTAATTGGAAGGAAAAATCAATGGAATAAAACTCACTTTCCGCGCCCTCGTCCTCGTTTCATTCTGAACGAAATCTCCAAGCCTAACGTTACAAGTGTGAGTAAGTTGAATAATTTATCAGAATTTCGAGAAAAGTTAAAGAAAAAGCTAAACACTTCTAAATTAACGTTAAATTCATGTTGAACTAGACCATATAAGCTTTTTAAATAATTGTATAGAAACGGGGTCCCACACGGAATAAAATTACGGTAGGCCCCCCCATATACAAACAGCTTTCCAAGAAATGCTTAAATTTCATCGATATATAAATAGTTTTTTAAACTTTCTTTTTATATATTCATTTTGAAAATAACATTTATAATAAAAACTAATAAATCAGGTACTGTTCCTCATGTTCTGCATAAGTTAAACGTTTGCTTTCCTTTTCATTGTGACTTCTGTTTGTTTTGTGAATTTTTGTACTGTTTCTTCAGATTTTTCTCTTTTATCATTCGAGGAATGGAAGAATCTGCTAGTGGGGATGCAACTCTAACAACCATAATCAAACTCGAAAATGACGTTCAGATGGAAGGACCCGGTGATGTAGTATGTATTGATTACCACTGTGTTTTTTTATTTGTTTCATTTGAAGCTTGCTTCGGCAACAACGACTGATTTACTAGCAGATTTAAGTTTAGCCGAAGATTTTAACAAGGAGAAGCATTTAGGCCAAGCATATTTAATTAATCATGAAAAAATTCTTGGGGTACGTGTTATAAATGATTTGTTCATCACACGTCTGCTTTACTTTTCAGACATTTCAAAGTTGGAATGAACACGAACAGCGAGACTTCATGGAGAGAGCTTTACAGCGTATGGGTCATTATCAAATTGGGCATATTGATAGATATATCAGGCCTATGCTTCAACGAGATTTCATCTCTCATTTGCCATGTAAGTACCTGTACTCCTCTCTTCTCAATATTTGTTTTTAAGCTCAATTAGCGGTTATGATTCTTCAAAACCTGGATGCTAAATCATTATCTTCCTGTGAAGCTGTTTGTAGTAATTGGAGAAGTGTACTCGCAGTTGGTCAACTTTGGCGAAAGCTTATTGAACGTAATGTTCGCAGTGATAATTTGTGGAGAGGATTGAGCGAGAAAAGAAAATGGCAAGTCTTGAGTATAGTATATCTTAACATACAGATGTTTTCAGGAAAAATTTCGTTCTGATTGGCAGAGAAGCTGCTGCTCAGCTCATCTGTGAACGGTATGGTAAGAAATATGACCAGCTTCGAGGCTCTTTTGACATGTTTATGTTACAGCACAAATTTTATCGGTAAGTGCGATAGTTCTCACTCACAAGCACAGTTTTATTGCAGAGAGTTATATCCTCAAGTCATTTCTGATATTTCAAAAATAGAAACGAATTGGAGGACTGGTACATACACACTCAGTCGCATTAATTGTCGTTCTGAGCAAAGCAAAGGTTTTTCAATGATGATTCATAGTGATGATCTCATCCTTTCTTTCAGGAGTTTACTGTCTTCAATATGATGATGATAAAATCGTTTCTGGTTTACGAGACAACACAATCAAAGTATTTTCTCGTTTGTCATTTTTTTCCGCAACGTTTGCTTTTTTAGATTTGGGATCGTCATGATCTTAGCAATCCTCGAGTATTGTCAGGTCACACGGGTTCTGTTTTATGCTTACAATATGATAATCGTGTGATAATTTCGGGTTTGTCTAGGAAAATCTTTGTCAAGTTCATTTTTGATTTCGCCTGCAGGTTCATCAGATGCTACTGTAAGGGTTTGGGATGTTAATACGGGCGAATGCCTTAACACTTTAATACATCATTGCGAGGCTGTATTACATCTTCGGTTCAGTGATGGTGTTATGGTTACATGGTGATTCGTTAAATCTAGTTGTCTTTCATTCGAAATATTATTTCAGTTCAAAAGATAGATCTATTGCTGTGTGGGATATGGTCTCTCCTCGTGAAATCAACATGAGGCGGGTGTTAGTCGGTCACCGAGCAGCCGTTAATGTTGTCGATTTCGACGAAAGATACATCGTCTCCGCTTCTGGTGATCGAACTATTAAGGTTTTTTCTCTTTGTCTTCTTGTGTGTTTATTTCGCCTTTTCTAAATATAGGTTTGGTCTGCGGACTCTCTCGAATTCGTTCGTACATTGTCTGGACACAAGCGGGGAATCGCATGTCTTCAATATAGGGGACGCCTCGTCGTCTCAGGTTCCAGTGATAATACCATCAGGTTTGTGCAGCCAGTTTGACGTTTTTGTATACATAGTTTTTAAAGGTTATGGGATATTTATTCTGGCGTATGTTTGAGAGTCCTTGAAGGACATGAAGAGTTAGTAAGGTGTATTCGTTTTGATGATAAAAGAATAGTATCCGGCGCCTATGATGGGTACGTATATTTGTTGCTTCCTTGTTCACTTATCAGTTTTCAGAAAAATCAAGGTGTGGGATCTTCAGGCTGCTTTGGACTCACGATCATTACCGGGATGTCTTTGTTTGAGCACTCTGGTTGTAAGTAGTTGACTCATTTATTTTGATGATACCTTACTAGTACCTACATGATTAACGTTCGTTTTTCAGCAACACACTGGCAGAGTGTTTCGCTTGCAGTTTGACGATTTTCAAATTGTCTCTTCTTCTCATGATGATACGATCCTCATATGGGATTTTTTGGATGCAACTGGCGAGACTAGAGACGTCAATGCTGATGCTTTGAATGACGCAGCTGTAAGTTTGAAGTCATAGAATCAAATTGATATAATTATTCAGCCTGCACCCGCAGTTATCGTTGACAATGCGAACAATGTAGACGAATCTTCTTCAGAGGAAAATGAAGATGTGGTGAGACGAGAGCGTCATCCAGCTCGTCAAGGTCCTCGAGCGAGCCCGGAACTCTTTCATTGAGCTCTTCACTTTTGTAAGTAAATTTTTGTTTCCATATTATTGTAGTTCGCCATTCGTAAAGTTATGGTGGAAGTAATATGATGTTTAAAAAGCCAAATAGAAAAAGAAGAATTCGATTTTTGCTTCAGAAGATTCTATATAAGTTATATAGACTCCGGTCCTCTTAAAATTCTTGACAGGTCAACTTAGAGAGAGAGTTAAATGTACGGTGAACATGCACAACAAGTATACTTTTTAGCTTTTCATATCTACTTCAAAAACTACTGTTCCCGAGGGTCATTAAGCTTCATCTTTTTCTATCCAGAAGCACCCTAGCAAGAGAGAGAGTGAGAGTGTGCGAGAGAGAGAGAGAGAGACCCACCTCATAATATATGGATTTAATTCTGTTTTCTCTAATATTTCCCAGAGACGCTTGTGTCCACCATAGCTTTTCGAATGTGCAGAGAAACCTTTGGTTGTGGGTTTTTAGCATAATATATATCGAAATAATTTTTGTAAATGTGTTTGTCATCATCAAACCGTTGTAGACAATCTTTCAGTTGTATTTTTATTTTGTCAACTCAACATGTTCGGAATCGCTTATGATCTGCTAGTCATTATTACTATTATTTAACTCTTTTATTTTTAACTCTGAGAACTATTGTTTTTATTTGAAGCTGCTCGTCGTTTTAAAACTCACCTCACACATTTCCTACTTTTCTTTCATTTCTTGGTATTTCCATCTCGAGTGTTGTGATATTTTTCAAGTTCGATTTACTCTCGTATAATATTTACTATCAACATCAAAAATTCATAAAATCATCGATCTACACTACCAACTTCCGATTTGTTCTCTCTTATAAGTTTTGATGTGTTGTACATATGTAGCCGTTTCACCTCCTCCCCCTCTCTCTCTTTCATTTTCTTCCTTCTCTAGCTGTTGATGTCTCTGTCTCTGGTAAGAGCAGAATGAACAAAAAAACCACGTTTCGTCTCAAATAAAGCTATAGTAGATTAAACTTCATATAAATAGACTACAATATAAGTACGCGGAATTCACAAGCATATAAATTGTCATATAAAACGTCGAAAAAACATTTGATCACTGATTGCTCTGCACATTTACCCGACCAATGTTGTGGAAGCTGTGCCATATTATGAGAACATTTTGGTAGAAAAGACGAACATAATGAGATTCCATAGAATATCCAGATCTGGCCTCTCAGAAGGCTCAACGAGAAAACTTAGTATTCATCGGGTCAGTTTTTTTGTCTTTTGACGCGACTTCTTGGTTCGCCTGTACAGATACACCCGGTCTAGATGCTTCGACCGAGACAGATGGAACAGACACATGTGATTGGCGAGATTGAGAAGTAGACAACTGAATCAAGGATACAAGGAAGCAAATAACAGAATTTCATACCTGTCTGGCATTTGAGATGTCAATAGCATGTGAAGAATGTGTATGTAAAGGAGATGTTGACGGAACTGAAACATACAAAGTTTCTCTATTTTTAAAGAATTTGTTTACCATTTGAATGCTCATATCGCGGCTGTTCCATTCTCTCTCTCATTCTTTCTACTGATGCTGCTGTCACTGAAAACAACATCGTTCATCATTTTCAGGATAAATAGAATAACCAACCGTTATTACCGACGCCACCCATTCTCCGGCCAATCTGAGAAGATGATGGCTCGGAGATGATATTACCAGTACCGTCCCGGCGGAACATAACTTGTCCCACCTGAAAATATATTCATGAAACATTTATAAATGTCTCGACAATACTCTTCGAACAACCGGGAACAAGTTGGTATTTTGATTAAAGGATATCGGGGTTGAAGTGGGTATCCGCTGTCTTGAGGGAGGCGAAGATTTGTAATAGGGGTCAGTTGAAGAATGCTGACCCATCGCCAGTGGTCTATAATGAGATCTGAATATTAAACACAATATAACTCTCTTTACAAAGAATAAGTACCTGTTAGGATTCGAAACTCCGTAATCATGACCATGTCCATGATGACTGCCTGTATCTTGAGGGCTCATAGAAGGATTCATACTCGAGATCGTTAGAGAAGAGACACCCACAGGCCGAACCTGAATTGAACTTTGAATCTTGCAATTATTAGAAAACTATCCTACCTGTGGCCGAACCGGGCTATTTGATGATCTGGCTGGACCTAGATAAGAGCAAGATGAACTTTGGGAAACAGTCCTAGGCTTCCTCTGACCATCATGTCTAAAAGAAAACAACTTAAGAGAATTCGATTCTTATAAGCTGTACTGTAGGATTCCCGGAACATGTTTCTGTTTCGCAGCTGCTCCACTAACTGGAGCTCTCATCACAGGGTATTCCTTAGGATAAGACGGACTAGATGTTCCCTCAGAGCCAGATGAAAGACGAGGACGCTTTGGAAGAACTGTGAATGAAACCATAGGTTGTTAGGTCAAGATGGAAATTCAGAAACCTGGAGAGTTAGAGGAGCTGGTTATCGTCAAATTGGGAACTCTTGGAGATACAGGGAGAAATCCGGCAACAGGACGAGGAGGTGCCCTCGACTGTGATGGAGGCAGCTGAATTATCATATTAGGTTAAGTCAAAGAATTTTAATGCTGTTAAAAGATATAGTACTTGTGCACACTCACTTGTATTTTATCGGCTGGTTCCGTTGGCTTTGGTCGACGCCTGCAAACAAATCAAGTTTAGAATGAGTTGGATCTAGGCTTTTCGACATGCCTTTGTATTCTATCCATTATCTCAGCTACTTTTTGATTTTGTTCCTCTTCCGTCGCCACTGTGCTTTCAAGTCTGGATGATGATAACTGATGAGTGGATGCAACACCTGAAACAGAAACTTGGATAGATACAGTGCATGGTCATACGTCTAGATGGATCAGCTGCTAGATTAGTGCTTAGTTTCCCGGTGCTTGTTGCATAAGATCTATTCTCCAAAGCCTTCTCTTCGAGTGCTCTAGCTTCTAGTGCTTTTGCTTCCATAACGAAAGACTTCAAAGTTTTAGCTTCGAAAGTATGCATGTCAAGTGCTCGGGCATCATATCCCCTATGTTCACTTGATTTTGCCTCCAAAGACTTTGTATCGACAGTTTTAACTTCTAAGACTCTAGACTCTTGAATCTGTGCTTCTAATGCTCGTAGCTCTGCGGTTGTAGCTTCTAAGGCTTTCGATTCTCGGGATCTAGATTCTAGGCTTTTAGCTTCATACGCTCTAGCTTCCAAAGTTTTTGCTTCTAATTGACGCCGAACATCAGCGCTGACCGTAAGACCAGCTAACGGCCTACTATACTCAGTGGACTTCTCCCTACAAGTATAAAAATATCAGAGAAATTAGTTCTATCTTACAATTCTTTCCTTAAAGCACTTGGTTCTGCAGATCTTTCTATTCGTCTATTATCCATTATATCATTAACAGACGAAACTCCTGAGACGGTTCTCTGAAAAATAGTAATTAGATGAAGAATTCATACATGTCGTACCGCAACTGGGACAGATGGATAAGAAGAAGTTTTAGCTACAATTGGAGATTTATAGGCTGCCATTGCTGCTGCTTTTTTAGCAATAGCACTCTCTACTTCTCCAGCCCTCTTCATTAATTCTTTTTGAACATTCAATTCGGCAACCGACAATTTATGCTCAGAGTTGGGTTTTCTTTGCGAAGTCGTTACTCCAGCAGACATCTGTTTAGCGTTCTGACCAGCTTTCATTTCAGCTCTTTCAGACTCAGCGGATGCTCGCTTTAAAAGCTTCAGCACTTCTTCATCTACAGCTGAACGTACAGGATCAGTTGATAACTTGGCCTTTTCAGCAGCTGTTTTAGGTCTAGCTTTTTCATGAGGAGAACTTGTAGAAGTACTTGCTTTTCCTAATGACAGCTCTGCATTCTCCATAGCTTTTAACTTATCAGTCCATGCCTTTGACTTTTCCTTAGACTTTTCGGCTGATGCTCTGGCTTTCTCAGATGGTGTTTTTGCTTTTTCAGTTGGAGTCCTCGACTTCGCGAGAGGGGTCTTTATTTTGTCAATAGGAATTCTAAGTTTCTCAATAGGCAAGTGAGTGGGCTTGTCTGCAGGTGTCTTCGTTGAGTCTGCAAGGTTTTCGTCAACTTTTCCAACATTGACAACGGAGTTATTATGTGACGACGTTGGTACTTCCCCAGCTTCTTCCGTGTCCGAGTCATCTGGTTCGATTGTTTTCTCCCGAGCGAAGATTTTATCATATTTTTCTTTATTCTCCTTGCGTGACTTGGCGAGAGCATCATTCACTTTTTTCAAAACGTCACTCTGACCATCAAACATAGCCCTCAGGTTGTCTGGTACTAAAGTAGGAAGTGGAATTTGAACTAAGAAACAATCTTACCGCAACCGACTTGACCAGTCTCAAAAATGGGACTAGAGTTATCTTCCTCTACTTTCCCATTATGAGCATCAGCAATAGATAATAAGGCACTGGCAACACTCTGAGAATTGCTGGAGTCGAACAGACGAGGCTGCGGCTTGTCAAGTTCGTCTTCAAACTGAAAACTTGAAATTTAGAAAAATATCATGTTTTCCTAACAGATACCTCAGCACCCAGAAGACCCCAATCAGCATAACTGTCGTAATTAGGATTCAAGCTAAAGCAAGGAATATTACAGCAAGCTTCCGAGAAACTTACACGGCAGCAATTCTTATAAGATTTTCATCATTAGCGACTCTTCTAATTTCTGCTTTAAACAACTCATCACCAATGCTGAAACAAGAGAAAATTTGGTTTCAATTCACGTTTTTCTCAGTACAAAAAAATTCTTCTGGCTGATTCAAGAAATGCACTCTTGCTTTTGCTGAGAATTCCCTGAGCTCGTAAAGCAGTGACAACATTCGTAAATGTAGTTAACTCTGAAAATAAGAAAGTTACAAACATCTGGATTCAAGTTGGAATCACCCATGTGACGGAGGAGATATGAACAATCCTCCTCATCCCAAGCTGGCATCTTATTAAGCATTTCTCAAACACTAACCATTAGACATGCAAACACTTCTATATCATTCATAACCTGTAAGTTTGAAAATCATATCTGAAAACTGAAATAAATTTTAAAAATTTCCGATTCAATTGAAAGAGCGAGAGATCAATACTAACTGCCTTTGGATAGGATATTTCTAAATCTTTACCACAGTCTCTGACAGAAAAAACGGACAAAAAAAACATTGAAACAGATGAAAAAATAATTTAAAAAATGAAAAAGAATAAATAATAATTAAAAATAACTCTTAAAACCTATCTACCTTCTTGGATTTGAATTTCTATAGACCTGGCACCAACTGTAAATTCGAATTACCAGGAAACTATGGACTAAAGCCATGTTTCAAGCGCGCTCCATTGCGACCGCGCGCGGCGCGTTGCGACAAGAATTCTTAAATTACGGTAGTAACGTGCACATCTAACTCTGGAAAATTTCGATATGCTCAGTAATTTTGGGTACATATCACTTTTTCCGTAACTGGAAAACAGGGTGCATTATGAGGTACGTTTTTCTGTCTAAATTATAGTGGTTTTAGTCGAAATAGCTAGATTAACGATTGAATTATTGACGAATTTATGTTTGACCCGTTTATTTCTTTGATTTTAGTAACTTGCGCCTTCAAAAACGCCTTGCTGCTTCCGTACTTAAGTGCGGTAAGAACAAGGTCTGGCTTGACCCTAATGAAGTCAGCGAGATCTCCAATGCCAACTCCCGTCAAAACGTTCGCCGTTTGATCAAGGATGGACTTATCATCCGTAAGCCAGAAGCTGTCCACTCCCGCTTCCGCGCTCGCAGATATCAAGAGGCCAGAAGAAAGGTACTTTTTTTTGCTTTGTCAATTTTTTTTACATTAATATGTGTTCTGTAATGAATTATTGTAGGGACGTCACACCGGTCTCGGAAAGAGAAAGGGTACTGCTAACGCTCGTATGCCAGAAAAAGTTTTGTGGATGAGACGTATGCGTGTTCTCCGTAACTTGCTCAAGAGATATCGTGAGGCTAAAAAGATCGACAAGCATCTTTACCACGAGCTCTACCTTCGCTCCAAGGGTAACAACTTCAAGAACAAGAAGAACCTCATGGAATACATCTTCAAGAAGAAGTCCGAGATCAAGCGCTCCAAACAACTTTCGTAAGTCTTTCGCAATATTATGCAATCGATTGTTTTGCTTTGCAGTGACCAAGCTCAGGCCAGACGTGATCGCAACAAGGAAGCTCGCAAGAGAAGAGAGGAAAGACAAGCTGTTAAGCGCGCTGACCTTCTTCGTAAGATTTCTGAAAGCGAGAAGGCTGATAAGTAAATATTGTTTTTGTTGTTTGTTGTCAACAAAGTTGTATTCGTTAATAACTTGTTTTATTTTTCATGTTGGGGGTTCATCTACTAGCTGTGGGAGTTGTCGATCTTGTATTTCATTAGTTTGAGAACTTGGTTCAACGGCATTTATTGCATGTTCCTGAATTTTTTTCTTACATTTAAATTTATTATTTTCTTACCTGATGTGTTATTTGGGAGGGTTCGGTTACGTGAAAATCTGGAAGTGGAAATTCACTAACTTTCGATAGCGTTGCTGGTGTCACATCAAATCCTAATTTCTTCATGTCTTTCAGTAGAACATTTATGGATAACGATAGTATACCCTGCGTAGAGACTCGTGCTGCTGAAATCATTTAGTTGTTTCAGTGGAGAGGAAATGTGATATTGTCGGCGATCGTCAATTTTTGCGGGCATGATCTTACCCGTTCATGCAAAAAGCATATTTTTGTTCATTTTGAAGTTTTCTATTATGACACTGTGCACTGATTACCTTGTCTTCCTTCGGCTTTTGTGGTGATAGCGGGGTCTAGGAACGTAGGACGTTTCCCCCAAAAGTATCCAATTATCCTTTGCAACATGGTTGAAGGTTCTGGAGTGAAACACGGTATGGTCAAACGATGCCTTAACGAGAGCTCAAAAAACGTCTGAACGAATTAATTACCTTCCAGGAATTGTCGGTATCCTAGTCGCTCCATATCCTCTAATTATATCGTGGCCAAAAAAGTCGCGTCCGTAACAAACTACAGCAATTTGAGGCCCTTTAAGAGAGAATTAAATGAAGTAAAAGGGAATGGAGTACATTTGAATGGGTTGGTGGAAGAAAACGTTCCCTGGAAGGGTAGGTCAATCGTTATATCGGTACCATGACCACGTGAGCAAGAGGAGGATAGAAAATCAGATGGTCCCGCAACTAAGTACCAATCAGGACCATATGAATAGAAGAGTCGAACTGATAAGTCGGGGATAGTGGGAAACTAAAACAAAATGTTTAGATTGAAATAAATTGGGAAACATACTCTGGCTGTTTCCACTTGTCCGTTAACAATCAGAACGAATTGAGATTTCGAATCTCTGGACATGATAGATCTTGATCTCAGTTATAATATTTCATTGTAATCAAAAGTTTAACGTTGAGAGTCTCTGGTTTAAACTGCTAACGCAAAAATGATAAAAACAGAGTCACACAGCAATGAATGAATATACGTAGTCTGCGAACTGAGCTTGTCGTCGCAAGCGAACAGTCGTCATGGCAACGCGTGGTATGACCATGTGTTACGAACGGCCTAAAGCCAGTGTTCCCAGGCTTTCAACGTTATGGATCAAGTGCTAATTAAGCAGTCCACCTGCCAGTCTGAGATGTGCTTGTACTCAAAAAGGAAAAACAAGACTTATAAGACTTTATTAGCATATTGACTAGATTTCGAGAACAAAAAAAGAAATTAAAGCATTTCGGGTTCTGGTATGGCAGGATTACTTACAAATGGAAGAATGTATGAACCCATCTGGAGAATGAAAATTGAAAACGCTCCCAATCAAGTTCTGTTGAAAGTACCAAAAAAAGGATGGAAGCTTAAAGCTTTGCATAAGGCATGATATGATGAGAAAAAAGTTTGTGTCCTAATAAAGAGTTCGCCAAACGGTAGAATTCATGAGTACTGGAAATAAGTATTTTGCATATTATATAGCTTTTCAATTGGATTGCTCAAATGATCCAAGTCACTCAGTTCGGTTTTTATAGACGAAGCATGATTTTCATCGCATTCTATTTCTTCGGGCTCAGAATCAACTTCTGCAACAGTATGATATTCAAAACCAAAAAAACTACGCTCACCATCATCTGAACTTTTCTCTGATTCTTTGGTGTCATCCGTCTTGGCACTACTACTCGTTGATCGCTTGTTATCCTCCTTTCGTTGTATTTTTTTCATCTGCGACAACAAAAAGTCATAGGAACAAAAAAGAATATCAACAAATGTATTTACCTTCGCTCTCTGATTTTGGAACCAAACTTGAACTACACGGACGCTCAAACCAGTCTCTTTAGCTAATTGCTCTCTTACCTAAAATATAAGCGTTATTCATGAGTATCAGTGTATCTCAGTTCACCTTTCGACAAGGTTTTGCGCTTTTCTCGAAGGCAGCTTTAAATTGCCTTCGTTGTTGTGCATTTAAAATTGTTCTAGGTCGTTTGGGTGTTTTGCGAGAGGGATCGTTCTGATCATAATCATAAGGCAACGGATTAACAGGAATAGCTAGAACCTCTCATTTATTAATTTTCTTCGTAGTTCAACTTACGATTTTGCAAATGAGACTGAAGCATATGATAATCATTCCGACATACAATTTCACCATCTACCATAAGATATTCATCGCCCTGAAAATTCATACAGTTGGCAACAATTCAAATAATCGAAATAGAGTATTGGCGCCAATCTATTATTTTCAAAGTCTAGGACGCGATGGACGGTTGCTATCCAGAGAAGTTAGGTGCTTACATTTTTAAGGACTTACCTTAGCAAAGGGTATTCTACAATAGCAACAGGTGAAACATCTGGAATGGTAAGTGTTCTGCATACAGCGATACACAAGATCAGTGGATTCTAGAGTTTGAGCGCAGCGAGCACATCGTCGTGAGAACAACCTGAAAATCTAATTGTATCAAACTCCATCTTCATTGAATCAAATCAGGTCTTACAGCTCCCAATGGTTTTGGAAGGAACGAATATAATTATTAGCAGATAATTCATAAGATTGGGTGGCGTAGCGCGCATTGAGCCCCTGAGATGCTTGCAGATCCATAGAGCAAGTAATATTTTTGGTGTGAAAAGTGGGAAACAAAATTTGAAGTAAATTTCAGTCTGCCGGCTTGAGCTTTTGTGGAAGTATGGTTTTTACAAATACATAAAAGTGGATAGGTTCCCCGCAGAGTAATAATGTATTCTGTTTCATACCGTATATACATAATGAAATGGTTTTCCCTAAATTTCTTTGTGAGAAGCTTTTTCAATTTGTCTATCATGTGCTATCTATGCGCTCGAGAGTTTCTCTATAGTTCTGAAGCTGCCCCACACCCCCATACGCAATCTGATAATTTGGTATTCACTCTCTTGTATGAATCTGGGATCTTCAAAAGAATGAAGAACCTTGAGGCAAAAAGAGCAGATGTGATATGCCCCTGCCAGAAAATCCTCACTTCTTTTGGTGGATATTTGCTGCTAAAGACAGCTATTTGCCTAGAGACGCAATTAAATTCCCTTATTGGCAGATGGATTCCTGCTGAACAAACAGACAACCTCGTCTTCATTGCTGTCGAGGCTCGTAGAAATTCGCTTTGATAGTCGTCAAGAACCAATGGCTTACGAGTTGAGATGAGCAAAGACGTAAGCAAGTGCTGATGGGTTACGGTAGCACTTAGTTGTAATGCATGCGTGAATCTTCTGTTACTTAGACAATGTGTTAAAAACGGGAACAACTAGGTATATCCTCTTGATCTTCTCGAGAGCTTTAATTAAGAATTATTATCTGTGCTGGTCAGAGATGTCATGAACTTAATCTTATTTCGTAAAAAAAAAGCTTAAGAGATTATCAATGACACCTGTCCTGATGTAATTCTTGACTCTTCAGTTTCTTCTCCGGTTGGCATAATTAGATTGTACCCGTCCCCGGATTATCTCAAGCGTACATCTTATATGACTTTTACCGCTATATCGAAATCCTCTTGAGATAAGCTGTATGCTAGACAACAATGAGAGTTACATGGCAATTACCTAATATGGTGCGTACAATAACAGTTCTTGGATAAGATGTCGAAGAAACACCTCAACAGTGTCATTCATTGAAGCAGAGAAGAGAGGCATAAAATGAAGGAGCAATATAGACTATTTTAAAAGAAAGCCTTCACACTTTTATGAGCGTTCTCGCATAATTTCATGGCTTCCGAACATTTATGGTAGAGAAGGCATTATAGCTTTTGATAAGGCTATTATTATGAGATTAAGACAATTGTCTATACCAACATTCCAAACTGTTTTCGGGCTTCCCCGTTTCGCGTGATGTTAACTTTTTATATAATTCAGACGCATGCGCGAAACTGATTAGTAAGATGATCAATCACAAATGTTCATCAGAGTCATGATTTGTCATCTCTTTCTTATGTAATTTTGAAGTTGAAGATGCAGTGGAACATCTTGCCAACAAGCCAGAGGTCAGTTCATGCGAGTTTTCATCAAATCTGTCAACTGAGACACATGATCAATCAGTTACTGTCGTTTATATTTATACTGACTACATACGGTTGGTAGAAATGGATGAAGCCCTGGATTGGAAACTCTGCCATAACAGGAAAGTTATTGTCTCTTAAGAGATTATTATCCATAAAGGCGGTAGCAAAGTCCCTAAGGGATAATCCACTTTTCATCTGTTTCCCTTTTCAATTAAACCTTGTCATTATCTTACCCCCGATGTTCGATGACTATCTTTCATGAAAAATTTGCGTTTCTCGAAAAAAATCTTCAAGGAGTTTCAGAAGCTTCAGCAAGTAAGTTGTTTTAACAAATCTTCAAAGAGCATGAGGATAGACATTGTCGGTCACTTGACAGGTCGTGAAGGATTAGAGACGTCACGCAACCAACTTAGGTTTAGTTGAATTTAATGTGGGACATGTTAAATCAAACGAATGGTGGAAATAGTTTTTTTTTGTTGAAAGGTTGAAAAAAAACTTACATTGAATGATCTTCTTGGCAATAAACGTTTCCATCTTTGGTATAACACGAGTTGTTACCAGCCAAAGGTTGATGACAAGCATAGCATCGTAGACAATTCTCATGATAAGATTCATTCATGATCTGCAAAAGTTGAAACAATCTTTATATAAATTTAAGTAGATGTGTATGTTAAAAGTTATAAGAATGAGTAGATTGAAGCCTAGTCCACTCTTGTAGCGAAAAAGAAGCTGAATCAGTCATCATCTGACTCAACTAGATGACCAAGCAACAGCAAATGTTCCGACACGATGAGGATATTTTGCGTGTAGTTTTCTACTTTTCATATTTTTTCTCACTCAAGACTACTTTTATATAATGAATAAAAAAAAGCTCACTTTCAGTAGGTATCGATCATGAATTTCATAGCCACATCCAACGCAAATTACCTCCTCAAACGGTGATGTGGTTCCAGATCCTAAATTGATAAGGGTACAACAATACTTTCCATCTATTAAACATTCGAAGATCTCAACTAAAAAAAAATATTTCCGTAGCAAGTTTGATCTAAACGTTCGACTAGCGTTCGATTTGATAAAAGAGAACTTCACGATTCAATTCGTTGAATAGCAAAAATGTTTTTATTCTGTTCAATTTTTTTAGGAAAACAGAAATGGATGCTGCTATGTTTTTGACTCTTACTCCATCAATACTTCTATCACCAAATAGGCACTTCTTATCGAATGAACTAAGAGCTCGAGTCTAACCTGTAGGTGCACTGTAGTTCAGACACTGCTGTTGAATTTTAGTATTCGTTCCTGAATCTTCATAACCCGAACGATCCAAATCCACTAGCTCTCGATCTGTTTCCGGACTGAAAGCAAGCATTGTTTCATTATGTTAGCAACTAAGAAATGTTGGAATCAAAAATTATTTTGAACTATTCAATATCTTCAGAGGAAGAGGTACTAGATAGTCTACTCAAAATATCAAACATGGAATGCATATCATCAAAATCGTTCCAACAAAGTACGAATCAAAACATAACATCTGAGCAAAAGAGTGTTCAAACCGAATCCTACCTTATAATATCCAATGACATCTGTAGAAATCCAACAGAATGAATTGAAACAACTTTCAATTTATCTTTTTGCTTATGAAAATTAGTCTAAAAAACCCAGTGGTAGAAAATGGATTACGGTGGCTTATCTATGAGCTTGAAACGGCAAGCAATATAGTAGGCTGGAGGTGCCGGAGGGGGGCTGGAGCTCGACGACAAGAGGAGGACACATCCTCATTTGGCTCCGCCCATTCTCGAACTGAATGGCATGAAGCATGAATTTGTCTGCTTCTAAGCATCTATAATCGAAACTAAATGTAGTTGATAATAAGAGGAATTGTTTTATTTGATAATTTTTTTCAAATATCTAGCAAAGGGCGGCAAAAAAAACCCAAAAAGGACATTCATAAACATTCAAAATAGGCATGAAGATTATAAAACTTGGTATAGGAAGTGCTCAAATGCGAATGCTCATTTGGAATATCGAATGCTACGGAAATTTGAACTCATGTTTTCTAATTATTCAAATTTTCGCGTACTACGTGAGTGAGAGTTATTTTCGGTTGCACGTTCGCAGAAAACGGTTGCATTCTTACGTTGGCTAACTTTTTTTTCTTTTTAATTGTTACTGTATATTTCTCTATCTTTATTTTTGATTCCCTTCTTCCCTTTAGATAGTTGTCTCAATGATAACTTCCATTACGATTTCTTTCAATAGAAAGCCCCTTCCCCCAAAACAATAAGTATTAGTAGGGACAAATGTTTTTTTCATGATTTCCGACATGTGGATTCTCTTTATGGAAGTAAATAAGAAAAGAAACCTTACAACATATCGTCATTGAGATCTTTTAAGAATGAAAAATCTCGTATACGATAGCTTGGAGATAGTTATTCTGACTCCTTGTGACCAGCTGACCCCATCCACCATTTCTGAATCCGCTGTTAGCTGATGCTCACAGTCGGATAATCTAGCGTCAAACACGGCAAAGGATCACTTGAGAGCTATTTGACGACTAGAGAGCTGCCAATATCGGAAACACGTTGACATGCAGATCAGACTCTCATCAATTGAGCCAAAAGCAGATGTGTTACATGAAAATGCTATCTTAAGAGAAACGAAGTACCAAGATGTTCCGTATTGTGCAAAAAATGGTTTTTGCGATATTTACGATCTCCAGCTTAGATGAAATAGTTTTCGTGGAACCCATCCACACTTCTCTTAGAAATGAACGAGCGGAAGGAGAAGATTCACATTATTCTGAATATTCAACAGTTTTACACTATTTGTGAGGTTAATGAGACAATTAAGGTAATCAATTGACGTGTTTTGCGGAATCGAGCGCAATCGATGAAAGAACTGATTCAGAAGTTAGGTTACATTTCGTTCGAGAGCATTGTCAACCGACAGTCGAAATTCGTATGCCGTGTCATTCCATCACAAACAATTCTCTTTTATGGTTGGCCTGAGAACACACGTCAGAACACATTTGCTTTTGTCTACAGTTCCATGTTAAAGTAGTCAGTCATCATATTCACGATTTTTTTGATTTCATTCTATTTAATTTCTTCCTGTCTTCTCTCCTTCTCACCTTTCCTCCTATGAAGGAGGTAAGCACATGTCGAAAACATGATTCCTTTTTTATGGAAGTTTATATACAGACATCTTATCAACTAATAACAACAAGAACGAGAAAAAAATACAAAAGAAAAACTTTTTTCACAACAAACGACTCCATACATACTCTATGTTACTACCAATCCCCGAGACAAAGGACATTTATATGGGGAAAACTAAGAAAATCGTGTTGTAAAACGTGTTTCTTACATATAGAGTCAAGAAAATTACCGTAAAAGTTTAAAATTTCAATTAATTTGCGTAGAAACTCCCATTTTCGGCGTTCTCTCCTTTTCGCGAAATGCTTAGTCAATATTTCTCCTTAAACACTTAATACGTATTACGTACATTGCGCGTCACAGAATCTCTAAATCGGCGCTTGTAATTCACTCCATTTTTCAATAACTGAAGCTTTTCCTTATTTGTAGTTTATGAAAATTTCCTTTTAAGGTTTGTATGGGTGCTCAAGAGAGTGCCATTAGAAGAAAAACCGAAGAACTCGAAGTAGGCGAGGAATATTCCAAAAAATCAGCTATTTATTCGCTGTGGAGTCATGTAAACCCGTACACAAAGAAGAAAAGTATCAAAGGTTTGTAGCTTCATTCCTCTTCTCAAAAACATTGTTTTCTCAACTTTCCAGGAACTGTATTTACTAAGGAATTTGGTTCTTTCGTTGATGAGCGGAAATATTATGAAAATGGAATTAAGGTCAGTCCGATCTCTTGTACAACTTCTGTATTACGGCTTTCAGCATTTGAAACAACTTCGTCATCCTCACATAATTAATTTTGTTGACTGTAATAATGTAAATGGAGTTCTCTCTTTACTAACTGAAAGAGTATTGGTAAGCTAGTTTTAAGTTTCCGGCTTATAGTTTTCTTGGTAGATTTTGGATATTTGCATTGATTCCTTAACTTCTATCGAAATCCAATCTGGTTTATCACAGATCAGAGAAGTTCTAATTTTCCTTCACGAAAAGGTTGTTGTTCTGTTTACCTATCAAGTAGTAAACTTTTCCGTACAGGCTCGAGTTTGTCATAATAATATCTCGCCCGCTTCCATATTTGTAACTCCTAATGGTGATTGGAAACTTGGAGGATTTGAGTTTGCCCAATCTCTTGACGAAACAAGAGCACCTTTTCAAACCGAATTTTATAAGAGAGCCAGAATCAGAACCTTTTCTGTAGATTCCGTAATGATGTTTCTTCTAATTTCAATCCTTGTAACATGAATTTGTAGGCGACGAATTCCAATCCATTATGGCGAGACTATTACGCGTTCGGAAAGTTGATCACTTACTCCACTAAATTTCTTAGAGCTGACGAAGTTGGAGGTTTGTTCGTTATTTCCGTTAAGTTTCCAAGTTCATAATTTTAGCCGATGTTATTCATTCTTTAAACGATATTGTCGAGAAATTGACATCGTCAGAGGTTTGTTCATTTCTCAAACAGAACAGAGTCCTATCCTTTTCAGAACGTCAAAATATCTCTCGCAGAGATTTATGATGAAGTTGCCTTTTCTAACGATCTGATTGAAATTGAAATTTTCTTGAGTACAGTTCACTTGAAGTTGGAAGAAGAGAAAGACGAATTTTTCAAGTAATCAGACAACAGAATAGTCTATTCATAACTTTACTTGCAGACTTGTCCATGAAAAACTGGTAAACCTTCCCAGACGAGTAGTCGCTAGAAGATTATCCCGTCTCTTCCTTTCCCGTTATGTATTACTCGAAGCAAGATCTCATTTGTATTTGTACCCTTTTATATTAACTCCCCAAAGTTGAACTTAACATTCTTATGAATCTCATTTTTTGTTTTAGCTGATGAATCTTCTCAGGGGATTTTCCCGGTAGAGCTTTTCCGAGACTACGTGGTTCCTGAAATAGTTCGAGTATTCCTAATTAGGTATTCAATTTTCAAAATGCAAGTTAATTTTGTTCTCTTCAAGAGATTTATCTGTGAGATGTGGGTTGTTGGCTCATTTCGACAAGTATGCTCAATACATTCCTGTTAATCAACTCGAGGATTTTGTTTTAAACGAGGTTTATTTTTCATACATCAGTTCTCATAATGTGTGATTCTTTCAGATTCAAACAGGTGCTCATGATGTGAATGAACGTTTAGTTGCCCAATCTCTCCAAGCTATGGCCACTCTTGTACCTTTACTTGGACCTGAAAGAGTTTGTGGCTGGAAGTGTTCTAAACTTTTTTCTGATGGAACTCCCAAGGTGTTTATTAATCCCGAACTTATCAGTTCAAAGTACTCTTACAGTTAACAGTCTCTGCTCACGGTTCTACATGTGGAAGTCCTCTACCTCCCGCTCCCCGGCCTGTTGTACTGAGAGGTTGTTCTTCATAATTATTTTCCCATCCACTGTTTAATTTTTTTTAGATTCTGTTGACTTACAATGCAACAGACAAATTGAGCAACATGCACCTGTGCTGTACTCATCTGCCGACGATGCAGAATCGCCTCAAGTAATATTGGGTTTCACTTTTCTCAAGTTAGAAAGTTCTATAGGAGTCGAATGTTTGGGATGATGATAAAGATTGGAATGAAGAATGGACGGATAGTGTTGCTGAGAAGATGAAGGTGTTGGCAGCTGATTCCGTAGTTCCTGAAGCTACTAATGAACCTCTATCTGATACTTCATCAGGAAGCATCCAACCCAAAATGAAGCCTTCCACATCGAAGAATAAGGCTTGTATAGGTAGTAATACAGAACTATACAAGAATGAATGTTTAATTTGAGGCGCCGAATTTGAAATAGCCGCTCAGAGCAGAGAAGAAGATTTCTTCGCTGATATGGTTCCTGATATCAAGACTAGAGGGACAATAATTGACCAGCTGATTGCTCAACAGGAAGAGCTGAAGAAAAAAGAAGAAGGTAGGACAAAACTCATTCAGGAATAAAGTTGAACAATCCTGTTTTCAGAACCTCCCAAAATATTAAAGTTTGAAATGAAATACGAAGAGTTGGTTTTCGATAAAGAAGCTTGGGGAGATGATGATGATGAGGACTGGGGAAATTCCGGTCAAGAACCTGAACATTCTTCGAATACAATCGAAGATAGCCCGAAAGAGCGTTCAATAGAGCCTTCAGAGAGTCAGAATGTAAGGAGAACAGGCTAAATCTTAAAAAAACCTACTGTTGTTTGAGTTGCACGTGTAATAGCACAGAGTGCTGTTTATGTCTTTCGTTGAGGATCACATTTAAAAAAACACTAACAACGTTAATGGGCTATATTAACAAGCTTTACTAATTTAGGTGAATTTGGTGGAGGAAGTGCTTACGGACTGATACTGTCCATTTTGTCCACGAACGCGTTGCATAATTTTTCTCGAAAGTTCTTTGTAATTTTCAAACTGGTTGAATATGTAATCATGTTTGTGTTAATACTAACATATATGTGATATCCACTAATACGTGTTTTTTAAATGTGATAATATTGTACATTATAAGAGGTATAAAGTTTTTTTTAATCAGCTCTTGGGCTGTAAAATCTGAGCTTATCGAAGAGCGATGTCTTTGGTGATTGATGACACTGCTCGTCAAATCTCTAACAAAACGATGAATTGTTACAATTCACACATTTGAAGCATTTTTTCTTAAAATTTAACAGAAGCTCACCCATAGTCATTAATTACCTTTTTGAGGTGCCGTGCATTGAGTGTTGATTCCTCTGGGAAAAAGCAACAACTGGTGGTGATGCTATAAGTGAAATTCCTTTAACTGAGACCTGCAATTGAGCAGTTTAAGTTAATCGAATAAGCTATATCATTCATGGAATCAACCGCTTCTGGCGCCGGAAGTCAGAAAATGAAATTCAAATTTTGGCGCAACTGCGTGATGGCAACAATTTGTATGAAGATGTGTGTGAGCAGAAACTAAAAATGGGAAGACTCTGCAATGAAAAAAATGGTTGTCGACGATCTCTGAAATAAGTGGTTATGATTAGATAAGGAAGGAACGAAAAACTCCTAAAACAAAAATAAATAATTTAAAAAAGCATCGTTTGAAGAAGGAAATGTTTCTTTTTTCTTTTTAATAGACTTGTATCCTCAGCAATTCATGAAACCACCTTTTGTCGCATAAACGACGATTTGACCACATGTGGCTCGATGTTAAAACGCAAAAATAGCTGAAACACATGGTGTTTTATGGATAAACGATTTGCATTTGTCATGATGTTCTCTTAGATATAGGATAAGACAAGTTGTGTTTCAATGCTCCGGCTGAGGAGGTAAGCCAGAAGTTCGAAAAGAAGTGTAACACCTTAAGAGACGGAGCATGAAATAGAACCAAGGTGATAAATTTTTTTTTCTTCTGAACCCGGTAGGGTGAAGCCAAAGTTCAAAACTTCAAAAGTATAATCTATCGTTTATCAATACCTTTATAAGAAGTCAAAGGTAAAAGCTAGCTTTGAGTGTTGTGTATGTGATAAGAACGGTAACGGCAGCCATAGATCAAGCTTTCACTCGTATAAAATCGTAAAACAATATTCTTATTCTCTGGAAGTACATTCTTATTCAGCAACCTCTAGTTTATTTTATTCTCTGGAAAAAAACACAAATTTTTGCTCTTAACGTAAGCTTTTTCTTCTGCTCAATGCTCCGCCTACTCTAAGGAAAGGGCTCTAAGTCCTCCTTGAGTTCTATCTCTTGTTCATTTCCTTGGCTTTTGGATTTACTTTTTTTTTAAATTCCTTTTACGCTTGTATCTCAATTTCTATCGTATCTACTGTGGTCACACAAGTATATTTGCAGTTTTTTCTCCACCCACAGTAGAGATAACGGCTTTTATCCATTTGTGCTGATGTATAGAGATTTTCAGTATCATTGGAAGAAAAGCTTTAGTACTCATCCAGACTTGGGTTTGCATGACAATCTGACATATTCTTTTTTCTTATCAGTTGCACGAATCTGTTTATTGATGATTTGTTTTTTCCTTTTTTTTCTGACGACTACAGACACGCTGACGATGCCGTTTCAAACAGAAAACGAAACACTTAAGAAAACAGAAATAATGAATAAGAATTAGAGAAGTAGAAAATAAGACAGTAAGAGAGAGGAAAGATGAAAAACTGAAAAGCTTCGAGACTTTTAGTTTGTAAAAAAAACATTTGTTTGTCCCCGAATGCAACACTTACAGTTCAGTTATGGAACCACTTGGCTCCAAGAGGTGCGGTATCAGATTCTTTCAAACCTAATCTTTCATAGTTCAAAATGATCTCGGTGAAATCAACACAAATTGTTTTTTCTTCCTTATTTTTTATGACAGGGTAAACTATTTCCAATGCTCTGATTTCAACTTCCTTGTTCTTCCTCTAAAACAGTATTCAAGTGCAATGTTCTTTATTCTCTAGAGTTCTCTGAAAGAGCCTGATCTCGCTCCATGGAATACCCAGGATTTCCTTACCTAAATTCCCATCAAACGTTTTTGACACAATTTTTAAGTCTTGAGTTTCCTTTTCATCTGTGGGAAGAGACTCTCTCTCCGTCTTCGTTTTCTTCTCTCATTTCTGTCAGCTTTATGTAAAACTTTGATTTCTTCTGTCATCGTAAGCAACTGACATCTCAGATGTTTTTTTTTTGAAAAAGCTCATGAACTCATGCATAATCTTTTCACGAAACAATGAACAGAATCCTTTTTTATCTACTATTCTGAATTACAAGGACCATTAAGTTCCTAGAACAAAATTTGAAATTTTCCGGAATATCTCTATGAAACGATTCCCGATCATCTTCTTCGGTTGTACATTGTTAAAGTTCTTATGACTTAAGCCTAATTTTATAATTTTTCAGGAAATGAAGGCAGCTATAGCTATACTTATGTGTTTATTAGGTAAGTCTCCGAGTTCGAATGCTTCATCTGATATATCTAGGGTGCACTAGTGCGGGAGATTATGGATATGGAGCACACGACGGTCCAGAGCATTGGGGTGATATTTGTCAGAACGGAATACGTCAGGTCAGAGTTTCTTTTAACATGGTTTCCGCGCAAATGAAAAGCCCATGAAATGAATGAATATGCGTGGAAGTTCATCAATCATCTCGGAGTCTTGAGAATCTGCCTTTCACTGCTGCTGCTGCCGAGTTCTTGCATTTTCATCTCTTTTTTCATTCCATTCTATGACAAAGATCACGCTGGCTGTCAAATAGACTAATGCGACAGACAGATGGAAGAGCAGAAAGGAGCATCATCTTAGAGACTCATGTGATGATTGTCGGAAACAAAAACATTTCAAGTTCAATTAATTTTTGAAGCAATTAGAGAGAAAACTGTCAATTTGGACATTAGCCACTCTAATATTCGCAGTTTTTCATTAATAATTGGCTAAAAAACACTAAATCGCATCGAAAATGCAAGAAATTCCAACGAATTGCCAATGAGATCTTGATGAATTTCGATTTCTCTATAATTTGGTAACAATTCTCACTTGTTCAATGAAAGCAGATACACACTGTAGATGAAACGAGATGTTCGTTTCAGAGCCCTATCGACATTCGTCCTCATCTTGTTGATTATGCAGTTCTCAGCAGACTTCACTTCAAGCATTATGATCATGCAGAGGCTATCGAAGTCACCAATAACGGTCACACAGGTTTGCATACTATACTATACTTACCTAGTTTTCTATTCCTTAGTTGTTGCAAGCGGCTTTGAAAATTGGGGTGTTCATCAGCCATCCGTACATGGTGGTGGTTTAAAACATTCGTATAACCTAGTACAACTTCATCTGCATTGGTCTCACAATGATCACAGTGGATCCGAACATAAACTCGCCGGATTACATTATCAAGCTGAGGTAAAGCTTTTCTCTTTGATCAAAAGCATCTTCTCGTGAACCCTGTTTCTCTGTCGAGGGAGCTACTCGTAGCTCCACATCCCAAACTTGATCAGACTTGATCACAAAGACAAAATCTGTTTACAGTTGCATCTTGTACACGTCCGACATGATTTGACACTGAAAGAAGCCTTACATCATGTTGATGGTCTTGCAGTTGTTGCTGTCTTCTTAGCCTTATCTCATGATTCTGAACCTTTGTCATACTTAGCTCCTGCTTTGGAACACATAACGCAACATGGTAAGTTAGGCACTTTTAGTCTTCTTAGCATTATTTGTTGAAGAATCAAATAGTACCATTGACGATTTTAAGCTGCGCACCTTACTCCCAGATAACCATGATGCTTTCTATAGGTTTGGGTGTTAAAACGCAAAAGCCTCAATGCACTTTTAAGATATGAGGGTTCATTGACGACCCCAACATGTAACGAGGCGGTGATCTGGACAGTCTTGGCTGAACCAGTGTCGATTACTTCTAAACAGGTGAGAAGATATAAAAATTCTTCACAGATGAATATTTCAACATATCAAAACTACACAGTACTATACAGGACACGTGTACTTGTTTTGTTTTTATTTTCACTGTGAATCAGCTGCAAAACGGTTGTGATTCAAACTATAGTCCAACAAAAACATTATTATGAAGCTTATATTTACAGTTGAAAGCTTTTCGGCAATTACAAGATAAGAAAGGAATCCCTATGTCCCATAACTACCGTCCAGTTCAACCAATGAATGGTCGTAGAATACTATACAGGTACGTTATCACTATTCTTATCATTTTTGTTGTAAAACAACAAAAAACCAATTGCAGACCTAGTCAAGTTGATCGAAGTTTCGTACTATCGATCTTGGACTCAACATCTGCGTCATCAACTATCTCGATGTTTATAACTGTTTTCGTTACACTAATGTATTGTATGTAACGAAGACTCCCTCGACGTATTGGAAAGCTAGCTTTAAGTGGAATGTTCAAGCCTTTTCGTGAACTTTTTAGCAAACTTTTTTAAAGCTTTAATATCATATAAATGTATTATACGACGGCTATTATAGAGAATCGATTTAAAACTAACAAAGAGATAGACAATCCAAGCGGGATTCCAGCAGAAGCACATCTCTATAAACTTCTAACGAAATAATCCATAAACAGTGAATGCTCAACGCTCGCTATGAAACTATTTGTAAAGGGAAATGTTCTCTGACTTTGAAAGAAGGGCAAAGAAAGATAAAAATCTGCAAACTTTCAACGCTGTCAGAGTGGACAGCTGCTACTGCGAACCCTAAAAGTTCCTTCATTTGTAAAGCAATGACCTCTTGTTAGCCCCGACTGATACAACCCGAGTAGATGTCTCGCTGAGAGAAGCTCTTAGTTTTTGATATATATTATTCTTCTTAAACGACGGTTGCAACCAATCAGTAATCTAGGAAGAGATTACTGTGCAGCAACAACGCTCGATTACTATGAACTTCGAAAGAACTATATGTCCGTGGACATTTCAATATTTGGCCAAAATGCATAAATAGGAAGGTTTCGCAGAGAAAAGAAGACATTGAACTGTCACAGTCTCCCGATGTCTGTCTGTTTCCATAGGATAGGCGATTGCTATGTTTGCATTGAACAAATCATAAAATAAAGAGAAGACTATTGGCCTCTTAGAGAAGAAGTAAGAAAAACACAGCAAGCTTTTAGGAATATTTATAGATAACTTAAACGATGAGAACAAGAAAACCACCCATACAAAAGATATCAGAAGAAGACGTAAAAATAAATAAATTATTAATTACAACTATCGAAAAGTTGTGTTGAGTCATTTCATTAAAAACTAATAACGAAATCACAGACTTTACTTGTTAAAGGAAAATATATCAACCAGTTCATATTAAAGAAGAAATACGTACCTTAACAGTTCTTTGCATTTGCATTCACAATTCATTATTCTCACTTAGATCGGGAGTTCCATAGCGGCTCTTTTCTGAACAACTCGGGTCACATACAGATAGAAGAAATCTCCATATAGGACTGTTTGAACAACTCCGGCCACGGTGGCAATGGGGTCAAAGAAGTATTCCGTGTGGTATCTAAAATTTCCACCAGTTAAGTCGATACGAGTATTAATAACCTGTAGATCCAATTAAAAATGTATAATCCACGGTATGATCCAAGAGCAAAGAGATAATGAGCTGTGATCGTTTCAGCTGAGCCAGTCGATTGGAGCATGAACAACTGAGGCATAATAGCCACGGCTTCCAAGTAAATACTGTAGAGTTATACTTTACAATGAAAAAGTAACTAAAATTACCTGAAAGTCCACAAAATTTCCATCAGCGTAAACTCATGGTTAATAACAAGAGCAAGTATAGCACAAGGAATGAGTAAAAACTCGATGCGGAACGTATCACTTTCTCTTTCGTATGTTCCTTTGAACTTCACAAGCATAAGATACAGAGTTCCGAAAGAGGATGCCAGGAAAAAGATCTAAAGATATGCTACTGAGTATAGAAACTGGATGTATAATGCCTTCATTATAGTGTTGTAAGCAGAGATGTAAGTGGTGAACAAATCCAAATATCTAGCCGCGAAAACCACAGCGAATAAAATTTGCGATCTGGCTGAGATACCAGAGACAGACCGGCTCTTCCACATCTGAATTCTCTGCCTTGGAAAAGCTTACGTGTAAATCTGAAGTTACCTTTCCTAGCAATATCAATATTGCCACCAAGTGGGACATATCGGCGGCAAGTCGGAAGACATTCATTTTCCTCCCTAGATAGAAAAAAATGAGAAAGTTCAAAAATCTCAATAAAACGAGAGCAAGATAAGAACAACAGGCAGAAGCTAAGAGAACAACTGAACGACTCTGTGCCGTAGCAACTGTCACCATAACTGTTTCAAAGGATAATCGTTGCAAGACCTTTACGCGTGCTTTGGCATACTGCCAAACAGTGTAATGGCTTAGCTACCTGGTATCTGGTAGAGTTCCATCAATGACTTTCACGCACGCTCTAATTCTCCGAATACCAGATCAAATTAGATTAGAAAAAAAGATAAAAGCTGAAATACCACTCCTTCAAAAACAGCAAGAGGGTTTGGCGGAAACTCTAAGAGAATCAGGTAGTGTTTTGAAAAGTCGCAGTTTGTTGTAGAATTAAATAAAAATTTTGAAGGAGTGGATGTTATTTATATCGACGTTCCTGAAGGAATTTCATCGGAGTTCTTCAATGTTGACGATACTGCCGTTGTCATAAATGGAACAGCACTGATGTGTCAACCAAGAAACCCGGGCGCCTTGTATTTCGAAGTGAGTTCGATGAAGGCCATAGCAGTGAGAAGTTTCATGAAATTCTTATTTTCTACAGATTAAAACGGTACTGACTGATATATGTTGGACTTTACATGAATGCCCAGAGCAATACAACGGGAAGAAAGTCTATTTAGAAGGCTCGGATGTTCTGTTCACTGGTAAAGAAATATTCGTAGGGATTCGTAAGCACGGTACCAATATGGAAGGAGCTATGGTATGAATACTCTTTCGTAAAGGAATTCAAGTTCTTTTATAGTTTTTGGCTAAAATTTTCTGTGATTTAAATGTTATTCCTATTCAATTGGGAGATAAGGCTGGACCTTTGAAGAGCTATGTATCAATGGCTTCTAATAACATTTTATCTATTGGGGTTGGCAAAGAAGCACAGCAAATTCTTAAGGTATTTTGAACTAGTTACAGTCACTCTAAGTTATTTCGACAGAAAATGGAACAAGAGGCTACTTTCCAGTACCAGGTAATCAAGATTGAAGAAGAGGATTGTGTAAATTGTCTATTCGTTAATGGTCGTATAATATTTCGGAAGGATAAGAACGAGCCGGTAAGATTCTCAGTTGGTATTCATAGAGTATGTTTCTAGAAATTTGTATCACTCCAATCTGCTGGTGTAGAGCTTTGGGCTTTAGATGTATCAGAACTAGTAAAGGTTTTTCATGACATGACAATGTCCCCTTTAATATCCTTTGCAGATCGGAACACCATTTTCACGTTATTGCTTACTCTTCAAAGAGATTCGGACTAGCCGAGCAAAATAGATTTGTAAATATTCCTGCAGGTTTCAGAAACTTTAATTTTGCATATTCACTTTCGCATATTTTCAAAAAATATATATCGTCATACTATCTTTGCCTCCGTTGCCGCGCTACTGCTCTAGAACTTTGTACTCATTTACCTATTCTCAACTAATTCGGCATTTAATTAACCAGCTTTATCTTTATAATATTTAATATCGCAATGAATGAAAAATAATAACTTATTTCAATATTATATTAATCAGATGAAACGTGGGGCATATATTAATATATCAGGTCTATGTCAAGATGATCAACTATTACAACCAGTGAACACAACAGCACGAGTGAATCTAGAAAGGAATCAGAATAAGAATTATAAAAGCATGCTTTCGAAAGAATAGTCTTGGTAAGATCTAATACTTAAGACATAGATGGATTTGGATTGGGATTCCAAGCTGGGTCAGCTCCAGCAGACGCCATCATTGTGTTTCTGTCAGCCTTCTTTCCGAGAGCCATAAAGCCGTATATGGTTCCGCAAGCAAAGATACTTCCAGATCCCAAAACTGTGTTCAACTCAAAACACAAGAGAATCGGCAATAGTCCCATACTAAAATAAAGTAATATGACTATATTGGTTTATAACGATAATGATGTTGCTAATTAATATAAACAAGGTGTTGTTTTACAACTACTAGTGGTCCAGTGGTTGTGTCATATTTCTCTGTACACCAAACTTTCCGTTTCGGATCAATTTCAATAGAAAAATTTGAATTCTTAATACTCACACTCCATATAATCCTGCTTTGTGCCAATAGGATCGAGACTCGCTGAAGGCTGAGATCTTCTCAATGAAGTCAATAAAGGCACAGCAGAATGGTGCTTCTAGTGCTATAGTTAAAAAGCCAAAGACCCTTAAAAAAGTAATGGTATAAGATTTTCACAATATCGATTACATCTGCAGTAGGACAGCAATAATGCAAGTAGGGGTAATGGATAGCAGCCCTAGAACACCGAAGAAAATCGAAAGTACTCCTCCAATAATACCCATAGCCTTAGCTAAGAATCGAACCCACCTAAACAATTTTTCTCTGAGAAAAAAACCTTTTCTATAGACAAACCATGGGAAATTGGCGTTGGGATCATGCTCAGCTTGCATTTGGGTTGATACACCCGAGGCTGCTGCACCCATTCTGCCTAGTTGAAACTAAAATAAGGATGGATTTGAAACGAGGTAAACCAACAGTAGAAAAAAGGTAACGAAAAATTATAAAAAAAACCAAGGAACTTGGAGAAATGTTAAAGGTTAAACGCAACGTGGAAACGAAAGAATGCGATGATGATGAAACGTGTTTTGAGATGCATGAATTTAAAAAAAACAACGTGGATGAAATAAAAGAACAGAAAGCGTAGAATAAACACGAACTGAAAAAAGTAATTTAAAGGATTAAAATAAAGACTATATAAGGCCAAAAGCACATACATACGCTCAAGCCGCATCCAAATTATTAGCTGTGAGGCGCGAAGGCCCAATCAATATATAGCTAGACGATAGCTAAAAATGAATCAGAGCAAGGTATATAGCGAGAGTCTCTTATCTCCAGTGGCCGATATAAACAGAAAAAGTATCATAATATCAAAATATAAATGATCACTGATGTTAATGTGACAGGTGCAGTGCAATTTTTGTTATACAGCGTCTTATATGGCGCGAAACGAGGAGCACACATTCACCAATATAGCGTCATAGACAATAAATAATGTTTCAAAGTATCAAATGTTTCTCAACATTTCGTACGAATCAACTGAAAACTTTTGCATCTTATAAATTTATTCATATTATAAATAAACAGTCGTATAAAATAACAAGTTCAAAAATATAATTGTAATAAGAATTCACTTATCACTATCGTATATTTACATACCCGAATTAGAGCCAGGATTCATTATAGAACCAGGATTGTTACCAACCTACAAAAAAAATTCAGTTTAATGCAACCATTCTCAGTGTCATACCGATACTGGACCGCCAGTTGAGCCTATGTTCACAGTTCCCGATCCAACAGATCCAGGCATGTATCCACCAACAGAAGGTGGGCGGGCAAGTTGATTACTTCCGATAGGAAGTCCAGCAACCACTCTGAAACATATTTAATTGCTAATTTTAGTGTCAAAGACCAAGTTAACCTTTCATGTAGTTGATGAATTGCAGTGTATACTGGGCAATCGCCTGTTCTAAGAGATTCGTTATTCGCAGCGGCTAGAATAGAGCCAATGAAGTCATCTTCTGTTCCCTGTTGTTTCACCGTGTTACTGAAAGAGTAGCCGTGAATAAAAAGAGAAGATCTAGGTAACTTACGATTTGGAACAATATAATAGCTTCAAAATATGTCTATCGGGCATACGGTGTTGTTTATAGCGGAAACTGACCTGTAATAAATTATATCCCATAACGACTTTTCTAAATTAAAAACACAAACCAAAATCAAAATATAAGAGGTTGTTGAATCGATTATGACTCCACAGCAGAACTTTCGAGCAGTAACATTAGGCTCACGAGCCAAATATACAAGTTGAATGTTGAAAGTATTATTTTCCTAGAATTGGAGCTTTAAGTGAGATTTTGTATGAAATCGGACCATTTGTAAGTCCATCACTCGGGCAATACATGTCACAGCGTTGTGATTGGTCATCCGGCATAATTGAATGAAAGATAGAGTTGCTAATTCATTATTTAAGCCCATAACAACCTGAACAACATGGGTTGATCAGGAATAAAACATTAGAACCTACTTTCGTGAAATAACGTTCGATCATAGCTTGCTCATTTGGCCCAGGTCCGAAGTCCGCTACAAATTTCGGATTACAAAGAAGGAGAATAAAACTAACAGTAATGTAATTGAAGCTTAAGAGTCATTGTAGAAGGATCAATGTAAAAGTGGAAAGTTATGATGTTTGCTACGTTTCCATTGAAACCCTGTTGATGTTGAACTCCATAAACGGAGACCCGTACAAAATCGAGCTCGTGTGTAACGTCTTTGATAGTTCCAGATGGAATACATTGAGTCGTGCCGCTAAAAAAGTAAGCGTATAACAACATAGGTTACTAAAACTGTACTTTTTGCATGCTTCGAAAACAGCAGCCATCCGCTCCAGATAATTGAGCTGAGATAGATAATCATCCAACGGAGAATACATACGTCCACCTTCCACTATAAACTCAAACTAAGAAAAAAAGATTCATTCAGCAAACCTTCGGTGAATTCGCAAGCTCTCACTAACGTTGAATGACCGATAATGAAAGGAGTTGACGATACACTCATAACCCCGCGATTAGGAGAAGCTAAAAGAAAAAGGTCTAACAGCATAATATATCGGTAACAAACCTGTTCCGGATGGTGATCCACCTTCCATTTGTGCAGGGACAGATAACAAACTACTATTATATCCCGCAGGAGAAGTCTCAAACTGGAAATAAGAGTTTTTTCGCAAATTCTAATAACTTACATGTTGTGGAAGAGATTCAGGTCGTGGAGTTGGTGATTCTGTATGTTTGACTTTATCTTGATCTTCATTACTAACCGTTGAACCAATTTGTCTGAAAGATAAGTTTGAGGTATGGATATATGTATGACTTTGTTACTCCGCTATCAAAGTGAAAAACTGTAGAAGTCCGGCAGCACGTGGTAATACACGAGAGCTATCTCTAACAGCTACTTGATTTTCTTGGAGGAATGCGAACTCAAGGTGAACAGATCCATATGTTAAACGAACAGTTTGTTCATTTATGTACGACAAATGACACTGAAAATGTGTCAATGAGGAAATGCATAGAGTATGAACACATTACCTTTAAGCGCACTGGGAAAGGCAAATCTACATTGAAGACTTGGGCAATGACTTTACAGGACTGGTATCTCACTCTACTGAAAGTAGACAAAGCCTGTAGAGGTATCGCTGTAGAAATCAAATAATGAACCAAATCCGTCAAATCTCTATCCTTGTTAAACCTGAAATGTTCATATAACAATCGTAAGAGAATTAAAAAATTTACTTCGTATTGAGGATCCCTGACATAAGAGAATGTGGATTCCAATTGATTTCCTTCTCCCAGCATACATCAATATAGTCGGGCTGCTCCCGAGAAAGAGCCTAAATAGAAAGACAATATTAGAAACCAACTATGTAAACTATACCTGGCCAAATGTAAGCTTGTACCCTTCCAATGGTGGTGTCGGTTTGAATGATATTATGAGTAGTTGATCACGCTTTTCTCCATAAGCCAGAATGAGCTTATGATACGTGTAACAAACAACCTGGACAAAATTGAAATACTGATAAGGAAGGAGTTAGCTAACTTACGTTACAATATTTGTGATAATGAGCTTTATAAGCTATAGCAAACTTGTTAACTATCTCATAAATGTGCAAGTATCTATAGAAACAAATTTGAAAAAAATATCTGTGCTAGAGAACTATACCGAGTGAGTCTCTCTACTATGCATTGTGCTATACCCTCGTTACCATTAGTGCCATTTGATGTCATGTCTTGAACCCAAGTACAAACCTAGGCAAAAATATTGATGAACTCTTTATTAATGAAAACTACCTGATTGCGATAAGCATCTTTCCGGCAGTCTCTAGTGAGGGGAGCGTTTATCATACAACATTCAAACGGCCATTGTATTCTCATTTTGTTATCCAGACGAATGCAGCATCGAACAAGTTTTTTCAAAAAGTCCGGACATTTCTTCTCCAAAACTTGAGAGAGTCTGTGATAGTTGCGATCATTGCAATATTACTATAAAAGGAACTCACTCAGTTATGTGCAGCACGAGACCACCAACATGAGGCTCGTTGTCCACACTCATATATCTTATGACCTTTTTGTCTAACTCTAAGCATACTTTCATGAAAGATAAACGATCATCCACAGATGAAACTGCTTGCGGCAATTGTCTTTCCATTGAACGTTCTATTTTTTGTCTCTGCAATTTCGGAGTAAGGAAAGCTCTAATGAAAGCATATACCTTCGGTTGAGGTTTCCAATCATCTTCTTCATTGGTAGCTCCATATGTATTAGCTTCGAGAGTAACGATACGATCAAGCGGAGCAGCAACATGAGGTAAATCCTGTTAGAAATTTTTGAATTTAGTTTTGATAGAAAGGTATTATACTTTAACAAGTTCTAGTAATTGGACATTTTCTTCCGCTACGCTAATTAAGAATAGTCCAACTTCGATCGACAAGTTGTTGTCGGGTTTGAACGTAACAACCTTAAAGCACGAAAAAACGTTCAAGTTATTTCATAGCGGACTAACTAAATAATATTGCTCCTCTTTAATGAATTGTAAACAAATACGGTCGGGTGGCAAACTTCGGACCTAGGAAAACGATTGAAAAGGTGCTTATTTTTTTTTCCTTACCTTAGAGAAGAAGGGCGCCATCTGTGCTTCATTTATTATGCGGACTTGGAGTGCTGCTACAGATTTCCTGTATCTGCTTATCATAATGAGCACTCTGGAAAAATGAAACGAATATGAACAAGGTTTAGAGTATGCCATACTTTAATGAGTCTAACAACTTCCTCAGAAGTTCCACCGAATGACAATCGTATAAAACCTTCTCCAATTCTTTGATTTTCTTGGCTCCAGAAGTTTCTAGAGTGATGATCATATTTTTCAAACAAAAAAATTTGGTACCTATCGCAGAGATCGTACATAAGACTTTCCCTGTGGACATGCTCACGGATACATATAGACATTCTTCAACGTTGTCAACACTGTCCCTCAGCAAAGGGAAATACAAACAAGGAGCAGCTTGCCCTAAACATATTAATTAGGTTTGGAAAATCATAAGTCAACCTACCAGTTAACGCAATCAGAGCTTTAGGCTCAGCGGCTTCAAGTCGTTTTCTTATACGCAACAGCCTTTCACGACAACGAACAGCAAATGTTTCCGACAATAAGCGATCAATTGATAATCGACTATAAAAAAGAACAGATAAACGAGTTAATATGTTAATTTCAAAAGTTTAGTTACTCACCCTGTACGATCGTCAAGTTGTCCGAGATTTGGGAAATTTGGAGAATGTTTAACTCTTAGAGGAGTATCTTCTTCGCTACTACCATAAATAGTTACACGATATTGTGGGACCAATCTGAGAAAATTAAAATGAAAAAGAAGAAAATGATTTCGCGTACCTAACATGAACACTTCCTTTTCTATGAGACACACGCTGAACCCAATAACCAACTGTAAGTGAACGCTCTTTAACATCATACTTTTCTATCAGAATTTTTCCCCTAAATCATGATTTAAAAAATGAAAACCATCTATGTTGCACCTTAAACGGCCCGCCGATAATTGGGAACACTGACAAAAAAGTACATCAAGCTGAAGGGTTTGGGCAAAAGAATGTAATACAGAATAGACTTCGTTTAACGGCTTAAAAATGAGGAAAAAATATAAAGCTGGAAAGGTGTAAAAGGAACTTACATTGTTTGCGACATTCATCCTCGACTGAATGACATTGTGAATTAGATTCAATTGTAATGGATGAGCCTGCTTTGCAATATTAAAAGTGAAACTTAAATGTAACTCACCAGCTGAGTTCCATAGCCAATTTCGTGATCTTCAACTAACATCTTTATATTCAGTAATGTCCACTTAGTGTTGTCAGTTTCTCCTAACACAGTAAGAGCTGCCTCGAACTCTCCAGGAACAACTAAGGTGACCTATCAACAACGTTGTGATAAGGAGCGTGTAGAAGTAACAAACCATTCCATTCCGAATTTTGATTTCTTTGATTCTTGGAGAGAGCTTAGCTGCTAATCGGGACACGCGATATTGCAAAATCTAAAGTCAAAATCCTTGTCAAAGAATGAAAAATCAACTTTACTTGGTTCAATCTCATAAGAACTTGAGCTTGCTCTTTAGGTGAAATCTTACTTTCTTTGATAATAGTGTCTTTTATGCATAGAGGCAAGCGAGAAAATGTTCCCTACAAAGAATGAATAGAAGGAAGAAAAAATGTGAAAACTTGCCTGAGCGAGAACATCTACAGCGGCTGTGATTTGGAACTGAGGTAACCTGGCAAGCACAAGCTCTTCACGTGTGAATGTACATAATCTATCAGCAGTTTCAACAAAATAGTTGCTTTGGAGATCGAGCAGATAACAAATAGCCTGAACAACAATTTCTTACTCATGTAACCAAACTGTTGTAACAAACCGAACTGGCTTCAAATTTTTTAGATGACTTAACCCATTTAACCAAAGCTAAGAGTTTCACAAATAGCATGCGAGTTGAATGAGCAAATTGGACAAGACTGATCTTCCTATCAGAATCCAACTTTTTTGGTAACCTAAGTTTCAGGAATGGTGCGATATTCAGTGCAATTTGAACTTACAACTCCGACAACACAGTGAGCTCATGATAGATTTGTTGAACAGCAAAGTCTATTAAGTGACTTAAAGCGATTGTCGGAGGCCCACAATTAGGAGGTACAACCGGAAGAGCAGGTTTTTCTAAAACTTCCTCCACTTCTGGCATTTTCTGAAACGGATATGGCGGTGTTGACAACGAGATCTATATTTGAAACCAACCACACCTAGGTTACGTACATACGGACACGAAAGAATCGTATATCAAGTTTGGAAAGTGATGAAACGAAGCCTGAAACTTTCGAGTGTTCTTTATATTGATAATACAAATGAAAACTATGTTTAGAAATTTAAATAATTGGTAGAAGCTTGGAAAAAAGCCAAACGTTCAAAAAATTCGAAGTGCTGCGTCGCGGGCTGCGTAGCGGTTCATATATATATACCAAACCAAAAAAGAGCACGTATCTTTTAGGCGATTTTTGGAAGTGAATTGGTTGTTGCTTCGAAAAATTCTAATAAAGGATTGTCTGGGTGTTTCCGAAAGTCTTGGTTTCACCAATGAGAGATGACCATCATATTGTTTTTGATCGACACAAGTGCCTCGATGGCACAAAAGAATTATAAAGGTTCCTCTTGCCTAGATCTCTGTAAAGCATTTGTTTCTGAATTCATCAAGGTGTGTTTTTTTTTTCAACACCACTTCGTTTTTCTGTTCTACTTCTTCATTTCTTAGGCTCGAGGGCGAGATGTTTCCAATAGAGGCTTTGACCGTTATATGCTTCTCTCAACGGAAGAGTATCCGAGCTGTGTGAAAGAACTTAGGGTAAGAAATCTTCGTCTTTGGCTTAACATACGTGTCTTTCAACTCAACTCAACTAACTTTAAAACGTCTAACTTATTGAAAAAATGTAATTCATCTGAATCTAACAAACGCCGTTTTGCCCAGAGTGAAATCTATTAACCGAAAAAGTTTCTCACCTTCACAAACCTGCAATTTCTTCCTGGTTCAGACTGCTTGGAGAGAGAATGCTCTGATGGAGCCGATGAAATCACTGAAACCAACTGGGCGACACTCTTTTTGTAGTTCAATCCAAACTATTTTTCGGTTGTTAAATTTAAATAGATCTACTACTGGTAGGTGTATACTCTGACGAACCACAACACTTTTACTCTCAAGGAATTGACAATTACGGTTATGGAAGATTTCCGTACTATATGGAGCCAGTTTTTATATTTTCTCTAACAGATGGCACTGCGGTAGACGAGATGATCCCTGATTTTAAGGTTCCGAACTTTCTTCATGTTTTTAAGTCATTTTTGATGTTTCAGTTGGATTTCAAGAGTAAACAAGATCTGACCAAGGACGTTTTCCGTTGGGATCAGAAGTTCTTTAGTGTTGTGAGTGCTTACTAGATAAAAAAATGTAATTAGCATAATTCGAATTCAGGTGTTCCGTGTACCTGCCTCTCATCCCCGGTTTAGTCCATTAGGTCGTATAGATCCGGATACGGAAACGATTGACCGATGTTGCGCATCTACAGGAGGTTTTTCTGCTTTTCTGATAATCCAAAAAAATGTTTATGAATTAGGAAGATCGTTCTCGATTGTATGTCACAAGCAAATAAGTCAATGTATAGATGTAATTATTCAAACTATGCAACAACCCGGAATCTCTGTTCGATTTCAATGTCCTGTTTTGAATAGTAAAGAGCAAGAAAAGGAAACAAAAATAGCCAAATTGTTTTCAGGTCCTCAATATAGAACAAACGAAGGTTCATCATCTAATGATGTTCTTCCCGAAGTGAGATTGAAAAAAAAGCTTGAAGCACGACCATTGACTACAGTTATAGTGCGAATGGTCGGAGGAAAACCAATTACTAATCATTGGCCTATTCCTGAAGGATTCTGGCATACCAGACTTGAGTAAAAAAAATGCTTTCAAGGAAGCCTTAATTGAAAAATCTTTAGGAATGGTTCCATTCCAGTTCGATCTGCTCAACCAACTATCATTTTCATGCTTGATTCTACTCCATCACAAATACTATCAGACTTTCCTTTTGACAAATATGAAATTGAGTCATCTCCTGTAGTTGATTATATTCTCGAAAAATTCAAAGATGGTAAAACGGATCAATGTTTACAGGTATCAGCTCTACTTCCTTCTTTTTTAATTTGGCTTTTTAAGGTTTTTGTACATAATTCGGGTCGTACTGAAGGGTATGGTAAGCCATTCGGGTATCTCAAAGTTACTTCTTCTGGAACGGGTGTAAATCTATTTTTGATGCCATATAATTATCCTGTACTTATACAGTTATTACAAGAACTCAAGGTTTTATTCTTGTGTATTTATCTTTGACGCCTGTTCCTTCAGAATGACCAATCGCTCAGAAGTGTTCCGCAATGGAGAAAACGATTGGATAGTTATTTAGAAAATGTTCCACCATACTATTTGCTGGTAATCTCAGTTCTCGAATCTATCACTCTGTTTTTAAGGCATTAAGGAAAAACTTGATCAAATGGAAAATCAATGGCGGACTACTCGATGAGCAGAACTCGGTAAGTTTTCTTGGGGAAATTTTATGAATAATTCCTTTAGTTGTCTCAAATTTACCCTATGAATATCATCAACATGTTGAATCGATTGAAACCTCATGCCAAGGACGAATATGACAAACTTTGTGCTTCATTAGCTGCTAATAATCAAATTGCTCCAAACAATCAAGCAGTTTGTCTTATTTTTTCAACGTTCACGATATATTGATGCTTACAGTTCCTCATTGAGAGAAGACCAAAGGTTCAACCTCAACAACATTGGAAAACGGCAAATCCTAAGAAAAGTAGGAAGGACAGAGATGAGAAAAGAGAAGTAGATGATTGGTTCAAAGATCCAGCGGATATGAAAGTTACAGCGGCCCCTGAGAAAACTAATATTCAAGTAAGTTTAATGTGATTTACTGCTTCACAACTTGAGTTTTAGTTCCATATGAGCGAGTCGAAAACTAAATCAGCTATGGTATCCACTTATCGAAACCCGCTAATTTTGAACAAAACGGACCTTGTTGATCACTTACCCAGGTATCCTCAGTTTGAATACCTACTCTGAACGCTCCATGGTTTAGAATGTGCGCAAACATACGTCTTCTTTTACGAGACAGCCCGATTCCTGTTCTAGAAGGAGGAAGACCCGGTTTCAATATCAAGCTCCATCACGCAGGTAGACCATAGTCCCATGCTGTTTTCTATATTCAGTTGTAGACGAACTACATTCTCAGCCTATTGCCTTAATGGGTAACTATGAAGAGTACATAAAGTCCCTCACGGCCATCGGAAGAGCTCCCTTAAGGGAAATTGAAGAAAAACCAGTTCGAACTCATGCGTTCGGTAACCCCTTCAAAACAAAAAGTTTAGCTATTGATGAGGTTTGTTCAACAAGTGGACGTTTTTATAATTTTTTCTACAGGTCGGTGAGGGTCCTGCTATGGGGCAAAGATCTGAGTCGAAAGAAATGAAAAGGGACCGGAAGGCCGGAGGATTTTCTGGACGTCCACCCAAGAGGAAACCTGGAGCTCTGGCTCAGAATAGTCTCGGACAATGGAGGTTAACTCACAGTTATGTTCAGCAATACAACGAATAAATTCAGAGATCGTCGTAAAACTCTTTCAGAACGATCTTCTATCATGTCAGATAGTTCTTATATGAAAGATATAGATGAGGAAGTTAAAATGGTAGAATCGTCGTCAAACGAGAAGATTAAAGAGAATGTTAATGGTATTTCCCTCTCAAACGGAGATATAGAATCGTCTGGACAAGTAAGGAGTTAACGTTTTCTTGATTCATAGCTATACTTGCAGGCGAGTTTGAAAGATTGGGGATTAGAAGAAGAATATGATGAAAGCATGGATTCGCAAGAAGGACCGTCCGTAGTGAAGAAACCTCGTTTTAATAAAGATTTACCTCAAAACGAGCTGAGGAACAAAAAGATAGCAATATCTTCCCTTATCCGTAGGATCAGTAAAGGTTCGGGATATTTGCAAGTGTGTGCTTCATGAACATTATTTTATAGATCAGAGTATTTTCGAAGAGATTCGTAAGACTATCTATGGAGGTTCATCAGCAGACTCTCTAGAGTTATACGAGTTTTCGATACGCGACTCACAAAGATTTAAAAGAAAGCGACTCACAGAAAAGCTTAATATTGAAATTAGAAATTTAAAAAGTAGTATAAATGGAGTAACATAATATATATATACCTAGCAAGTTATTTACTATTTTTTTGTTTTAATGTTTGTTTACGGGTTGTTTATGGTTTTCTTTGTCGTTTTTACGTTCTTTCGTTCAGCGGCTGAGATCTCATCTCACTTTTTGACGGTTCTCCTGAACCTTTGTTACTCTACGAGTTTTATTCCTGTGCGTGTGCGTGTGTGTGTGTGAAGGTCCGATGTTTTTCAAATTGTGATCTCATTATATTAATTTCAATTCTCTACTTTTCTGATTTTTATGATTCTCCGTTTTTCGCGGATACACTATTATCGATATCATATAATACATTCTGACTTCAGCTATTTTTTATTTAAGATGCTATGTGCTGGGAGATTTTTGGGTTCCTCCAGAATATCCGTTGTGAATGTTCGAAACATGCATGACCGCAGCGCCGTGCCAAGGGTGGTCGATGATCGTGAGAAGGTTTGATATAATTATGATTTTTTCAAAGTGTCAATCTTTAGTCGTCCGCGAAAACTTCCGATGCAGGCTACGTTTTTCGGTATCATCAAAATGCCATAGATCCTCTTCCTCGTGATCCAAAGTAGTTACGAACAATCTTGCTTTGTACTTTCTCTATTACAGCTCCAAAACTCCTGTTGCAAAGCCAACATACAAAGTGAGAGATGCATGGAGTTCCTCTCAAGCCAGGTTCGGACAAAATGATTATATTGACATTCTGGGAGACGGATCACTCCATCCAGCCCAACTCCAGGTGCGAATCTAAAAATATACCAAATTTGCTTTGTTATTAAATTGAAAGGAAACAACCATTCTCTGTGATCGGCAATTATGAAGTAATCCGTGATTATCCTAGAGTCACTTATTAACATAGTAGCCTTATGACGTGTCATAATCTAATTTATTCAGTACCACACACCTGCCTGGTTACGTGGCTTTCCTGGACAACACAAAGCAAATGAACTCATCAAGCTTATACATTACCGAAATTTATATGCTGACAAACTAAAGGTTTTTTTAATATCTTGATTGTTATACTTACTTTATACTTTTCTAGAATAACTCTCCGAGGAGATGGCACGAGCTCTGCAAGAGGATCAAATACTTGTCGATGTATCACAATTATAATAAGCAGGTGTGTTATAATGTTTGACGTTTGATGATCGTGCTTATTCCAGGACGAACTGGGCCGTGAAAGGAATTTGGGATTATGGGATGAAAAGCCTGATTACTTCTTCAAGGATAAATCTCGCCGCTCATATAAGGATCTAGTATGATGGAACTATATATAGTTGTTGAATTTTAGTTTTGATATTGTTTTGATTTATACAGAATAGAAGCTTTCAAAGATTTATTCATGTATAATTTCATGAGTATCAACTTATACACAACAAGATCAACAACTGAGAACAAAAAGATGGATAATCAAGTACAGAAACTGTTAACACTGTTCAAATATTTTTCACTTCGTTTAGTGTCATAGAATAACCGATAGGCTTCTTGTACGTCGAGATTTGTGACCTGAAATGAGGATATAAAAGCGAATATTCTCAGATGCACTTACGAGATCTGCTTTCTTCCGATCTCTCAAAACATTTGCTAATGAAATCAGCTGCATAGCGTAACGCAAGCTGGTCTTCTGAGCAGTTACCGATAGAAGCTCGAGAGCATCAGGTTGAATTCTAAGAAGGAAGGAAGAATTATGTAGTGTTCAATGAGATTACCTGGTCCCCTCCTCATCGGCTCTGAGGGATATGATCTGCTTTATTTCCTCCTTGGCATAGGCAGATGTTCGAATAATAAGAGAGCGATCCAATAAATCGGCAGGTATTCCATGGGCAGAGACAACATCTGTTCCCCTTACTGGGCAATGGGTCCTAGCAAATACATAAGGTTCACGCTGCTCGCTTTACCCATACCTGTTAGTGGCCATAATCAAAATAGGACATAACTCTGTTTCGATTGCTCTATTGAGGAAAGAGAAGCATTCCAAATCTAAGAGATGCACTTCGTCTATGAAAAGAACACCAGGCACAACCATGGCTTTGCCCTCCTCTCTCCATTCAACTACCTTTAATCATATGTCAGCGAAATATCCCATGAGGTCACAAACCTTTTTGTTTATTTGCTCTCGCACTTCACTCTTAATCTCTCCTGTATCACCAGAGAACAGAGCAAGGAATCCTTGAGTACGCGAATTAATGACATCGATTTCATGAAGGCAAACGGTATGGACTGTTTCCCTAAAAGGCAATCATAAAAACAATAGGCATGCCTCCTATGCCTGACCTTCTTTTTTGAATTTCCCCGTCAGGGCACTGTACGAACTTAGTCTGAGGACCCATCGCATCGTAATCATGATTGCGTGTGAAAGCGCGTCCCAGTCTAGTCACCCGTCCTGCATTCTTTATTAGTCAGGCGTGGAACCTTTTAACAAACCTGAAGCCTTATCGATCTGAATCACATCTCCAGCGCATACTTTTTCCTTTATACAAGATTCAACCATTTTACTTCCGAGATCGTAAATAGTTTCCATATCTGTTGTTTTCATGGTTAATTTCCCCACCTGACAAGCTGAGATAAAATTATTTAAAACCTTGAAAACTACCTTGGGACCGGGACCAGTAGCTGGTTTGTCAATCTCAATAGTAACAACTTCTCCTTCTAAAACCTAAACAGCCATTACGTCATGCTACGATAACTCTTCAATTAACCTCAGTTTCTTCTTTGATTCGGACACCGATAGCTTTTCTGAAAGATTGCATCAAGGCTTCTGTTCTACTCATTTCCACTGAATAAATTTCTGATGCAGTGATGGAAACAAACGGAGTGTCTGTTCCTAAAGCTTTTGATATACCTAAGAGAAACATTTAAACACATTTGTATATTCATTTCTCAAACCCATTGCTAGAGCAGTCTTTCCTGTTCCGGCCTGACCGGCAATTAGAATTGCTCTTCCGGCTATTTTACCATCCTAACAAAAGGTTATTGATTAAAACTCTCCGAGTACCTGTTAGTACCTGAATCATTTTGACAATAAGACCCGCAGCTCTTCTTGCCGCCTGTTGACCGACCATTCCATCACCATTGGGGCTCGGGTCAAGATTTGATGACAAACCGAGACCTCGAATATGTGAATGCACACCAATCCGTTCTACTTTTAAGACGTCTTTGATTTCCACATCTCCGATTGTAGCCATCTGTAGAAACTCATGTTAATTTTTCAGAATTTTGAATTCAAAATAGTTTAGTTCAAAGTGTTTTCAATGTTTTTTCAAAATTATTCATTTTTTTTTCTTTTTTTTTTTCAAAATTGAACTTGATAAAACTATTAAAAGAGACTTTCAAATTTGGAAAAACTTGAGAGCAAATTTGAATATTTCGGCTAATAATCTAAGATACCGCAGCAAGATCGTGTCGAGATTCTGCCTATGACACATGTTGGCACCGTGCCAAAGGACGCGCGCGTGTCTCTCGCTGCTATACTCAATAGGCGTTTGGTATTTTAGCGTTAGGTCGGTTGTTATAGCTTTTCTACTTGTTTTCCGTAAAAAAAAGTGGATTAAGTATTGAGAAGTACACATTTTTTTATGAATATGATATCTTTTTGTCTGACAGATATGCTTTTCTAAAATTTTAATTTGAACAATCATCTCATTAGTTGACATATCGCGCTCGGACCTACTGTCGTTGTTCTGCCGTTCACGCTCAGCAATTTCATCAGAGATATCGACTGTCATTTTTCCAAATAAAGATTTAAGTCAAGTATTACTCTTCAATTTTAGCGTTCATCTCGAAGTACCAAGAGTTTTCCAAGTTTTTGGTAAGCTATTTTCAAATTAAGCCTCTTCCTTATTTTAGGGAAGGGACGCCGTTATAGACGCAGAGGTCGCGTCTGTCTAATGTCTCCGCTGCGTACGCACTCTCTCGCCCTTGGCCAATGCTTTATAATGCCAATGCTCCTCCCATTTCCTTTTTCTCTGACTATGTAAGCGTCACGGCGGATTTTGCCGCGCGCGTTAAAAGAGCGTCAAGCTTTTAAAGGATTATAGTTCATTTTATATTTTGTTCTCCTTCATAAGCTTTCTTCCATCTGAAACTTTACTGTGTTTAATTTACAAATTCTTCTTTATTTGCTTTTTTTGATAGACATATAATTTATTCAAATTATTTCTTCAGTTACAGCCTTTTGGACAGTAATGTCCGCAAAGGATCCGGAAAAGGTTACTGATGGAGTTAGCACATCTGAAGATATGGCTCAAGCTGCTTCAACAGATGAAAACTCAAATGAGGAAGAACCTACTAGTACTCCGCCTGTAAATCCCTGGGCGACACCTAGACAGGTTTAGAGTGATCTTATAGATTAGGAGTAGGGGAAATGTTTTAGGAGCCTGTTAATGGGATCGTTCAACCTCGTGTAATTCCTCCAATCAAGAAACCGACAAGGCATACAAATCAACTTGATTATATGCTAAATACCGTGATAAAGGATGCTATGAAACATAAGCATGCCTGGCCTTTCAACGCTCCTGTTGATACAATCAAACTTGCTCTTCCTGTAGGAACTTGTTGTAATCTGTTTTCTGAACTATTATTTTTAGGATTACCATAAAGTAATTAAACGACCCATGGATTTGAAATCCATTGAAAAAAGGTTAAAAAATTGCTACTATTATTCTGCTAAGGATTGCATGGAGGTACGCGTTTTCACAAAAATTTCCATAAAACCGAACGAATATCTTTTGAACACACCGGAACAAACTTCGAACAAACCGTTCAACTCTTTTTATCTAACTTCTGTGCTCTATCTTTCTTATAATGGTTAATTAAAAAGCCAAAACGGGCTGTGGGGAAGTATGTAGTTGATCGAGATCTGCAACGCTTTGGGTGGTATCGGAGAACCTTCAGCCCATTATTGCACCATTATTCTAATTTCACTAATGTAACGCGCACAGTTCGAACTTGGTTCCGGTGTCCCTTAGAGGGACTCGCCAAATATTTGGAAATTTTGTTCTTTTGCGGAGCTGGCTTAGAGGTTCTCCGATGTTGTAGGACATAATGACCCTGTTCAATAATTGTTACACGTACAACCCCCCTTCTTATGGTGTGGTACAAATGGCTCATGATCTCGAATACCATATACTTTCCTCAGTCGCGAAGATGCCTAATGAAGTAAGTTCTTTTTCTCTCAGGATTTCCGAGCGGTCTTCGACAACTGCTACAGCTTCAATCAATCCGAAGATGACGTTACTCTAATGTGTAAAAATGTAGAGAATCGATATAAAGATTTAATTCAAAGTATGCCAGACGAGGTAGTATTGAAGACTTGTGGAGCTTTCAAAATTTCAATTCTTCCAAGCTATGAATGTATTTTAGGAAGTGGAGATACCTAGACCTTCTACAAAACGTGGTCCTAAGGCGGTTAAAAAACCGTCTACTCCCGGAGGATCTAGAAAATCTTCAGTTGCCCGAGGTGGGAGCTCAGAAACTGATGTAGTTCTAAACTATTTCCATAACGCTGCAGTAAGAGGTGCGAAAGCATTTCTTCGCTAACATCTGAAGCGTTGGCTTAGAACTTTTATTTTTTTTGAAGTATCGAATCTCGTTCTTACTTTTCATATTTACAGCTTCTCGAGAATCCTCAGTCTCAATACAAAAAGGAGCAGCGGATAGCTCTAGTCTCGGAATGGATACGTCTCCATCTTTAGAAGATATTAAAGCAACTACATCAGATATTCAGGTAAGGATAGGCATTTTTCTAGATTAGTTTCTTTACGTACAGGGTGTTGTTGCTCCAATTCAACCTTCCAAATTGCAGAAGGGCGTGAAACGAAAAGCTGATACTACAACTGGCGTGGAGGAGGACTCGAAGGTTAGACTAGTTAATGCTCATTCTGTAAAGTGTTCTTCCTTAAGGGAGGTATTCGAAGAGAATCCACGAGGCCTATCAAGAAACCCGCTACCTTCATCGATTGGTCTCAACAACAACCTCGTTTCAAGGGGAAGTTAACCGAGTCTCTCAAGTTCTGCCAGAAAGTCATAAACGAGCTTCTCTCAAAAAAATATAAGGTTCGCGATTGTTTATTCAAGCGCAAGTATAAATTGTCCTTTCAAGGGATTCACTTGGCCTTTCCTAGAGCCCGTAGATGTTGATGGCCTTAAACTCTATGACTATTATGATATTATTACTCATCCTATGGATTTGGGAACTATTAAGAAGAAACTTGAAAATCGATTGTATATTAATGCGCAGGAGGTCGCTGAGGATGTTCGTTTGGTAAGAGTTCTTCAGTGTTTGAATCTTGTTAATCAAGTTACTTAGGTTTGTAATAATTGTTTTAAATATAATCCTGCCAGCGACATTATACACGAACATGGAAAAACACTTCTTAACCTGTTCGAGGAAAAGGCAAGTTAATATTATCGTAATTGTATATATATGGCAATGTTTAGTTCACTGGAGTGCCGCTTGATGAAGAAGAACCTGATGCTGGAGGAAGTGTTTCTGCCGCAGCTGCTAGCGTATCTGCGGCCGCCGCTTCTGTTGCTGCTGCTCCCAGTCCAATCCTTTCCATTCAAACCGAACAAGGGGATGACGATGAAAAATTAGAAGTACTTATAAATGAAGTGAGATGACATTTTTTTGCGTACTTTATTTATTTATCTAATTAGGTACAATTGCAACAAGTTAAAATACAGGAAAAACTGACACTGATGTCTCAGTATAACAGTCAGCTGCTTGAGCTAAAATTTGAGCGTAAGGAAGCCAAGTTGAAAAATTTACCTATTCCTGGGGTACCTCCGACTCTGGTACAATCTATTCAGACTGTAAGCATTCCCTGTGAGAATACCCCTAGCCCAACCATAAAGGCAAGTAACTTAGTTACTTCAATTTAAATTTCTGATTTTCCAGCGCGCTAAGCCTACGATTAAAGAAGAGTCTCCGTTATCGAATGGGGCTGTATCTTCTATATCACCTGGTGGTAAACGAGATAGTAAACCTACCACTTCCAAAGCAGCAGTAATATTAACACCCAAGCCATATTCTGGTCGGGGTCGAAAACCTGGTTCTAAGAACAAACCCAAGGTTTGTAGAAATGTGTTTCTTCCGAATATCAGTTTGTTTAGGTGATAAAGACTGAAAGCAATGCTAAACCATGGCGAGAAGGATATCATTTCGATTCATCTGATGAGTCATCAAATGAGCCAATGACTTACGAGGAAAAGCGAAAGTTGAGCTTAGACATTAACAAACTTCCGGGAGACAAACTCCATCTTGTTGTTAGTATAATTGAAAGCAGAGAAGCTTTATCGGTAACGAGAATATTCACTTCGCATTTTCACTTTCATAATCTAGGACTTTAATCCCGAGGAAATAGAAATCGATTTTGAAACATTAAAGCCTGCCACCTTGAGAGAATTGGATGCTTTTGTATCTACTTATCTTATTAAGAAGAATAGGAAGCCAGCTGGTAAGTATCATATTTTGCACATAGTTGCTTCAATGCGCTATTCGGCTCTTTTTGATTTGCACGAATTTTTCTCTCGATGTTTTAACTGCTCAAAAATTTCCGAAAGCTCTTGAGGGAATATCCCGATGATAAAAAGAGTGATTACTTTTCAGCCACAAAATCCGCAACTGATATAGACGCACGCAAACGTGATCTTGAGGAAAAGATCAAGAAGTTGGGAGGTTCTATTAATCATCAGGCTGCAGCTACTTCTCCTATTGCTCCTCTTTCCTCCGCTGCTGCCCCCAAAAATGGTACTGCCTGATTCGCATGTTTTAAAATACTAACAAATTTGAAATCATGATTTTGCCTTACTAAATATAACATAACATCCTCCTATTAATCTCACTATTTTGAATTTAGCAACTGAAACACCACGCCAAGCTGGGCCGTCGCGCAACATGTTAGCTTCTCCAATTTCATCACGGACTACTTCCTCTGGCGATTCAACTTCTTCGTCGGACTCGGACAGTGATTCCTCGGATTCTGAATCAGGTTAGGCGGGGCTCTTGTGGGGCACTCCAATCTCTGTCCGGGCGGCTCCAGGGAGGTGGAAGGTCGGCAGAGATGAGTGCCTCCTTCCCGCCTCTCTGCCGTTAATTATCTGTATATACAAGATCTTTTTACTTGTAAATTGCTCACGATGTTCTGCTGCCGTGTAATTTATTTTTGCTGCTGAATTCCTTATCTCGGGTAAACTAATAATTCGCTGCTATCTGTACCCTGTGTTATATATTTTTATCTCAGAATCTCATGCATTTACTAAGGTCATTATTGGTTCTCAAACTTTGCCCGCTAAGTTAATATTTTCCTAAAGCCTTTAAGCACAACTGTCGTTTTATCCTGTGTATATTTTGTACGTTATCTTTTGAGATATTAATCTTGTGCTATTGTACATTATTTATTCCGTATTCTAATAAGGATTTGCATCACTTGTTTCCGGACAGAGATTCTTTTTTGCGCAAAATATATAACAATTAAGGTGTTTTTTCTATCGACACCTTATTATGATTACGTCAGGTCAACTTCGAGGTCGTGGAAAGATAAATGGACGAGCCCAACCAATTTTGCAACATGCACCAACACCCGCTCCAGCTGCTCCTGTTGTTCCAACTACTACTGCAGCCAAGTCCGGCTTAAATGGATCATCAAACCCGTTAGCAACTGTGCCAGTCACTGTAGCTGCAGCACCCCCTACCGGAACTTCAAAAGTTTTACCAGTTCCAGGCACAGCCCCCGTGGCTACAGGTATCCTAATTCATAAAACTTTGTTTCTAAATAACGGCGTTCAGAAGGTCCCCCATCCACTAAAACGATCTCCTCTTCTGTTGTTCATGAAGGAGCCAAGCCTCTCCTTCAAAATAAGCGAACTGTTGAACCTGCGGGAATCGGTATATTTTTATATCAGCTGTATCTTCTTCAAATTATGATTCAGGCGGCTCAATTTTGGATCAACTTTTGCCTAGTAGAGAAGAATCGAAAAGTAATGGTTTGGAAGATATCAGAAGACAGGCGAAGCAAAAGGAGGATCGAATGGTTTGATAGTTTTTTTGAAATTCGCAGTTAAGTTTATTCTTTTGCAGCGCTTAGAACAAGAGCGGCGGCAACGTGATGACGATCGGCGTAAAACTTCAGATGAAGACGAGGCCACTCGATTACTGCGGATTAGAGAACAGGTGAACATGATTCAATCAAAGGTAGCTAACTCTGATTCTTCTTTTACAGGAACGTAGGAAACGTGAGAAAGATAATGACGTTGACTTGACAAGACAGATGGAAATGATGGCAAACTTCGAGGCAAACTTCGAAGCAAATTTCTAAGCCGCAAAGTTTGAGAACCTTTCGCTACACTGCTGGTGCTAGTCATTATTTATTCCTCAACAAAGTGTATTGAATTACTGGTTCTTCTTATATATTGTTTTTGTGTTTTAGCAGAGAAATAGATTTTTAAGGGCTGCTGCCCATACATTTGTCTTGTTCTGATCCTCATAGAACTTTGTTGTAGATGTCAATTTTGCCTTTATTATTATAATTATTATAACGTACTGGTTCACATGTTTTTTTGAAATTTTCCGTTTCTTGAAGGTCTCTCGTGACCGTCGCGCTCCTTAAAAGGTAGTGGTGTTCTTTCTTAAAGAGCTTCCACTCCCGATTTCTAAATCACCCTATATTATGCTGTACATCCTTTTATCCCCATTAAGTTATGCATGGTCGATTCTCTGATTTGCCATTCGTATTCGTTGTTATTTGATATTACTGAAGAATTTCAGGTGTTTTCACTAAAATTGTAAACTCCCAAATTAGGAAAATGTCCACGTGACTTCGTCAAAGCCTTATAAGCAATATTTTCATTCTGTTCTCCAATAGTAGAATGGTAATTTCTCATAATAACTCGATCCTAAGGGAATGTCCACTTCGTTGAATCCATGTGTTGTGTCTCCTTAAAATCAGTTCGTTTTTTTTGTCAGGATTTCAAACTGTTGTATTATAATCGTTATTAAATCGAATAATATATTATCACACATTTGTTGTTTGTGAGAATTTTCTAATTAAATTTTACTGTTGACATCAGACCAATTATTTGAATATTCGCTTCGAAGGAAAAGCCTTTGAACTCTCAGCTGCTGCCCTTATAAACGTACAGCGCTGTTTCAGAACATCCAGTTTCAAACAGAGTTATTACTTTGCTCTCGCTTCTTCTCTCTCTTCTATCTTCTCATTCATCGTTTGTTCACCACTCTCTATCTATCTGTATGAACTGCTGATTGTAAAGAGGAAAACCATGATACGCTGGAGTATTGTTCATGCGATAGTCTGTTTGACTACGACTGTCCTCGCAGTTCATCAAGCAGACATGTCCAAACTAGAAAACTCTGCTCAGAGAGTTAGTTTTTTGTGCTTAAAAACTCTTTAATGGTATATTCAACTGTTTCAGAGAGCTGAAAATTTACATCATCTAGATACAATAGTTCTGTTAACTTATATAACAGTCATGGTTGTTATTGTGCTGACGGCTTGGTTCTTCAAACATCGCCGTTTCCCATTTATTCATGAGTCCGGTTTGACACTCATATATGGTTAGTTTCAGTTGAAATAGGTTTGAGCTTTGTTTTCTTTCAGGATTACTCATTGGTATGGTCATTAAGTATTTCAATATTGGTTTACTAGAATCCCAAACATTCGATGTTATCCTGAAAAACAGTACAATTGTTTCGGAACCACCAGATTATTTGAGGCATGACCTTTCTCATTCAGTTCTGTTTATATCCCATGCTTCAGATTGGAAGTGAAACCTGATGGAGGGCAAAAAGTTTCATTCCACTACGAATTGATTGAAGGCTTTTTCGCTGACACGAAAAAACATAATGAGCATAAGATAGAGCAGAAGGTTTATTCATTATATTTCCCCTGACCTTAAATTGTTTCACAGAGCACGTTTTCCCCTGAGATCTTTTTCAACATTCTTCTCCCACCCATCATTTTTAACGCGGGATACAGTCTGAAAAAAAGAAACTTTTTCCGAAACATCGGTATTTCTGTCTATTGAACGAGTGTGACTTACATCTATATATTAAGGTAGCATTTTGGCGTTTGTTTTCGTTGGTACGACGATATCATGCTTAGCTACAGGGTGAATAAACTAAGTGAGAAGCTAATTCATCATTTTTATTTCAGTATCATCATGTTAGTTCTCACGAAAATGTTCGGAATGGGATACTCCTTCCAAGAACTTTTGTTCTTCGGTGCCGTTATTTCAGCTACTGATCCAGGTCTGCTTTTGCTTTTATTGTGTTCTGTTTCCAATGCTTTTTTTTCTAGTAACGGTGATCTCAATTTTTTCGGAAATGAAAGTTGAAGCTGATCTCTTCGCTCTCGTCTTCGGTGAGAGCGCTCTTAATGATGCTGTCGCTATTGTTCTATCCAAGTAGGAATTTTTTTAATATTTGTTGAACGATATGAATGTATAGCATAATCGACAACTTCACCACCGGCTCTAGTATTATAAGTTGGTCTGAAATGGCTTCCATACTCTGGCTTTTCTTCTCTACATTCGTTGGTGAGAGAATAACATAACTTGATTACTAGTCAACTCATATTTTTAGGATCTCTTCTTCTCGGTTCTGGAATAGGATGCGCAAACGCTTTGATGACAAAAATGACAAACATAGCAGACTATCCTTTATTGGAAAGCTCCCTATTTGTGTTAGTCTCATATCTTTCTTTCCTGATTGGCGAAGTTGCTGGGTTCACAGGTTCGTGATCATAACTCATGAAGCAACAGTTCCCTTCTTTTCAGGCATAGTTGCTGTTCTGTTTTGCGGAATCGCTCAAGCTCATTATACTTTTAACAACCTTTCAAGAGAGTCACAAGCATCATCTAAAAACTTCTTCCAGGTTTGAAGCCCTTGAGGTCTTTTTTTCTGTATTATGAAGTTTAAGATGATTGCCTTTGTTCTTGAAAGCTTCATATTTTGTTACATCGGAGTAAGTGTTGTAGCAGGAAATCAACAGAAATGGAGTCTGGCGTTTATCTTCTTTGCATTAGTGAGTATCTAACTTTGTTTCTCATTAGTTTTCTTATTCCGTGCGTTCAGATCGCTATTGTGGTAGCCAGGGCGTTATTCGTTTATCCTCTCTGTACTCTGATTAATATAACCAGAAGACCAATCATTCCTCGCAGGTAAAACTATATTTGAAACCATCTATCGTTTTCTGAACAACCCCGGAGAAACAGCATCTGTATGGTATCGGTATATTCCTTTTCTAGGTATCAACATATGATTGTATTTTCTGGTCTCAGAGGAGCTATGGCTTTTGCTTTGTCTGCTCGTAACACAGCAACTGAACATCGGCAGGTTCATTAGACAAATTCTTTTTTTCGGTTTTATCATCTCCCTGTTTAGGTCATATCTTCAACCACTTCAACCATAGTTTTGATAACTGTGTTCTTGAACGGCGGCTTAGCTTCTTGGATGATTGATTTCTTGGGGATAAAGTGGGTTGCACGACAGTTCTTTCATATTCTCATTCCACAGGCATGGGGAGGCCGCTTCCAACAGTCGAACGAACACTGTTAGTGACGACGGGAATGGCATTCGATTACCAAATACGGTTAGTTACAACTGAAATTACTTGAACGTATTGTTTCAGTCTGATTGCGATGATGTGCAGATTGTGGAAACTCCCTTGACTCCTCATGGACCATCAGGCTCTAATCCATGGGACAAAGCCTTCCTACCAAGGAAATGGTATAATTTTGATTCGAGGTTCTTTTTCTCTCTAGTTACTTCATTATTTTCTTGTTTTCAGCTTCATGAAACCTTTGCTGACTCATGCGACTCCATCTTTGGAACAAACTTTACCTCCGTGCTGCTATCCTCTCGCCAAAGTTTTCACCTCTGAAAGACAAAGATCGGTCAGTGGTGCCTATAGCAATCCCGCCGCTGAGGCCGATAGCATGATCAATGCCTGAGCACTTGAAGTGTTGTACCTTCATTCTTAAGTTATTATGCCTGTTTTCGATGAGCTTTCTGTGATTATGTTGTGTGCAACGTTTGAGTTTAGACAACCTGTTCTTACTTGTGATTCCTCTATTTTAGCCTACCATGACTGTAACTTCTTCAACGGAGTTGTTCGCAGTCGCTCCATCCACGGAAGTGCGATACATCGTGTCCGATAATAATTCCGCAAACGCCTTATAACATCTACTTAATATTCCTCCTAACAAGCTAGTCAAACGGAAAAGCCTCCGTGTTTCCTCCTTGTGCATATTGTCGGGTTAGAAAAGCAAAAAAAAATTATTTTTCTTATTTTCAAGCATAATCAGCTTTCTCAATCAAAATAAAGTTTTTTTTAATTGCTGAGGTTTATCGATGAATTTAATAACAATAAAGAAATGAGACCAAACAGGGAAATCCTTATCTGCGAGGGGTTGGAGTCATAGCCATACGCTCCTTCTCTTTAGCAATATCTCCACCAATACCATATCGTTCCTTAACTTCTTCCAGTTTTTCTTTAGCCTTAGAACAATAGAATTTAAAATTATTAAAACGAACAGCAGCTTACCTTCTCAGTATCCATTCGCCGCCAAGCCTTTGTTGCTTGATAGTAGAGAACAACCAAATATCTGAACACAATCATAATCCACGAAATGAAGAGAAAATAGAAACCTATTGGAAACATTGAATCCACTGAGATGTTCACAAGCAGCTTTAGCATCAAAGATGTCTTCATAAACTACAAAGGCAGTTCCTCTAGTTTCTGGCGTATTTCCTCTGAATCAAAAGATAGAAGTAAAGAAGTTTCAAGTCTATTCAACTCACACTCTAATCTGGCGAACAGCTCCAAACTTTCCAAAAATATCATACATCTCCTCAGATGTTATTTTATATGGCAAGTTCTTGATGTACAATATTCTATTAACCTGATAAAAACTATGTTAGAACCAACCCCCAAAAAACAAAACTGCAATCTTACCTCAGGTGGAAGTTTTGTTCCGCGTCCTCTTGCTGCCATAGCCATGATTACTGCTTTATCTATAAATTTGTCCTGATGAAAAAATTATAATAATTTTCTATTTAAATCTCAATAAATTAATCTAATGAACAAGTTGAATATAAGGCTTTATTATTTTGAAACGGTTCAATTTTCATACGATGCTCGTACGCAAAGATCCGTTTACATAGTGTTGAACTTTATACCGTAACCAAAGAAAGAGGGAATAATCAGAATTTTATATTCAGAAGGTAATAATTCTGTCAGGACTATGATGAGTTTTCACGGTTACTTGTTATAAACCAAAGTAAAAAAATATATGTGAGCAAAATGTATTTCATTTTCCATCATTAAATTGTGACTACTCATACTCACTCGTTTTCTATTTCAAACAAGAATGAGTCACTTGAGTTTGCCTCCGTCTATTAATTTTTCTCCCAATTGGATTATTTCGAAGAAAGTATCGAGTTTCTACAACTATGAGTAGTGGGAAACAAAAATACTTTTACAACCGCTCTTCGCATTTAACAAAATGTAAATAAATCAGTCGTTCGTTTAGCGTTGCGACTTGATCGAGCAAAAAATGACGCTATTATTTCTAATTGCTGGGGATATGATTGGTTGGAACATGACTGATAAATTAAGAATTACAAACAGATTTAAGGACTCGCGAAAGGGGCTATAATCCGATGAACTTGAAATTATGATAAGGCAGTACCACTGCGTTGAGTATGCTCATCAAGGCTTTGTGTTTTCTTTTTCTCAATTTCGGATCAATTTCTACTCAAGATGTGCCTGTCACACCAGGTATTCATTAAAGAGGAAGCACTCATCTATTGAAATTTTTATAGGCAGACAGGAGATTCAGATGAGTATATCGGCTAAAAAACCTGGAACCCTCATACCTGAAATAACTGATGCCATTTATGTTTTTATACCGAATACGGACACTGACGGAGTTGTTCTGATTTAAATTTCTCTTTTCAAGTCTGTTCTATTCAGATAGCCATAAGTTGCTTTCCTCGTTTAATAATCTCGTCTGCAGTGCCAGCCTATCTGAAGAACTGTACCATATTTCTAGAGTCAGAGAAGAATAATGCACTTACAGAGTTAGTTTTTTTTTAGCGACTCCTAGTAATTCTGTTCATTTCAAGCTTATATGATCTTTGTTCTCGTTTCTGGAACACAATAGTATTTGATGAATCAGTTGGGATTAATTGTCGAGGTGTAAACACTAGTAACTTGGGCATTGTTGTCCAAGATGGAAGATGTATGATCATTCTTTCGTACTACGAAACAGATTTCTCTCCAGCAATCAGACCATTCGATAATCACTATTATATGGTTGATTTGGATGTCATAAGCGCTCAAGGACTACAAAGTTACTACAGTAAAGGGATTAAAGCCGCCTTCACAACCGTTTCGTTTACCGGCGCTTTGACCAGAATAGATTCTGCTATTTATGCTGTGGGGTTTTTGGGCACATTTATTTCAATAATTCTTCTGTTACAGAGCAATCAAAAGTATTTTTCGGTTTCGGACAGTACCCCTGAAAAACCTGGTCAAATCTGGGTTAGTGAAAAGTACACTCTGCCTGCAACTTATATGACTGCCAACACGTTGTTCACAACTTTCTTTTTTGATGATGTTGAAGTAATCGTTCGAGTTCTGGGCGACCTGACAAGTAAAAGTAATTTTTCTTCGAAGAGTATGATCCCAAACAAGATTTTCAGTTTGTAAAGACCCAGCAAATGTTTTCCAGGAAGAAAGCGTCGCTTATACTTATCCTCTAGAAAATCGTTTAACACAGTCGACTTTCAGCGGGGATATTTTCTGCGAATGGAATGTGAGTTTTTTTCATTTTCTTTTTCAATTCCTGAGATTTCCCAATTTCAGTTTATGGCTATGGATAATTATTATATCCAATTTACCTTATTAGGCGCTCTGGAAAAATCTTCAGAAATAACTATCAGGGATAAGAGAGGGACAGGCATATTTTTCTCTTCGTGAGGTTCCAATTTCTGATTCAATAGTATACGAATTTTCAGAGATTATTCAACTTCTCCAGACTATAAAGGAAGCTTCTTGAACACAACTTTCAGTCTTCCATCTACTGGTAGTCTTAGATTGAGTTCCATGCTTGGAACAGGCTCATTTTCTTTTAAAGCTGAATTTCTTTTGTTTGGTATTTTTTTTTCATAACAAACCGATTAATACCTCGAATCAGATGCGAACAAACCAGTGGAAACACGAGTTCTTGGCACCAACGACTCCTCTTATCTCATAAACATGAATGTTCTGCAAACCACGCAGTTCTTCTTTGACACCAGCTCACTCTCTTCGGTGAGTTATAGTTAGATACTTTGGAAACTCTCCCTACACAGACATTTCAACTTGGAATTTATGCTGCTCCTTCTTATATACATCGCTCATATATCCAAGAACTTGACAACTGTTTTGTTGAAACTAACGATGCAGATGGAGGTATGGAACGCTTCAGGTTGGTACCAGATTTCTTAAAACTAGGATTGAAGGAATTTTAGTTTACGAAGCTCATTTGAATGCGGAACTCCACGTATGTTCAAATCGGCCCTTGTTTCTTGTATGGGAGACAACATGTTGGATGGATATTTACTTGTTAATGGGTATGAGAATTCATGTAAATCCGCATGGTGTTTCCCTTGTTATTATCTCTTTCACTCCAGCCATCGCTACCATTGGTGAAGCATGCGCCCGAATGGCTTCGTCATTGAAGAGTTTTGTCATGTCCGCATCTGATCCTTCACTCAATCAGTTAACGGCTTTGATGGTGATCGAGGACGACACGGTGGATACAGTCTCTCTTACATGTATACGGAAAAATGGGGTTTGGATTTTAATAATCTCCCCAAAAACGAATAGAAACTGAAGACTGATCCGCTGATTGTTATAAATGGAGGCATTTTTGGAGAGCAAATAGCCAATATCTCAGACAATTCTGATCTGCCTTTCTATACACAGAAAAAACTGGTAACGTATCGGTTACCGTCATCTTCAGCGGCAGTTCTGAACTTCACAGTGCTACAAATGAATCCTTTTCCTATTACCGATAATTATTCGAAAAATGGTGAACAGTTTAATTTTGACACTCTTGATTATCATATAAGGTGTTTCAGTCAATTTTCTTCTATCGATTCTGTTGTTTTCTGTTCTCATGCTCTACGAGAGTGCAGAATGAGTTTCAAATAATCAAAGAGAGAATGAACGGTGCATTACTTATAGCAAAAATTTTTCCAGATTTCTTTACCGATATGTCAGAAACTGAAGATGTTTCAATTATATTATCTATTTCAAGTTCTCAGCAAAAAATTAATGAAAAAATAAATATCTAACTGTCATTCTGACGGTCAGCGGAAAATCGGAAGTAAGAATTAAACTTCGCTATGATATTTCGTGCATAATGGTTCTTCTTCTTCTTTTATTTCAACTAAATTTGAAACTTGCTCGCAACAGTCTTGCACCTCTGTACCTAAAAAATAAAAATCGAAACTCAAGTTTTTTCTTACTCGAATTACTTTTATGTGTGTCAGAATGTCACATTTTCTTGTTCTATTTACTTGGCGCTGGTT